AAGGGTGGTGATGGGATGTCGGGAGGCTGCTTCCAGGTTGCTTGGCTTACAACCCGGAAGCCAAAGTCTCGGAAAGTGCTCCCCAGTTGCGCGCTCTCTCCGCTCTTTCTCTCCTTCCATAGACCCTTGAGCTTAGTCTTGGGCTTCCAATTCTTAGTCTAGGTCTTGAGTCTTAGTAGCCCAGGGCAGGCCTACCTTCCTTTACCTTAGCTTGGAAGTTGTGGATGTCCCCATTGGATAATCTGCGCCGTCCCGTCTCGTCTTTCCCTGGAAGGAGCGGCAGTCGTTCCCGAGTTCTTTTTTAGAAACAAGCCGTTGCAGGCCGCTCCGCCCGCAACTTGGACTCTCAACCCTCCTTCCCCAGTCTGCGACGCAATCTAGAAAATACATTAAATCGCACACCTCACAGCTGCACGTGTGGCCTCGGGACACCCTCCAGCCCCAGCTCTCGTCCCAATGAGACGCGGCCGGACGACACCCCAAGCTGGGAGAGTTGCGAGGTCTGGTCAGTATTGCTGGGGACGGGAGTCCATGTTCGGTAGGTTACGCAGTTCGGTGCTCACCGGCGCCACCACCGCTTCCAGCAGGATGTTTTTTTTTTAAAGATTCGGCTCGGGGCAGCTCGTCTTGAGGTGGGGCGCCCGAGAATTGAGATGGATGACGAATACCTAGGTAGGTAAGGTAACCAACCTGCCAACCTCCTCCGAAGCCGTCGCCCATTTAGCGGTCGAGTCGGCTTGTAACTACAGTACAGTGCATACCTTACCACCCCTTCCTCGGTCGCTCTACGGTACAGTTCATACGGATTACTGCACTTAGAGATACCCTACTCGACTTGGGGACAACGAGCGGCTCGTGGGTTTTAACACTGAGATGTGTACGGGATACTTGTTGATGCTTCTTGCTACTTGTTGATGCTTCTCACTACCCAGTGTCCGCACCTCAGTTATTATTCCGTGACCGTCCGACTACGGTCCGTCCACGGCCGCCCGACAACCAGCCAGCAGGGTCGGCTAACAAGTGTGACAAAGCAAAGAAGAGCAGAGCAGACTGCTGAGCAGAGCAGAGCAAAGCGGAGAAGGGCCTCGGCCGCTTTCCCCGAAGTCGCCAGCTGCCTGCCTGGCTGCATGCCACTTTCAAGGGCGTGCATGCAAGAGACAACAAAGACGACCGTTGAGGAGCAAGCGGCAGACGGAGCTCAAGAGTTGAGAAGCAGGAAACCACGTCGAGTACTGATGGCTCGGCCCAATCACAGCAAGCGCTCTCGCCAGCCGTGCAGCACGCAGCAAGCAGCAGCAGCACAAGCGTCCAGTTCAAGCCACGGCATGCATCCCTCCACTGTGGCGTGACCAATGCTTGAACTGGCCGCTGGATGTGTTGATTTGGTCAACAAGTCCCTTCTTCTCTCATTCACGGCCCAGTGACAATCCAGAAGCCCTGCGCTTTGGTGTGTGTGCGTGTGTTGTCAGTGGTGGGCTTTGCAGAGGGCATTATTCGTATACGTACTGCTCTACACCCCTTTCAACCTATCCTATCTCTTCCCGCTAACAGCCACAACAACTTACACACTACCTACCTACCACCGTGGTCTCCAGAGATGCTGTATCTTGTACAATACACTACATGCACACACACATTACAACTCCGGATGTCCACTACGGAGTGTAGACACCAAGATACCTAACCCCACACCTCCCTACCTTACCTTCGGAAGGGTAGGCATCTCGCACGCAGGCCTTCCCGACCGGCACAGCTCCCTGAAGAGGCAGCTTTTGGGGGGCTATCAGGGAGCTACCCATACTGTACCTCAGGTATGTAGGTTGGTAGGATCGACCTTGCCAGCTTCGTAATTTCCATCACCAACTTTCTGCCTCGAGGCGCCCTACTGCGTACTGCGAACAGCAAACACGTTATGCCGTGTGCGCGCGAGCACCCACCCTCTCGGCGCACACACACATGCACCTCCCAGCCGTCACCAATGCGCCCGTCGACAGTTCACGGTCGATAGACATTGGTGCCGACTTTGTCTGGCTGCATCGAGAGCGAGCGAGAGAGGAAAAGCTGTCTGTGGCTGGCATGGCGAGACAGCGCGCGCCAGCCAGCCTCTGTCTGCAGTGTGTGGCCACTGCGCGCTAACTGCACCTGGGCAGGTCTTGTTGCCGTCTCCGTGCATGTATAGACCTGCGGTGCTACCATACCCCAAGCACATCTCTCCCGCACGCGGGTTCGCGAGTGGCAGTCATAATAGCGTGTGGTCAAGCCGTGGTTAGGTTGGTTTGCTCCTTTGCTGCGCTGTGCTCTGCTCTGCGTTGCGCTCGAGCCGGGGATAGGTGGAGCTGGCGTGTACACGGTGGGCGCTGGCTGTGGCCGTTTGTGGTCATGGCGCCGGGGCCCAGGCACCAAGTTCCCTTTCGGGAAAGTCGTCGAGTGGCGCCGTTTTTTTCTGCCTCCGCATTTTCCGTTCCTTTTGGCCCAGAATGAGGAAATATGGAGAGGGTTCCGGCCGAGGGCCGCTGTCCTTTGTTCCTTTTTCCTCTGGTTCCCTGTGAGTGTGAGCTAGGTAGCTCGCTGCACTACCACCAGATCGGGCTATGCAAGACCGGGGTCTCCAATGGCTCGTCGCTAGACACTTCCCCAAGCCTCTCTACGGCACGAACGGGCATCAACCCAGGACGGGCAAGTTCGAGGGCGTCAAGCTTTAAACTCCCCACCCTTTGATACCCGTCTGGTCTGGTCTCCAGTTCACTCTTCACAGTCCTGTACTGTACTGTAATTTTGGCAAAACAAGCGTCCAAGGGCTCAAGCGTCATCTCGGTTCTCACTCCGCACTCCGTGTGTTTGCTTTGCATGCTTAGCTTGGATGCTGGCAACGAACAGGGCATGGCTCGGCAGCACAAGGCGCGAGCGTCGACAAGTGGCGTTCCAGGAGGCGTCCCTGGGGGCGTCCCGAGGTGGTAGTACGGTAGAGCTTGTCGTTGAGACAAACTTGACTTGGCTTGACTTGAGAGTTAGGTCAGAGAGCAACAAACCGGCAGGATCTCCAAAATAAATTGAGTGGCCCTTCCTTCCTCGTTGAGCAGGAGCTGATGTGAATAGGCTGCGCCAGCTGCCTCTACCATGTATATCTCGTGCAATACATGGCGCCGCCTGCTCACGATATGGAGCAGAGTCGGCCAGCCTGCAATCTGCATCCTTTTCCCCATCCTTGTGGCCGTGTTCGGTCGGTCGTCGGTCGGTCGGTCCTGGATCTGGTCGAATCACAATGCCGTGCTGTATCAAAGCAAGCGTGGCGGCTTCTCACGTCGCTGGTGATTTCGTTTAGAAGTGCCTACCAATTGTGAGGTTCGGATGACGCCCACAACGGCGGCCAAGCCATATATAATAGGCTCTGATATTGCTTAGGTGCTCCGTGTCGCCGCCCCCCTACCCTACCCTACCTACCTTACCACCCCCTCCCCCTTCAGTGGCTGTCTGTCGTCTGTTTTTGCTGGGGAACTGAAAACGGCAGCAGCTTGCTCTGACGGGCGAGAAGACGTCTGCAAGAGTGTGGGCTTTCTTTCGGGCAGGCGACAGGGGGGGTGGTAATTGTGCCTCCCCTTCTCGCGAGCCGAGCTTGCTGGGGTCTGCTGGCTCGCCCGTCAACCCCGGTCGAGGCAATCTCGTGAACCGATTTTTTGTCCCTCAAGCTCAAGGCACCACCCCTCTCTGGTTAGCAGACAAAAAAAAAAAAGGGCCCTTCGTTCGGCCGGCGCGTTTTCTTATTACCCAACGGTCTTCTAGAAAATTGCGGGCCGTTCACAGCCTGCCCACGGCGCTCCCAGAGCCTTTCTTCTGTCGGAGGATTCTTGCTCTAATCAGATGCCCCTGTTGTCCAGACTGACATGGTCGTCGACCGGGGCTTTGCCAGCTCGACATCCTGGATTGGATGAGAGGAAGGGGGGCCGGCCAAGGGGCTGCCGTTCGAGTCCGCTCCTCCCTTCTGATCGCTCGGCTTGGCAAGATGTGGCCCCCTCACACACACACACACACACACACCCCTCTCCCCTTTCCCCTCCTCCAATCCACTCCACCGTTCCTTACCACGCCGTTGTTTCTTCTCGTACATACATTACTAGGGACTGGTGAAGACGTTAGTTACTGGAGGGCCGTCGTGGGTTCCGCCCAGAGCTCGTCCGGCTCTGTGGTCGGTCGCACACTGCCAAACCTTGACGGGGCCCTCTCTCCGTTTCTATTTGCACCTTGTTGTGTGGTGTGTGTGTACACGTGTGGTGGGTGCATTGATGTCCAAGGCGTAGCGCGTTCGATTTCTCGTCCCGCTTTCGTGAGCTCGGCATAACCTGCCTCATAGAAACCGCCCTGGAGCAAATCACGATAACTACAGAAGACGGATAACCTCGCAAATAACGTCTCGCATTCTCTTCCCCCCTTTGACATACATGTGTTTTCACATTCACTGTTTGCCTGACCTAGTTACACGGGACTTATCATGTATTGTCTGTATGTACGGAATATGCCCTCGTTGCTCCCTACTCGTGCCCTCACCGGGAACAAGCCGGGGTTGGTGCTTGGTTGAGAAATCCCCGTCTTTGGCCGAGTATTACTCGGGTAGAGACCGAGGATCAGGAAACAGACAGACAGACAGACAGACAGACAGAAACAAGATCAGGAAGGGACAGAACCGCCGTGTTGTCTGTCTGCTGCCCCATCCCTGAATCTCTTCAATCCAGGCCATAACACAGTCTTCTAAGGAGCGCAATCATAACTTCGAGGCCTGCTAGACTCATTGGCGAAATCATGCCCCATATCGACTAGCAGGGACCTCGGGGTTTGTCTCCCAGATCGCCCCGTTTCTCAACCTCCTTCCCTGTATGGTTGGAGCGGTTTCTGCGCCAGCCTGCAAGCATGTTTAAACAATTCCCTACCAGCCCAGGGTGGTCGTTAACCTTGGCCTTGCCTTGCCTCCCCTCCACCCCTCTCTTACCCCCTTGTTCCCCCCCCCCCCCCCTACCCCCGGGGACAGTGCCGAAGCCTCTCATAAAACGGCCCCCTCCACAACACGGATCGTATTGGCTTATACAAGTACACACACTCCGGCCCTACAGCATCGTCCCCCAGCCGTGATCCGATCTCTACCGTCTACTCCAGCCGCCAAAAACAAAGAAAGAAAAAAACACCCCCCCAATAAATATATATACATTCGTGCATGTTGTGTACATGTATGTGTATATGTTTCTATGCAAACGCAAACGAGACTTAGGTTACCCCTCGTCTTTTTCAAGCGAGACGTCGTTGCTCGTTAGGTTGGTTTCTCTGCAAGACCTGACCGGCTTGGTCTCGGCTTGTTCTCGACGGGAGCTTTGAACAGAGAAGAGAAAAGAGAGAAAGAGAGCGAGAAAGAGTAGAGGGCGGACATCTCTCGAGACTGGCGCCTGGCGGGTGTCTGCGAAGGAATCTGGGCTGCCCCTTGGGGAGAGGCATGCTCCCATGTCAACCACGGCAACATACACGGTCACCATGGCAGAGCTGAGGGCCGAGACGCAACACGGCGGTAGCCTCTGGTCCAACTATGGAGCCCCGGTGCAGATGTCGGGCCGGTTCAATCCCCAGGATTCGGGCTCGTCGGTGACGGGACAGCCGGCGCCACCATCGCACATGGCGCGCCCCAGGAGTCGTCAACACACAATGGACTACTCACAACAGCAGTACCACCCCGGCGGCGGAGGTGGACGGCCCCCACAGCAGCACCAACAACAACAGCAACAACAACAACAACAACAACAACAGCACCAGCAGCAGCAGGAGGAAGGCGATGCGTACGATAGATACCCGCACCCGTCACTAATGAACATCCCGAGCATAACGAGCCTGAAGCGCAGCTACTCGCAGGTGGACCAGGCGCCGCCGTACACGGAGATGGTGCAGGACCTGCGCGACGACTACAAACCGGCCAATCACGACCAAAAGCTGCTCTCCTTCAAGAAGGTCGGGGACAAGCACACCATCGTCGACCAGAAGGGGCGGATCCACGAGATGGAGATCGACGCGCAGCTGCACGGCATGTTCTTCCTGTCCGAGTTCCCGTCGGGGACGGGACCGGGCCCCTCGGCCGACGGCAGCACGCTCAACGCCGAGCTGACGTGCTACCGGCGCAACCTGTTCCAGATCAGCGGCAGCCTGTGCTTCCCGCAGATCCCGCTGTCGGTGCTGCTCGAGACGGGCGAGGCCAGCCAGATCAAGAACATGGAGGTCAGCATATCGGCCATCGAGTCCGTCGACGGCCACCCCGTGCGCCTCATCGTCATCCCGTGGAAGACGCCGCCGCCCAACTCGCCCGAGATCAGCCAGGGGCCCGACCAGGAGCCGCCCCCGCTGCCGCTGATCCCCTGGTCCGAGGGCGACGAGGAGACGGGCGGCGACCACTACGCCATCTACCCCATAGGCTGGCGGCGCCTGCAGTTTAGAATGTAAGTCTAGTCTTGTTCCCCTCTCTGGAAAGCAAAGGAAAGCAACCATGGGTGGAAAAGGGGAAGCGCGGAATGCTGAAACTTGGACCCACTAGAGCGACGGCAAACAACGGGAGACGAAAGGAACTGCAGCAACACTTTGTGCTACACCTCAAGCTGCACGGGACGCTCGCCAACGGCAGCAAGGTGGTGCTCTCGGAGCTGACGACGGCGCCCATCGTGGTGCGGGGGAGGAGTCCGCGCAACTTCCAGGCGCGCAAGGAGATCCCGCTGCTGGGGTCGAGCGCCGGCTCGCGCGGCCAGACGCTGGTCGAGAACGGCCAGGGCATCGTGGCCCAGGCCGTCATCCTCAACAAGCCGCCCTACGACTCGCGGCCCCGCGTGCCCAGCGTGCCCGGTATGGAGCTGCCGAGGACCGCCTTCACATTTAGCGCGCCCAAGCAGATGCCGCAGAGCCCCATGCAGATGCGATCAAAGTAAGTGAGACAAGATACGAGGAGACAGGAGGACAAGAGAGGGGGGATGGATGCGTAGATGCATAGATGCATAGGCAACGAGACGGAAGAAAGAAATGCAGAAATAAGGGGGAGGACACAAGCTAACAGATGCCCACAGCTCGTACCCGACAACATGGAACCCGCCGCCCGGGTCCATGCCGCACAACCCGGGGTCGGCCTCGTATCCGGCGGCGAGCATGGCGGGTGAGCCGTACCCGAAGATGCCTCTGACGGGGGCGCCAAGCTACACGGCCGAGCCGCAAGAGATGCCCATGCAGCCGTCGTCGATGCCCTCGGTGCAGCTCTCGCTCGTGGCGCAGGACCAGCAGCAACAGCAGCAGCAGCAGCAACAGCCACCCATACGAACACAGTACGCAACATACGTGCAGGGGTCGTCGGCGCCGCCCCATCTGTCGCTGTCGACGACGGCTGAGAGCTCGCTCAACGTGCCGCGGTACGTGGACAGCAACCCGCGGCCGTCCAAGAGCCCGCGGCACGCCAGCCACCAGTCGGTGGCCAGCTCCATCTCCAACGACACCAGCTCGGGCGAGTACCGGTACGGACCGCCGCCGCCGCCGTATGGCAGCGGCGCCAACAACTCTAGCGAGATCAGCCCGCAGTCGCAGCAGCACCCGTCCGCCGTGGCCGGGCCCTACGGCACCCCGTCGCAGGACAGCGGGCCCTCGGCCCCGCCCTCGGCCTCGGCCAACAGCGCCGGCCAGCCCCCGCGCGACTACTTCCCGCCCTCGCAGTCGTGGACCACCACCGCCGGCGAGCCGTCCGCCCCCAGCGTCTCCTATAGCGGCGGCGGCGGCGGCGGCAACAGCCACCACCCCGGGAGCCACGGGAACCCTAGCGGTGCCACCGGCGGCGACCGCCCCTACGCCTTCCCCAGCGTCAAGCCCGAGTCCCACCAGCAGCAGCACCCCCACCACATGCAGCCCGCCCCGCACTCGACCGCCCCCGGCGCCGGCGTGTACCCCGTCAGCCACTACACATGGAACGCGACGTGAGAGCCGGCGGTCAAATGGGCCCCCCAAAGAGGAGAATATTAAAATAATACTCCCTGGGGAAAGAGAGAGAGATTGGGGGGGGGGGGGGGGATGACAGAAACGATGCCGAGATGGGAGATGGAGGGAGGGATGGGTCCGACACAAGCAGAGAGATGATGGGATATATATAATCCCCACAAAGACCAATACCCAACCTCTACCAACCCACTCGCGGTGCGGCGGTCGACTGTGCGTGTACGTGTGTGCGTTTGTGTGTGCGGACCGACAGCCTTCTCGAACGGCCAATACCCCCCCTCCCCTCGACACATCTCTCCTCCCTCTCACCATATCCATCTACAGAGAGGATGGGGACCAAAACAAAAGGCGGGCACGCGATCACCTCTCTCGGAATTAAACCACCATCCTCCCCCCCCGAATACCAATACGTTTTACTTCTCCTTTGATATATATATATATATATGTATGCCTATATCTTGTAACCACACAAAATCATGGGCGATTCAATGGCACACACGCGCGCGTTCATCCCCCGGCTTGGGTACCTAGGGGGAATGAGAGAGAGAGAGAGATACATGTGGCATGTGGGGTTGAGCGAGCGAGCGAGCACAGCGAGGGGGGGGGGAGGGCGCGGGGAGGATGAATAGGACAGTGGAAGTGTTGCTGTGCTGTTGTTTGTGCTGCAAAGACGAACAGAGGGTCATTCAGGGGAAGGGCAGACAACTAGCGCAATATCTGGGTCTGCGTCTGTGTGCGAGTGTTCTACGAGCGAGCGAGAGAGAGAGAGAGAAGTCCATCGAGTGCGGTGCGGTGCGGTGCAAACGACGACGCGGCGTGTTTTATGGAAATGCATAATGTCTTCCCCCTCCCCCCTCCCCCCTACCTTTTTTTCTTTCCATTCACATTCCCATCCACATTCCCAAATCATCATTATTATGCATCATTGCCATGTCCTTTCTGCTTACTTACCTTACCTATCTTTCTCGCTACATATATATTCCCCCGGACCGGACCGAAATTAGCTTCTTCGTTCTCGTTCGCCCATTGCCAGCGGTTTTTTTTTTTTCATCTTCTGGTCGGCTTGGGTTGGTTTGTTTTGTTTTAGTTTCTAGGCGGCAAAAAAACTATCGTTTCAAGTGCTTTGCTAGCGGTATTTTCTTCTTCTGGTTTGCGTGTCTGTTTTTATTCAGCCTTTTTGGGGGGCTCTTGGTTTGTTTTTGTTTTGTTTCATGGGGGTGGTGTGGTGTGTCAGCGGCATTCGTTTTTTCGCTTTCGGGTTTTGTTTTAGTATGTGAGCATGCATATTATACATACACATCATACATTACATTACATTGGTGGACCACCTACCGTGTCTTTTGCATTTTGGCCGTGCTGTATACCTGCTCTCTTCTTATGCGTTGCATATTCAGGGGAAGTGGTTCTTTACGCTTGCTTCGTCGAAAAGAAGCCCGGGACAAACCAGCACGAACGGACAAGGTTCCGTTTGTGTGCGTGCAGAGAAAAAGGCTGTAAGAATTGGAAGTCTGGTTTTCGTATAATCCAGACTAGAGGACATCTTGTTCGTTTCTACACAATTACCTAGGCTGATATGGGCGCCTGTCTTGACAACAATTAGACCAAAAAGGGGCTTGAAACAACAGATATTCTCATTTAGACACGTCAATAGCGACGGCGTTAGCCATCGTCTGCATACAAAAAGTACAATGCGAGGCCACGACATGTACAATAAAGAAGAAGAAGAAAAATAAAACTTAATTAAAAGTTTACAACCGAATCTCAAAAAATAGAGATGAAGAAAGTATTTTTAGCTGGCGGGTAGATTGGGTGGCAAACATGGACATGAAAAATATTAGGTCCTACCCGGAATCGAACCGGGGTTACCGGAAGAGCCGAGTTTGTTCAGAATCCGATGTGATGACCGCTACACTATAGAACCGACCGTTCTGGATTGATGGAGATTGTGGGTCCTAAAGCGCATCAAGGGGGATGACGAAACACGGAAAGGGGAACAAAATCAGCCAGGTATTGCATTCTCCGTCCAGGACGAGTGCGCGAAAGCATCGTAGCTAGGATTCAATTAGACCAAGTTTGAGTGCTGCAAGCAGCCGCGCCGCACGTGCCGATGCAGGCAGGCTCTTTGGGAGGGGGCGTGTTCCGCGGCTAGCTGGTGTCAGATGGGCAGTATAAGCGGGGCGACGACCTTGGGGACGGACCGATTTTCTAGCGCGCGAATGCGGGAGCTTCCACACTCGCAGTTGCACACCTTACCGAGTCTTACCTACCGACTACTCTTACATCAAATCGCTTGATTAGTCTCTGCTCTTATCTCACGACGACTGATGAGCAAATCATACAACCAACTTGCACCCGCCGTGCCAAAATCCACATATCAAGTAATCCAAGCACATGGAGACAATGTTTGAGCTCCCGGATGCAAAGCGGTATGTGAGCCTGAGATGAGACTGGAACTGGTTTTCTCGAAAAAAGTAAACGCTAATTCGGAACATCAGTGTGAGGCGGCAGGATCTGTACGACTCGGCGTCAGACCGGCAGCCAAGTCCTGGCGACGACGGCGCAGAAGCTGAGTTGCGCGCCAAGCTGAATGCTCGTCTCTCCAACCTGCTCGCCATGGACCTGCGCCCGCCCGAGGCAGCGGCCAGCGGGGTGGCCCAGGCAGCTGGCGACGGCAGCGGCGAGCACCAGGACGAAGATGAGTTCGAGTTTCGACTCTTCTCAACCTCGGGAGCAGCGCCCAAAGTCGTCCTCGAGGACGACAGCGGCGCACGTAATGGTCGGCCGGCCATCGCGCAGCGGCCCGTGTCCTTCTACATCCGGGGAGAACTGACACCCGAGGAACACGAGAGGCTCCGGTTTTCGGCAGTAAGCGGCAAGGACGTCCTGGCTGGAGCCCAGCAGCGGGCCTGGGGGTTGGAAGTGCCGTGGCGGGTTACCAAGATCACGATAGGAACAGCGCAGAAGAGGCCAAAGACCGGCAGCCAACCGTCTGGGCTGTCAGAACTGGCTGGCGAGCACTCAAAGAAGAAGACGCGGCCGGGGAAGAAGATGAGGATAGCAGCGAGGATCAAAGAAAGGGCCCAAAAAGAAGCGGCGGCCGCTCTCGAGAAGAAGAAGATGACCAAGGAGGAGCATCTGAAGGAGAAGAAGAAGCGGCTGAACCGAGAGAAGAAGCTGAAGCGGAGGCAAAAAGAAAAAGAGAAGAAACAGGCCGGCAAGGGCGAGGCGGGCGAGCAGTCCGAGTCAGAGGGCGACGATGCAGATTAATTGCTACCTACCTACCGAGTGCGATATCCATTCCTGTATTGTCAGCTTGTATTTATACACAGATACCGAGCACCGAAGTAAGGTAGCTCTGCCGACTCTTTTTGTCTTTATGAAATCACGATGCCAAGTCTAAAAATGAAAAAGAATTGGTCAACTACTCGCGGCCTCCAACACTCGTTTGCCATTCTTTCCGGTCTAAATCGCTTTTCTGGCTTCAAAATCGCCAAGGTGTGATTGCGGTTGTGGCTTTTGCACCAATATTTGATACTTCCAGTTACGGAAGGGCATACTTGCAGATTGAAATAAATTTCCACTTGGGTTAACCCACCCTTCTGTTGAGCTAGAAATTGCAGTGCACTCAACTCTTCGTTGTGATTGGCTATCTTCTTCTCTTTTCATGGTGGGTGGCTACTTTCTTCTTCAAAACCATTAACCGTCAAGGTTCCGTGTCAGGTGTGGGGCTCTCCTCCCCCACATTTCCTCTTTTGGCTATCCATTCAAGCTTTACATAGTACAGCTATCCCTGCTGACCCTGCAGCTTCTCTAGCACCGAGGCGGGAGGTTACCTAAGGTTATAGCACTCGTCCCCTACTGCACTCCAGTACGCGGCAGACCAGCACGACGCCACTACCTCCCGACGGCACAATACCCGCGTCGCCATCATGAATGCGCTGTGGTCGTCGCGCGCCTCGGGCGACGGTGCCGCAGGCGAGAGAGAGAGCGATAGCGAGAGCGAGAACGAGAGTGAGAGGCCGCCTGCCGAGGGCCCAGACGCTTCCGAACCCCAAGTCGACACGCCCATTGAACAAGTCGGCCCTGATCCGTCGCTGCCTTCATCGTCATCGTCGACCTTGTTGACACCGGCCCCGTCCTCGGCTGCCGCCTCGTCCTCGTCCTCCTCTGCTCCCAGACCGAACCCCCAGAGCATCCCCAACCTGCGCACCGTTCCCAACGCCCGCCCCGTGCTCCAGAGAAACCAATCGGCACCCCAAGCCCCTCCCCCAGGTGTCCCCCCTCCGGCACCAGCGCCGCCGCCGCCGCCGCCGCCCCCCCCGCAGGCTTTAGGCGCCGATGCATCTTTAAACCCTCCTGATTCGCTGTCCCTCGCCCAGCTCCGGCGCATCGTAGCCGAGTTCCCGCGCACCGAGCCCATCGCCTATGACTATGTCTACGAAGACGTGGGCCCCATCGACGAGGAGATTGACGAGTGGTTCATGTACAACTTCTGGCAGTGGGTGCGCCTGAACGCCGCCAACCGCGCCTTTTACGGCGTCTGGGCCAGGCTCCCTGCCCGCGACTACAGTTGGGACGAGGCCGGTCGTGAGGCCCAGCAGAGCTTCGTGCGCGAGGCCCTGGCCTCGATGCAGTCGCCCGACAAGAGCACGCGCGGCGAGGCCATAGGCGCCCTCGTCTACCTGGTCCTGGGGCGGTGGACCGAAACGGTTCGCGCCGCGTCCATGCCCAACCTGACGGAAGCCAAGGCCAAATCGGCGGCCACAAAGGTCCAGCTCGACGCCATCCGGGCCGGAGTCCAGCTGCTCTCGGACTGTGACGGCATCCCGGTCATCTGGGCTGCACTGAAGAGCGCTTTCGAACCCTTCTGGCACGTGTGCTCCCAGTCGGACAGCTTCCTTTCCTCTTTCGCTGGTTCTTGCTGTTTGCTAATACGGGCGAAACAGGACCGACGAGCACCCCCAGAATCTCCAAGTGCTGGCTGAGGAGCTGATCCATCTGATGACCATCATGTACATGGCGCTGCAAGTAGCGCTGGACGACCCCGATGGCCTGGCCTCGGTCCACTCCGAACTCCGTATGAACAGACTTGCCCGATATGCAGCACAAGCAGCTGTGGCCCCCTGCTGACCCCGAACCAGTTGCGCTCAACCCGAACTTGGTCCACTTCATGCTCCATGCCACCGCGAGGCTGAGATGGGACGAGGCGTGCATCCTCCCACAAACCCAGGTAAGCAGTGCCTTCCTTGGTCGTCATGGAAGTGCTGGCTGCGTGCTGACAAGGGCTTAGGTTTTCCTCTTCTTTTTCAAGTCGATACTGCTCGTATTTGGGGGGTCGAAGGAAATTGCACATACCAAGAAGACCACCAGTGAGACGCAAAACGATGACGGCGAGAAGAGCACAATCACAGCCTCCCCCTTGGACTACCACGTATTCCGGCAGGAAATCACCTCAAAGTACCCTGCATACATCCCCCCTCAGCCCGCAATCCCCCTGGAAGCAGAGCAGACGTCTCTGCTCCCCCAGCTGCCCAATCACCCAACTCGAGACAGGAGCACAAATGGCATCTTGCCAGGCCCTCCCGGCCAGAGCGGCGGCGCCTCCATCCTGCATCAACCGGTCCACATCGCGACCCCCGCACCGTCGCCGCCTCCCAGCCCGGGTCCTGGCGGCAAGGGCGGTAAGAAGCAGAACTACCAGACGAACCAGAACTTCCCTTTCATGTACCCGCCCCTGGATGCCACGAGCAACAGCGCAGGCGGGAAAGGCGGGGCCGGGCTTCAGGATCTTCTCGTAGGCAGGAGATGGGAGGGAAGCGATGTGCCCGCGTCCATCCTCGAAGCCGGCGAGCTGTTCTCTCGGCGCGTGAGAATGCCCCGGGCCACCAGGCAGCTCTGGGACGAGCGAGAGAAGTTCCTGAAGTTCGAGCGGGGGTGGGATGGAGAGGACAACGACATCGTCGACGAGCTAGACCTCTCATCGCTCACCCTCGAGGAGAAGGAGGAGCTGGGCCTCTTGACGGCCGACGAGCAAAAACAGATGGCGCCTGAGCCCGAGGTGGACTATGGCCCGCGAGAGCTCGACGAGCGCACCAAGGAGCGGCTCAGAGCCGTCGAAAGCTTCTATGTGGGTGCCAAGCCCGGCCCACAATGCTGTTTGTGACTGAATTGTTTTGCTAACCGCAAGCGCAGAGCGAGGCGTTGCCGCATCTTCAATCACTAGTGATTGTGCTCTTGAAAGCCGTTGTAGCGATTGCTAGTAGCCTGGTTCCGCCGCCTCCTCCTAACGGGCAACAACACCCGGCCGCTGCCGGCCAGAACAACCAGCGTCTGAATGGCGGCGGGCCAGGTGCGGGTAGACAAGACGTGGCTAACGGTCATGGAGGCGCTGGCAAGGGAGAACTGAGCTCGCCGTCCGAGAACGACGTGGACGAGGCTAGGAGCAGAGAGATTGCCGCCAAGGCGGTGACGGGTATCATGATCCTCTTGCTGAAGTGGCTCAAGCTGTCTCGTAAGTTTGGGGAGGAATCCAAGACTAGGTCTCTCCCTCAGCTAACAATGCCGCCTAGATGTTCTCAAATTCGAGTACATGACTCAGCTCTTGTTAGACTCAAACTATCTCCCTCTCGTGTTGAAGCTGTTTGCTCTGCAGGATGTCCAGCAGGTAGTCGAGAGCAAGACGGACCGCATTGAGCAGAGGTAAGAGAGCTTCACTCATTCGTCTTCTCTCCCTAAAAGTCTCGGAGCTGATCCCACATCCCTGCTCAGTTTCTTCTATTTCTGCGGTTCTCGAGCGGGGGCTATCCCGAGCAACAACGTTCCGAACCCGACGACGACGGAGTTTGAGGAGGACATCAGCGAGGAAGAGGAAGACGAGGCCGCCCCGCCGCCCATCAAGCAGCGGCGGTCTCCGCAGAGGGCTGGCTTCGAGGAGGGCGAGGCGGCCGCAGCCGCAGCCGGGACGGCGCCCGCCGCACCCGCCGGGGAAGAAAAGCCGACGGCGCGGCCCGAGGTGGACGAGCTGGGGTACCCGGTCAACCCGCTGCCAAAAGAGCCCATTACTGAGTTCTCGCGGCGCAACTTCTTCACGCTCATCAACTACCTGCGCGTGATGCAGAAGATCTGCAAGCACAAGGCGCACCGCAACCTGCTCATGGTCAACTACAAGAGCTCCAACATCCTGCGCAAGTCGCTCAAGGTGCCGCAGCAGGAGCTGCGGCTGTACACGCTCAAGCTCTTCAAGAACCAGGTGCCCTACTGCGGGCGCAAGTGGCGCCAGAGCAACATGCGCGTCATCACCGCCGTCTACCTGCACTGCCGCCCCGAGCTGCGCGACGAGTGGCTCGCCGGCTCCGACGTCGACGCGGAGGTCGAGGAGGCCCTGCCCCTCGAGCAGGCCCTCCGCTCCCTCACCCACTGGTTCAACATGCGCAGGTACCCCGACAAGATGGCCCCCGAGGTCCGCCAGGCCCTCCGCGAGGAGCAGGACTTTTTCGTCCGCGAGCTCGACAAGGTCGACCTCAACTGGGACGCCATGGCCGATGGCGACGACTCGTCCGTGCGCCTCGAGTGGAGCGACCAGGACCCGTCTGCTGCGTGGGGGTGATTTGGGCAGTGTTATCTTGTAGCGGTTTGTTTCTGCCTCGTGGATTGGGGGAAGGGGTGCTTATTGGTTAGGTTATTTTACACAGGTACACACGCTCGCGCTCACGTCGTGTAATTGTTCAGTGCGAGAGGGCGAAACTTGGGATTTGGCGTGACCTGGCTGTTTGGAACGGGTGGGATGGGCCACGACAAATAAAATTATATACTGTCTATACAATTACCAGTGCTGAAACAATTTTCTGCTCCATTTCGACAACCCCCCGTCCTCGGGGAACGAACTAACGGACCAAATACGAACAAAAAAGGGGGTCAGAGACCCGAGATTTTGCTTGCTGATTGCCTCTATACATAGCTTGTCTATTTTATTTACCTATGTAGTGATCTACACGACTTGGAGTAAGTCTTTTTTTTTTGCGCGCGGGGGGTCGGGTATCTGGAGTCATGAGAGAAAGATAAAAAGAGAAAACGAAAAGAAAAATGGGGGAAAAAGGGACCTCTAAGTGTTCTTCGTCTAGCCGATAGACTCGACTTCTCGACCGAAGCAATGCCAGTGTTCTCTCGCACCCCTGTTTTGTTTCCATCTGAAAGTTGTGTTCGTTATTCATGTCTCGCCGAACCTCTCAGAGTTCATGGTATGTGTATTGCCGTTTCGTCAAGCATGCTCTTTCTTTTTCCAATTCGGCCGTTCTTAATCATACAAGACCCGTTGGGCATCTCTTCCTTATCTCACAGCTCAAGAGTGCCAGCCAGCGAGCCAGCTTCCGCAGGGGTGAGGTTTCAGTTCGACTGGGTGTCCAAAATCACGTTACCAGCAGTTGAGTTTCACCGGTAGTAGCCACTCTGTGATGACGGGTACTGCCCGTACGTCTGCCCCATCTGTGGTTGTTGTGAATACGGGTTTTGGGGGGGGTACTGCGGCGGCGGCCCCTGAGAGTTGTATCCCTGGGTACCGTATAACCTTTTCGCCTGTTTATTCTGGTGGCCCAGGCTCCTAACGCAGAACCCGGTGCACGTTCCAATGAGGAGAAACAGTCTAGGGGGCCAGGTTGTTAGCACCTCCGCTACTTCCTTTCTGGCTCGGGGGTTCGTTGCCCAACGAGAAGGGAGAGAAAGGAGTATGGATGAAAGGCAAGGAAAGGTGCGGCCTACATGATAACGCCAGAGGCATAGAGGGCCACTTTCGTCGCGTTGCAGAGCGAGGCCAGGCCGGATACTCTATCCAAGAGATCGTCGCCGGCTGGTGCGGCAGCTGCGCTGCCGCCGCACTCTGCGGTGAAGCCGCTCTTGTTGACAATCATGCCGGCGATGAAGAAGGCGCCGAGAAAAATGTCGAGGGGGATGAACAAGAAGACTCGGAAGGTGCCGCCATCCGATATGCATTTTATTAGAAAGACGTTGAATAAGCCCAAGAATACGAGAAAAAATGCTGCACCTGCGGGAAACAGGAGATTCCTGTTTCTCTCCAGAACCCCCTTGGCCTCATCCGTGTCCTTCAACACCCCGGCTCTGAAGAGGAGAACGCCGAAGACGACCAAGACGAAGAGGGCAAGGATAACCTGTATTACTCGAACGCACGTGTTTGCCCTCTTGGCATTTTTGAGCTTCTCTGGGTTGACGTAGCCGTTGCCGCTCATAATGGCGAGAGAAAAAGAGTGTGTTTATGTTGTGTTGTGTGGTGTGTGTTGTAAGTTGTGGAATGCGAAAGATGCGGGAACTGTTATTAGTTACCCTAGGTAGGAAGGTAGGTAGTTGAGCAAAAGAAATCGAGAAGATATCAGCCTCTTCACCAAAGGTCAAATTTTCTCTGCACTTGAAGAGAAACGTCTACACGCAGTGGACATTTCAAATCAAGAGCGAACAGGAAGAAAGAGCGAGACTGAACGAGGGATTCTCTGCTGAGCAACGGAAGATCGGGGGGATAAGTGGGCAGCTTAAAGGGTCCGTCCACTACCGACGCTGCGGGCCAAGCAAAGCCGTGGCTTGCTCCGGGTCGCGGGGCGGGCCCCGGCCCGGCCGCCTGTTGCATTGTTGCATCAATTGTCAAAGGTGAGGCGCAAGTCTCCTCGCCGCGCCCAAAGCCCGGCCCAATTTTTTGTTCGCCCTTCTAATCCGTGCAACACATAAGCAATCGGCAAGGTGGAACATGGGGAAAAAGGGGAGAGAAAAAAAGGAAGAAAAAAAAAGGATGCGCCCATCTTGTCAGTTCAGTTGCAGTCGGAACGAGCAAGCTTGTTCATTGAGGGTCGAGTTAGTCTGAGGCGAGAACCCATTTTGTTGCTCGTAGCTCCCTCCAGCTTTGCCGTCAATCGGGACCGGTGCCAGCATTCATTCGGGGTGCTGTAGCGGGAGACCCAGGGTTATCCGGTTTACCGTTGGGCCCGAGACCCTGGGCCCAAACAGTCGCCACCCCGACTTGCGATTGACAAATATTTCGAGATGAAACAATTTCCTAGTGTACGACTGTAGGGAAGTCATGCCCCGTGACTGTGCCGATCCAGGGTCCGTTTCCATGTTGATGGCTAAGATGACATCATGCCGTGTGCAGGGCTGCCGCGTCCAATGCAAGCAAGTCATTAGATCTAACCCCACTTAGCCCCAGTCCTAACCCTGACCAAATGCCACGAAGCTTTGGCCCTCAACAGGCCGGTGCGGCACGCCAACTAAACTGCACCCGCGTCGGCTCCCTTGCCGCAGGCCAATTTGGGCCCGTTCTTGACATCCAAAAGTCTCCTCCATATGGCCTTTTCTTAGTCAAGAGACAAACATGAACGGCTATATCAGATTTCACCATCACCACCGAATCCCGATGTTGGAAGGAGCGGGATTTAACATCAATATAGATTTGCTGCCTCGAAGGGAAAGATGGTGATGAATCTTGATCACCGCACCTTCTGGTTTCAAAGTTGAAGATTGTACAAGAAAGCGACCAAACTGCAGCCAACTGGCAGGAATCTGAACATCCTGGGAGTACCTTGGTTTGTGCCGATCACGAGATCGATTATGCCTTTTGTTGGAGGAAAAAGTTGAGGCTTTGGGACTCCTCTTTTCTCGGCCTAGCAAGTTTGCCAGCCCGCTTCGCGGCTTTACTACTGTCTTTCTCCTTGCATGTCTGCACTGAGCTAACAAGAAATGGTGTTTGCTATGTTTTTCTCTGCTAAATCCCATCATCAGGGAGCCATGATCAGTCATAAGTAATATGCAGGTTGATGGTTTGCAGGGAAGATTCCAAGCTCGGCTTTCAAACAGCCAGCTCCTTCAAATCTCGGAACCAATTAGAGCCCCGACTCTCAATCCGGAGAGAGCTGGTTGGCTCGCAGTCTCGCACGGGAATTCAACCCAGTTCGGCTCTGCCAAAAAACCGAAACCACAACTTCGATTTCCCCCATAATCCGTTTCCCAAGGCAACGGATGCATTCAGCCAAAAATAACCTCTGAAACCCAGCCTGGCCACACAGCCCTATTTACCGAGGAAATTAGCGCCTCCGACGAGTTCTCGGGTACAGTACCCTCGCAGCCCTTTCACCGAGCGAGTATAACCGCCTCCATTTCTCCCTACAGCGATGCAGCCTAAACCGGGGGATTTCTTCTAGACGCTGTCCCCGCATTGAATAGGTAGGTGTGCATGAGTCACACCTCGAAAGGCTGCCCAACGTGGTTGCTTGTTCGGCAAGGCGTTGCTGACTTGTCCGGTTCCCGTCGTGACCAGTTGAACTCAATTCGATCATGTCTCCAACAAGGCCAAGAAGAAGTCCAATCAAGCGCCTGGAGGCAGTGGCTCATTTCAATACCTTGACGAATGAGCACGCCGTTCCTTGATTGGATGCAGTTGCCGCCAACTTCCATGCCTGCCGAACCAACAGGCTGGAGAAAGAGTGTGTCCTTTGGCCTGGGATTGGCCTTCTTAACGCAGCGCGCTCACCTCGTAACTTAGTTTCTCTTTTGAACGTTTACCTATTAGCTTGCCTCGGGCAATCTAGCGAACCGGGCTCCTGGGACACATGTTCCACGTATGTTAGATTACTATTATCATCATCCCCGGTGTCCCGACTTGGGGCAATCATTCAACGGAACGGAACGGGCTGGGCTGGGTTTGTTTCAGAGTGAAGTTGGCCAATCAAGTGTCGGAACATGCAGCGAAGAAGCTCGTCGAGACTCATTCCTGGGAGTGACCCAGGAAGCGGCCACAACTCCGGGCCATGTGCTGTTGGCCTGTCAGCAGCGCTTATTGCCTGCGGATCTTTGCTGGGTAGTACTAACAATTGGATCTGGGAGATTCAGCCATGCGACGTCGCTGGCGGTGCTGCTGTGCTGTGAGGCTCTGTGTTACATCAAAGCCTCAATTACAACCCTCCCGCAGAAACAGAGACGGGAACGCCTCAAGGCAGAAGCGATTGATTGTGAGACGTAAAGTTAACGCAGGAGCGAGATGTGTGAAGTAAACATACATAGCAGGCTGGATTGTTCGATATCGTGTAACATGAGCGAGCAGCAATCATGATATATAGCCCCGAGAATCTCCAGCTTTCGTGATTTGAAAATCCCAGATACCAGTACACATTCATTAGCATCTCCAGAGCTGTCTTTTCTTTGATTACTTCCTTCTTCCTTCCTTTCGCATTGGCTGTACCGCTCTTACACCGTGTTGACCGCGTCCCTCGAAGCCTCTCCCGTCTCTCCTTGACCAGCGAATACCATCATCACCATGCGTTTCAGCACCGCAACCTTGACCACCATTCTTGCTTCAGCAAGCCTGGCAGTGGCTGCGCCTTTCTCCATCGACGACATCGGAAAGGCTTTCTCCGACCTTACCAAAATCTCCATTCCCAGCATTTTCAAGGGAGTTTCTGCCGCCGACATCCCCAGGAGCGCCGCCAAGCTCCCCAAGCTCCCCGTAATCCCGGGCCTGTCCACCATCAGTACCCTGTTCGACCTCACCAAGCTCATCACGACGGTCGTGGAAGAGGGCCCGGACCTCTTCAAGAACGCGTGCGGCGACTCGACCTTTGTCGACCAGGGCTCCGAGGCATCGCCGCTGGTCATCGACTGCGAGCGCATGTGTGACAACCTCTCCGGCCCTGGGGCCTTCACCATTATCGGCGAGGATCGGCAGCTCGCCTCGTTTGGCACGTGCGCCTTCGGCGCTGACCCGGGCACCCTAGGCGCCGCCGTCGTCGGCACCGAGGACATCCGCGACCTGGTTGCGTCGTCCATCGCTGCCTTTAAACGCCAGAGCGACGGCAAAGTCGGCTCCAAGGGCAGCATGGCCTGCGGTCCCATCGGTGTTAATGTCGACTGGGGTCTTTACCACACCTGAGATACATTTGTATGTGGATTGTAAACGTGGGTGCTCTGGGTTGCGTGTTTGAAGTTGATGTCTGAGAAAAGTTGGAAAGGGGGTGTGTATTATTAGGCAATGTTTGTGGCTTTGATTGTTTTGTTTGTAGATTTCTAGGATTTGATTTGATCTACAGCCTCAAATTGTCGATTTGCTTTAAAGGCTGGACAACCCAGTCGTGAGTGAATCAGAAAAGCAATGGAAGCTACCCCAAGTCACAGTGCTCCAGATGTGTTTGTAACAACGGCGGCACAGACTAATACCCGTCCCAGGTTCTCTCCTCTGTATGTCGTAAGACTTGTCACTCCAGCCAGTGCTACGGGCTTGAAACATTCGGATCTCTATCCGGAGGGGGTGAAAGCAGTATAGATACTGAGCCGTTTAAATTGTGATTATATATATATTGCTAAACGAAACTAGAAAGTAGACTAACGAGATTAGAATGGGAAGCGGAGTTATCCATATAGGGATGGAATTTCAAGAAGACGAGGTGGATTTGGTAAAGAGGGAATTGTCGGGCTTGGGCGGCCTCCTGATGATGGATACTGTGTTTTGGTGGAGAAGAGCTGGCAATGGAGGAATTTGGATGTAAGTAGACAACTATGGATGCTTATTGTGATTGCCGTATGATTGATCTCTCGGTCAGCTGCAGCCAGGCGGCTGCCAGGCTTTTACACGGATCCCTGCATGTCACGGTTCACTCTAGGCTCAAGCCTGCCTCAGTCGCTCCTTCCATCTTTCAAACGGAGGGCACCGCAAGCAACATCTGAGCAACAGCGCCCAGTACGTCCCCGCTTTTGCCTTCATAGGCAAGCTTCCGCTTGATTCTTTTCAACGAAAGCACGTAACTAAAAAACAACCCCTCTGGTGTATCGGTTAACATCGCGGATTCTCACTCCGCTGCGCAGGGTTCGACTCCCTGGGGGGGTGTTACTTTTTTGCGTCTTTTTCTTCCCTTAATATCAGGTTAGCCTCGTGATTTAGGAACTTGTAATTATTTTTATCTTACCAGCCTCGTAATCCTATTAGTCTCGGATCATTTGACGAGAATAGCGAGATATTTAGCCGTACGTTTTGCAATGGTTGTCTTCGCCGCGCTACAACACGAGGGTAATCATAGTTGCTGGAAATGGGAGATTATAACTTCTTCAATTAATTTATTATTCTAGTATGGGGTACAAACAATGGAGCTATGAGTCACCGATGATCTGAAGCCCAGTTAACCGGTATCCTGTAGCACATTCTGTCGTGAACGCAGGTGCTGGACTAGAAGCTGCCAGCTCCCTGACTGTTCGCCTCAATTAACTAACATCATTCACTGGAGAAGTTAAGTAAGTTGCCTCAAAAGATGCGTTCTTTCGGCTCGCTCATAAAATCCGTATTACAGAACTGGATGCGACGATGACCGTGGGAAAACCTCTACCAATCAACAATCAACAAATGGGTCGACCAAATACCTCAAATTCTTAAAGATTGTATATATCTAGAAGGAGCTATGACATGGCATTGAAACTCAATTGGTTTTATCTAAATCGGGCTTATTGAGGCCGAGTTATGGATGGTTTGGTGTGCCCTTTTTTTTGTTGGTAGCGTGCCTGCGTAAAAGGACTCTCAAAATAAGGTTCAAGACTGCAACCGCCCGGTAGCTAGAGACTGCAACCGCCCGGCAGCTGAAGGGCCGCATGAAGAAGCTGGTCGCCTAGGTGGGTAAGGTAGTCGTAGTCTTCAGCTGTCGGGCTTAACTAGGGGGGATATTTCGAGGAAAAAAAAACGCAATGTTTTCCACTTTGACGGCATTCCCACCGGAAGTCCGGAAGTAAAATGGCAAGAGTTGAATTACCGAGGTAGTCAAGCAGGAATTGCCGCCGCCAACCTGCGAGTGAAGGGTCTACAAGGTCCTTCCCTCGGGCCACCAGCAGTATCTCTTGACCACTCTCCATCGAAAACTTGGGCAGAGACACCTACCAGTCAAGCACATCAAGCCAAGATCCCTCAGGTTAATTTTAGTTACAATAAGTCAATCTCCAGTTCCAATTGCCGTCTCTCTTCAATTGAGCTGCGACCCTGACACCCAGTCCTACAGTAATTACTTGCCGCTACGATGAGCGCTTCACCGTCTCGCTCGTTTACCACGGGGTCCAGAAGATCCCTCCTTAGAACCCCGCCACCACCGCCCCCGCCACCACTGTCGACCCCGGGGCAGAGTCAACCACAGGGGCAATCCGACTCCGTGGGGAGCCAGGGCGGGGACTGTATTGAGGCCGCTGGGCTTGGACAGAAAGCAGAGAACCCGTTAGAGATGGTAGATGGCGAGGAAGAGTGGGAGGTTGACCGTATCTTATCCTCTAGAATACCAATACACGGCCGCCTAGAGTACCGAGTACAATGGACAGGCTGGGACTGAGATACAACCTGGTACCCAGCTGGGAACTTCAAGAACGCCCCGGCGAAGCTGCAAGAGTTTCACGAACAACGCCCTAACAAGGCGAAACCGCCCAAACTCCTACAGCAATTTAATATATTTAAATGAGAATGGCTTCTTTATTGGAATTAGTTAACTACCCAGGTATTAAATAAGAAGTTGATATTGGGGGAAATGGGTGAAGCTATGCCAAGAGGACGGATCGGGCTTAGTGGGGGTTCTCAGGCTCGGGGCCCTGCCGCAAGGGACATCCCGCAGTGGATCTAGCAAAACTCCTTCGCTTAAAGACCCTTAAAAGATAAAATGGCCAACTTTCTCGAGGGCCTAATTTGACGACCGTCGTTCTTCTGTGCCCAACTAGTTTCCTGTCTTCATGACGCGAATCAAGTATCACTTGCCGTGGAAGTTGGAGCGACCCGGCGGAAAGGATTGAGATTCAGTCTGTTTTACTGCCTATGAAGGAACCTCAAGCCCGAATTGACACCAAAGTCATGCATAACACCGGAAAAACTAAGAGGCACTCCGACGGGAACTGGGGGCAACCACCGACCCCGTCTTGTCACCAGGCCCATCCGTGGACGGTCTCAGACCCTTTTTTGGTTGCAGCCACATATGCGACCTTCCCCAGACCTGGGAGCAGGCCGGCAGCCTTAACAAGACAGAGGAATCCCAAAGACATAGGTTGGGGGCATTCCAAGGACTTCACCCTGCTCAGCGGAGCTGCAGCTTGTGCAACAATTCACTTCAAACGGCTCGGAGGAAGAGCCAACAGCTGCACAGCATTCCATCTGTCGTGTGCTCGCTAGAGGCGGTTTACCTGTAACTCCTGCCTTGTTTGTCGGCGGCGCAGAGGGCAAAGCCAGAACTCACCGACGTCGGGTGCTCTTTCCTGACGCTGAGATAGGTCAAGTCTAGATTGCTGCCCGGACAGCCGTGAAGTAGCTGATGCCGTACCCAGCTGTAAGAAATAGTGGATAACTCCTCCCTAAGATTAAGCTTCCACCATGTTAGGCTAGTGGTTGCAACACCATCTGTTCGGCCGTAAATACGTACACCTAGATTGCCATTCAAGTCGGCAAGAGGAAGGAAAGCAGGAGCGAACGGTGCCCGACCTTGCCTCTCGGCTTATAGGTTAGTAACTTCTCAAACGCGGGAAAAGCGAGCGCCTCACTTGGGAGGCGTCCCGAGGGCATAGCTAACGCACGTTCCCACAGCGCCCGTTGACTCGAAAATATTACCTGTCAAGAAGTCTGGATCTTTTCGTCGCTGCATTGCTTTCTTTGGCGATGCTGTACACTAGTGGTTTTAGTACTTCCTGATTACTAGTCTGTTACCAACCCTTCCGTGAATATCGAGCAAGCCCATTATCCAAGACAACCACTGACTTATTACTGACTCGCTGCCTGTCTGGTAGGTAAAGGGTATCCGTATCGGCAGTCGAGGTCCGAAAAAAAGCGGAAAGGATTGCGGATCGTCGTGGGCACTTGTCCCGATCTGGTGATGGATGGCACCCGGGCTGGCCAGACTCTTTAAAACCGCGCAACATCAAGAGACGAGGAATGCCACCCAACAAGTACGGAATACGGAATACGTAATGCCCCAAAAGTGATTGTTCGTTCAGGCGCGCACCATCGACGCCACGATGCCAGACTCTGCGCCGAATGTCTGCACTCGTCGACGCCCGCATGCGAGCTCGTCGTGCGGCTGGACAACACGACGGTCGGGGTGTGGTGCCCGCCAATCAGACGAGCCGCTGCTGGCCGGTTTGTGCTCCCTTTCGCGCCCCATCGCCTGTGCCTGACCGGGGAAACATACGCCACGGTTCCCCCTCGCATGCGGTAATACGAAGTGCAGGGGTCTGCTCTTAGCTGGGGCAAGCCGGGGCGAACTGAGGGCTGCCACGCAAAAAGAGACACATCAATAAGGGGGGGAAGGGGGTTGAGCGGTCTCTTTGCTTCCAGTCCCAGGGACTCTGCCCATGCGTAATGTGTTATTGATTGCCTTTTGAGAAAGAGAGAAGAAGCAGCCGTACGCTCGCTCAAGAGGCCGACGTTGGGCATCTCTCAATAGCTTCCACTCGCTCCAAGGCTCGTCTCTCGACAGACGGCCTCTATACTCTCGCTTTTTTTCTTCTTTTTCTCTCGAACCTGCTCGAGCTAGAGAGGCAGTCACTCCGCGATATCTCTCAAGGAATTAAACAAGAATTTCACTGCCTTAATCCGTCTTTCAACTCGAACGGTTCTTTCACTTTTCGGGACTTAAACACTATTTGCTCCAGGGCTGTTCGTTGTGTTGGACGGGCATTCCATAATCTAATGTCTAGATCCCAGAATACCACTAGATGAAGCCGCACGCGACCCTTTTCGCCGGCCTGCTATCGCTCGCTGCGAGAGCCGGCCGGGCAGACCCGACATGGCCAGCCGCCACGGACGAGATGGAGGAGATCATCTACCAGCTGCACGACTTCAAGGCCCGGCTGTTTGCCGACGCCGTTACTCCTTGCAGTAACGAGGCTTCAGGCCCGGGAAGGGTGACGGCGAGTGAATGGCTTCGCGTAGCCTTCCAGTACGTGATAATCCCTCTGGGTCTAGAGCCAAACCGCGAGCAACCTGCGAGCAACACATACTAACTGACATGTCAAAGTGACATGTCGACGGCGAACCACTACTTCGGGACAGGAGGCCTCGACGCGTCCATCCAGTTCGAGCTGAACAACGGAGAGAACACGGGGCCCGGACATACAACGGCGCTTACGTGGTACTCCAACTTTTTTTCCAGCCGGGCCACCATGTCCGACTTGATTGCCCTCGGCACGTATGCCTCGGTCCGGTCCTGCGGCGGGCCCGTGGTGCCTCTGAGGCTGGGACGCATCGATGCATCGGCCGCCGGGAGCAACGGCGTGCCGCAGCCGCAGAACTCGGTCGTCACCTTCCGCCAGCAGTTCGACCGCATGGGCTTCTCCCCGACCGAGATGATCCAGGTGACGGCCTGCGGCCACACGCTCGGCTCGGTGCACAGCGCCGAGTTTCCCGACCTGGTCCCGCCGGGCACTGGCGTCAACGGCCAGGTGCCCCTCGACTCGAGCGCCGCCGGCTTCGACAACAAAGTCGTCACCGAGTTCGTCGACGGCACGACGCAGAACCCGCTGGTCCGCGGGCCGGCCATTGCCGTCGGCCGCAACTCGGACTTCAAGGTCTTCAACTCGGACGGTAACGCGACGCTCAACGCCATGTCGTCGCCGGCGGCCTTCGCCAGCGTCTGCCAGACCGTGCTGCAGAAGATGATCGACACGGTCCCGCCCGGCGTCGTCCTGACCGACCCCATCGCCCCCTACATGGTCAAGCCGGTCGACATGCAGCTGACCCTAAACCAGGGTGCCGCCTCCTTGCTCCTGACCGGGAACATCCGGGTGCGCACCACCAACCTCCCTAAGGAAAATATCCGCGATGTGACCTTCACCTGGAAGGACAGGAACGGCGGCAGCAACTGCGGCTCTGGCGGCTGCTCTCTGACGACGACTCTGCAGGGTGTCGGCAGTGGCCTAGACGACACGTTTGGCGTACGTTGTTAGATATCTTCATTCATGCCGTCGACGCCGTGCCATCTGATTGATGCTGACCTGGTCCCAGTTCTTCCCCATCTCGACCACCATCAGCGCCTCCGCTGGCATTTCCTCTTTCACTGTCAAGATCAATCTTGTCGACGGCTCTAGCCAGTCCTTTGACAACAACGGCAACTCTTACCCCTTGTCAGACGCCGTAATCCTCCAGAAACCGCAGAGCTGTCTGCTGCAGAGCTCAGGGGCTCTCACCGTCACCGCGCTCGTGAGTTAAATATCCCACCTCAAAAAAGAAACATCTCAAATCTTCGGCCCAGCGGTCTCTTAAACAGACAGCGAGCAACCCAACCCAGTTCAACCTAACCGCTGATCCCACTCCCAGGTCCGCAACGACGTCACAGCAACACCCGTCACCCTGGGCGTCGAGTTCCTCGTGCCGCGCGGCACGAGCAACGGCAACCCGGTGCCGGCGTTGAACAAGGCCACCGTGGCCATGACCAAGGGCGACTGCGCCGGGTCGTTGTACACGTTCTACACGGCGAGCTACAGCATCGCCGGGGGCAAGAGCTTCAACGCACGCATCAGCGTGACGGCCGGCACGGCTGCCACCGACGACTTCAACCGCGCCAGCGACCTCGCCGGCTCGTGCATCGCCTTCGCGGGCGGCACGTGCAGCTCCGCTCCCCCATCGTCATCATCATCGAGCAGCTCGACTGGAACAGGCGGCAGTATCTCGACAACGCCGTCGTCAATCACAATCAGCAGCAGCAGCGCGTCGCCGTCCCCGACGCTCACGCACAAGCCTGCCCTCGGCGGCTACGTGCTTAAAGGGTGCTGGACGGAGGGATCTGGCGGGCGGGCGCTGACGGGGGCCTCGTTCGCATACGACAGCATGACGCTGGAGTCGTGCATGGGCAACTGCACGGGGTTCGACATGTTTGCGGCCGAGTACGGGCGCGAGTGCTACTGCGGCAGCACGCTCTCAACAGGCAGCGTGCAGGCGCCGCTGACGGACTGCAGCATGGTGTGCGCGGGCAGTCAGTACGAATACTGCGGCGCGGGCAACCGGCTCGAGCTGTACTCGACGACGGCGACGCGGTCGACCTCGTCTTCGACGGCGACGGCTACGCTCGCCGTCAGGCCCACTGTGGGCGCCTACGTCTTCGTCGGGTGCCAGACCGAAGCGACGAGCGGCAGAGCGCTCACGGGGCCGTCGTTTGCAGACAACGCCATGACGCTCGAGGCATGTGCGGCCTCTTGCACGGGCTACACATACTTTGGCACAGAGTATGGCCGAGAGTGTATGTTTTCCCCTCTCGTCTATTCCGTACTCGTATTAAGTGGGATGTTGATGTGTGTTCTGACAACCCAATTTCACAGGCTATTGCGGAATGAGCCCCGCGGCAGGCAGTGTTCCAGCTGCCTTGGGCGACTGCAGCATGACATGTTCAGGCAACCCGCTAGAGTACTGTGGCGCTGGAAACCGCCTGGAGCTGTACAAGCTTGCGAGTGCAGTGTCGTCCAGCAGCTCTAGCAGTTCTAGCAGTTCTAGCAGCACAAGTAGTAGTACTTCCAGCACGTCTAGGCCCCCGACAACCAGTAGCACCACCACCACCACCACCACCAGCACGTCCAGCACTGCCACGTCCAGCACCCTGGGCATAAAGCCGACCGTGGCACCGTTCACGTTCGTCGGGTGCTGGACCGAGGGCACGGGGGCTCGGGCGCTCAGCGCCAAGAGCTACGAGTCGGCGGCAGGCATGACACTCGAGAGCTGCGCGGCCTTTTGCGCGGGCTACAGATACTTTGGCGCCGAGTACGCGAGCCAGTGCTTCTGCGGGAACGCGCTACACCCGACTTCGAGCAACGCGTCGCTGGGCGACTGCTCCATGGCCTGCACGGGCAATCAGTACGAGTACTGCGGCGCGGGCAACCGGCTCGAGCTGTACCGCGACGACACGGTAACCGTGCCGACGGGACCCTCGCAGCCCGCCACAGTGTCCCCGAACTGGGGCTTTTACAGCTGCGTGACCGAGGCCTCTGCAGGCCGCGCGCTCGCGGCCAAGAGCTACGCCGACGACGCCATGACCCTCGAGGTGTGTGGCGTCTACTGCGCTGGCTACGCCTTCTTCGGCGCAGAGTACGCCCGCGAGTGCTATTGCGGGAATGCCTTCGCGTCGGGCGCCACCAACACGTCCCTGGCCGACTGCTCCATGACCTGTGCTGGGAACGGCACCGAGTACTGCGGCGGGGGGGGCAGGTTGAGCGTCTACGTAGCACATGCTTGAGTTGGACAGCTAGGTGGCCCGAGTGATACTTCCCCTAGAAGAGAGGAGAGGGGCGGGAGAGAAAAGGTGAGAGAACAGGCCAAAAAGGTTAATGGAGACACGATCCTTCTCGGGGTGCTCGAAGGTGAAGGGAAGAAAGATGGAGAAGCAACAGGATCAAAAAGGTACGCACGGAACATGGTCACTTTAGGGTGACGGGATATGCATGATGTGCATATACGAAGGCTTCAGACCTAATTTTTGTTTCTCTTTTTATCCTCTTGTTTTTTTTCTTCTTCTTCTTCTTCTTGTCAAGAAAATAACTTTCTCAATAACTTTCCCAATTCGATTCGGCCACAGCAATGCAGACACGGCCCCCCGTATGTTCCATGTTAGATTTTGTCAAGGGTGCGTGATGCCCATAACTGTGCTCTCGTCGATGTGCGTGTGGAGACGGCTTCATTCCTCTAGTGGCTGTCCCGTCTTGTCATGAGGCAGGCATATTGGATATGATCAGAGGGGAGCGCTCGTCAGATGTCTTTGGGTTGCTTTGATGGTCTGTGGTGATTTGCGGTCTGTCTATGTGTGGGGAGTGGAAATGGCGTCTCTAGCGAGAATTTGAGGCTTAGATATGGGCTAACATTAGCTGTGGTGAGCAAGGTCCCACACCGTGGGCTTCAGCCCCTTGGGTTGTTTCTCTTTCCATTGGATGCAACTAGGAGCGCCCCGAGCCGTATACTATCCCCATGTCCAAGTTATCCAGGTCTCGGCAAAGTCTAGACCGAGACGGTGGTTGTGATGATGATAATGATAATGATGATGACGATGATGGGACATTGACACCGAGAATGTAAACAGCAAGCAGGAAGCACTTGCAATTGTCGATTGCTCATTGACCGGCATGCCTACCCCAGGTCTGGTGGATGGTCTTAGAATTCGATGATGTGGATTGGATACATATCATTGGATACTAGGGATTATTCTGTACACCAAACCCTTAGCCAAGTCTTTCTTGTTTGCACCTTCCATCATTAATTAGCTTGTGATTCCCACTTGCGACGCCCAGTGGCGCACCACACCCCAGTGCTCACCTGTCTTGTGGCCTCGAGCGTTCACCTTACACATACCCCAACCGTTCCATGCCTTTTAGCACCTGGATAGCCCATATGAGGTGACTAAGATTTCCAATTTTTAGGCTGCCTGAGGTGCCAATAGATCCCGTGGCAGTGGTGGTGTTGGGACTCTCTCGAAAGTCGAAAGTCGAAAGTCAAATGGACTATGAGCTCCGGAGCCCTCTACTTGGTAAGCGTGGTTTCCACCTGGGAGCGCCATGCGCTATATACGCTTTCTGGGGTGAGTGTCCATGATCGATTTATCGTGGGGACAATATCCCGTGCTTGTCGAGTGCAGAGAGAGCGGCGAGGCTCAAGCTATGGCAAGTTGGTGTAATTGCTCAGGGGGGCTTCCGTTGTGGTTGTAATTACTGCTGTCACAAGCAAAACATCTACGCCATGCAGGTACAAAGTGCTTCAATGGTCTATTGCAATTTTCCAGCCCGTAACGCATGTACATATTCGACTAGACCCGTGGAAACAAAAGGCGACATGGCCAAGGAGTCGTTGACACGGTGTCAATACAGACATGCATGCGTCACTCCTTCAATGGGATTCTCTCCATAAAAGAGAGAATGGCATTGTAAACACCAATGCGCCAACGGCCTGACCAAATATTATGGCATACGGATAGGTCTACCTGTAGCCACGTGTACCATCGAACTACACCAAAGGGAGCGGGAGCCATTGAAAAGAGACTAGTTCTACTAGTAATGGCCAAGTTCGAGGTTGATGAACTCAATTGAACCTGAACCCTGTACCCCTCCCTGCTGAGCGATAATGGGATGTCGGGGCCTGCGTCGTCGCGTATGTCGTCCTTGAAGACGAAGTGAAATATTTACCAAGATGGCTTGTTGGGAACTAGCTTGTGATCCTCAAATTTCACATGCAGTCTCAATCCAATCAACATCCCAGCCACCTCTCAAAGTCGCTGCCAGACGGTGACATGATGCACACAGTTGATCAGACCGGCCAGTAACTATCAATGCGGGCAGATAGACCGTGGACATGTTCGCGAAGATATGAACAACCTAGGCGGTGAATGTCTCGCTCCGGCTCTAGTCATCTGCGCGAGAAGTTGCTGCGCACGAACCGGCTCGCTGTTTCCGAGCTCTGGGATCTGGGCTCTGGGGCGGGAGAAACCGGGGGTTTTTTTTGGGACGTTTGCGAAGCTAGTGGAGAAAGGTGAGGAGTAATTGGGGAGGCGGGGTAATATGATATGTGTACCTCACGTCGTCATTTCCCCAAGAAGGCGGCAAGGAAAGAAGTCAATCGCAAACCATAAAATAGATATTCTCTCAACTTTGCAATGCAGGAACCTTTGCGCGGAAACACCCTTAATTGCCGCTATGCTGCTCCCTGACATGTGTCAAAGTTAATTAGGAGCGACCAGAGAACAACATTGAAGCGAGCGAGCTTTCCCGTACAAGTGAGCTTTCGCGCATGGGAATGAATCTTGGTAACTGAAGCTCCCAAGACATCAGATCGCCGTAGAACTGCCGCGTATGGGGTGACGATGACTATCGCTAGCACACCCGTAGGTACGCCGTTTACAGTTTATGGAGCCTCCCATTACAATCTTTGTCGGGTTCAAGCTTCTTGTTTTTGGTATGCTTATATTTACACGAGCCCACCTATGAATGGAGTCGTGGTGGAGGTTTGCCGTATAGTACGTGTTGAATGACGGCTGCCCCACATTGAGCCTCACCCCTCCTTGAGCTGTCCTCTCGTGACCTACCTGACTCGACAAGAAAGGACGTTTATCCAAGACGGGGCGCACCAAAGGTGCCTTCTTTTGCTGACATACACCGAAAGGAGTGATACACCGAAAGGAGTGATACACCGAAAGGAGTGTCCGGATTCAAAAATAGATAGATGCTGTTTTATTTTGTCAGCGGGTGCATACCGAAGCTGATGGTTCGTGGGTTTCTGCATCTCGACCACAGTCCTATGTATTTGCATCCGCACAGTACGACTCAAAGTGGAAGAAAACAACTCGTGGTCCATGCGAGTGTCCTGAACAAGAAAATTTCCACAGCTCTACGGATAGTTCCAATTTCGGCCAGCAGTTTGACTTCGCACGCAGCCGTCACGCAGGGTAAGGCCCTCGAGTCCGTCACATCTCTTTCTTAAATCGACGTGAAGTATTAAAAAACTTATCGCGATGCTACAGTTCTGGGAACGGAGCGCTTGTTGAATGAGCACCCCGCGACCTGCCGATTTTCGTCCAACTTTATTTCGCCTTCGCCTCTAGTCTGATCTAGTCCATCCCAACCTGCGGAGCGGGAACGTCTGGGGTGCTCGGGCCAATGACAGCGTCTGCAAAGGAATGCCGGCTCAACACGGCAGGCATTTAGCGCGGCTGCTCCCGGAGGTCTTCGCTGTTCGCTCGGAAAATCTACGGGCGACGGGAACTTCTCATCAAAGCTCGAGTACGACATCCGATGGGAGTCAGCCCAGCTCCCAACAGCTTTTCCCCCTCTCTCGAGCCCCCAATAGCAATCTTTTGGCCGGGGAAGGCGTCTCCTACCAGGCCTCTCACCTCCGGTGTGGACCCAAGGTGATCTAGGCACTGAGAGGCGGTATGGCGGTATCGATGACTACTATAGACCTAATTTGGAGGACCTTTTGGATGGGTCTGCTGGTCATTCGGGTCGCGCTCGCCAGGAAAGACAGGAACGAAAGGGCAGACCGGTGGTGGGGTAAGTCAAGAAACTAATGCTATGTACTGTGGATATCAGCCACCTTTCCTAAATATGCTTGCCTATTGTATCTCGCACTTAACGAGTGAATTTTGTTCGACGCCCTGCCTCGGCGGGGTAGCTCGGAACTGTACAGCTGGTATCAGGAGCTCTGAATATATTGTTATACATGTGTTCGCCATATACCCCGTCGAATGGTCTCTCGTAGCATGGCAACCTGTCAAGAAAAGGATGAGGGACTAAGTAGTCGTCACCTCAAGTGGGCAGGCGGTTCTGGCCGCGACTGTGGCGTGAGTCTGGGGGTGGCTTTGTGGCAGAACCTCGCCCCACAAAATGGGGTTCTGCCACAGTACGGAAGAGGTAAGCTTTGAAGAAGAAAGTCTAACCTGAAGAAGGGACGACAGTGGAGTGACAGCAAAGTGCAGAAATACATGCATGTACCCGTAGAAAACAGTGTATACTATGTCATTGCCTCTAAAGAATTTGCATACCTTATGTGGAGGCATCCAGGCCTTGAAAAAGACAGCGACGAAAGCCAAAGTTGAAGTCAGCAACAGGCTTCTAGTCGAAGACGACCTGAAGTAATGTACGGAGTACTTCGTACGGGGTACTTAGCTGTCGACAGAAGCCTCCCACCGCCATCCGCCATACCGCAACAGGCGATGGACCGTGGACCCCGCCAGGCCGGGGTCGGGTGAAGGGCTCGATTCGACCAATTCCAATCCCAGCCCCTGGTCTTCCCCGCCTCGCCCCTTCACCTCTCGCTGCGAGTGAGAGGGAAAAACACAGGGCTCATCCCGCCAATCAAGGATTGGCGGTCGACTGCTGGTTGACTGCGATTGACATGTGAACCCGGGCCAATGGACAACGACAAGCAAGGTCGGCCGTTTTCTTGTCAGGCACAAAGGTACCCAGGAGCCAACTTCTATTGCTTCCCAAAGTTTAATCTTCCATGGATTTAAGTTGACACGGGTACTTCCAATGGCCAACGCTCAGCAAGATTCTGCCAGAGCATCTGGCAGCCAGACTGCCTCACTACCAGCTAAGTACTCCGTACCTAGCTCAACCCGGGAGTCCAAGGTACCTACAGGTACCTAGTACCCCTGAGCCCATCAGGGTGGTTTGCACTTGCAGCGCTAGATAGGTGCCCGGCCAGCCAAGCTAGAGGGTCTAGAAACCCGTAATCTTCGAGTACTAGTGCAAACCATATGGAAGCCATTGTTGCCTACATTTCAGACGCGCCACCCATCGTTTCCTGTAACAAGGTCCACACAAGCACGCCAACAACCCGCAGCCCGGGGATTCTGTGGAGATTGGATAGCCAGCCAGGCGGGATCGATGCGGATGCTATGCTATTGGTCTATGCTCTTGGTCTTGGTCTCCTCTTGGTCTTGCTCTTCCATTGCTCTTGCTCTTCCATTGCTCTTGCTCTTCCATTGCTCTTGCCCATGGGCTCGCCCCTGCATATAATAATAGCAGCCGCTCCCTCCCCCCATCCCTTCCCTTCCCGTCCCGACACCATCGAGCCAGGATATCTTGTCTCTTTACTTCCCGTGTGCCCCATAATCTCTCTCCATCGTTTAAGCTCGGGATATCTGTGTACCTATCTATCGCAGAAAGCGGTAACCACGACACACGCCCACCAAGAGAGCCTTGCCTTCCCCTCCTGAAGGTAAGGTACTGTGCAATAAACGCATACTAGGCCAAGGTAGGTACCTCCTCGCCTCGACGCCACCACATCCTGCATCGATTTCCAGTCGACGCTCCAGGCAGAGGTCTAACCCTCCCCAGCACGCATTTTTACCACACGGGCTCGCCGTCGCCCTGACCAACCTGCAACACACACCAAGCCCAATATCTAATCGACACGTGTTGCGGACTGGTGGACAGGTTTCTCGCTCTTTCGCTTTGCCAACCAAGGCTGATGACCGACGACGCCAGTATCGCATCTTCTCCAAGCGTCAATACCCCAATGTCTTCAGACGAGTCACCAAGCTCACCCACGCTCTCGGACATCTCCCATTTCTCTGATGGCCCCAAGGCCGAGGCCGTCTCGCCTCGCCGGTCACCTCTCAAGAGGCGCCCCTCATCTTCCTTCAAGGGAGACGAGAACGAGAATGGCAATGGCAATGGCAATGGCAATGGCAACGACAAACGACCCAGGCCCGCGCCCAACAGCGGCAAGGTCACCAAGCGTCGGGCCGCGAAGGCCTGCTCGAGTTGTAGGACCCGGAAGGTGAGGTGTGACGTTGTCGAGCACGCCCCTGGGCCTTGCGGCAATTGTAAGTGGGACGGTGTTGAGTGCATTGTCCAGGAGAGTCGCCGCAGAAAGTAAGTTTCAGATTTCCCAATGTTGTGGGAGCCCCCTTCTGTTTTGTAACCCTCGCCTCTGTCCATTTGGCCATTCCATTTTTTTTTTTTTTTTTTTGGTTTTTAATTTTTTTTTTTTTGCTTGGGGGAGGAGGGGGAGTTGGGCAATTCCTCGACCCTGCTGTGCATTTGACAGGTGTCCGGCACAATCGCGTCACATTCAGGAGGAAAAGGGGTAAAAAAAAGAAGTTGGCCCAATTCCTCTCTCAAATCCCCCAGCTCAATCGCCTCGAGTGTCTCGTCTCCCAAATCCGGATTCCCAGACACTAACGTGGGTGCCTTGCTTAGAAAGGCCAATATGTTCAACGCGGTGGGGATGATGAGCGCCGGCAATGCCGAGGCATCGCAGCCGACGGGCGGCCTGATACCCATGGCTGCCGCTGACCTGCTTGCGGCTCAGACTGCTCTATCTCAAGGCGGCGCCGGCGGCGCCGGAATGCAATATGGCGCCCATCTAGACGCCCAGCGAGCTCCTCAAATGCTCGGTGAGCTTCATGTTTTCTCGGTTTCCTTCCCCATCACATTGATTTCTTCTTTTTTCGTTAAAAGGCGCATTCTCGCATCCCCTTCAAGCCTGTTCACGTCATTTGCGGCCAAGCAACCCCCCCTGTCCAGTGCAGTCATCCCAAGTCATCTGCAACAGATGGATGCCGTGCAGACGCCCACCAAAAACAAAATCACATGCCAAAATGTGGATTCAAGTTGTGGCGATGGGGATCCCTGCTTTGCTGACTTGACTTGGCGTAACGGCAGCTTTTCGGAATTATAGAACACCAGCGGGTGTGCTCGCTCCCCAACTTGGCGGCCCCAACGGACATTACCAGTGGTCCCACCGGGCCCCGAACCAATCTACGCCGTTTGGCAACTCGAACCCGAGCCCTCGGGCCGGCCCAATGCCGGATTTGCTAGATTTGCCGGATGTTGGAAACGAACTGCTGCCGTTCATGAAGCCATTCCCGGCCAAAATAGATGAGGCTGACCTGCAGTATCTGCGGCGCAAGGATGCTCTGGCACTCCCGGTCCCAAAACTCGAAAACGCGCTGATCAGCGCATTTGTCGAGTTTGTGCATCCGTTTATGCCCGTTCTGGACCTAGAAAAATTCCTCGGCGTCGTCAACCAGAGAGATGGCCAAAATGGCAAAGTCAGCCTGCTTCTCTACCAGGCTGTATTGTTCGCCGGTGCTGCCTTTGTAGACGCTGGAATCCTCAGAGAATCCGGCTACACGAACAGGAAGGAGGCCCGGAAATACTTCTTCTCCAGGGTGAAAGTAAGTAGTCTCTCCCTTTTAAACTTTGCCCTCGCCTGCCCTGTTGCTGACTATGAGTATCTAGATTATCTACGACATGGACTACGAGACGGATAATATGGTCCTAGTGCAGTCCTTGCTGATGATGACTTATTGGTACGAGACACCAAATGAGTCAAAGGATACTTGGCACTGGCTAGGCATTGCCGTCTCACTCGCGTTAATGTCTGGTCTTCATCGCGATCCAAAAACCCTCCCCGTGCCCCCCAAAGACCACGGTCTGCGGAAGCGAATTTGGTGGTCTTTGTTCATGCGAGACCGCCTCGTGGCTCTCGGGATGCGGCGGCCCACTCGGATCAAGAAGGAGGATTGTTCCGTGCCAATGTTGCAAGAGTCCGACTTCGACATCCGAGTTATCGCTGTCGATACAGAGCCTCAGTGCGTGCTACTCCGAGACACGACCATGCAGCATCAGTTGGTTACGATGTGCGTCGAGAAGGCGAAACTGTGCGTCTGTATTAGTCACATGCTAGACGCGCAGTACACGGTGCTCACGAGCGAGGTCGTGCAACCAAACAACGATCTCAGCATGCTGCTGTATCCGAAAAAGAGTCTCTCTAACAGGGAGGTCGTCGAGAAGGTCCATGGCGAGTTGGAAGGGTGGCTCAATAACCTCCCAGATTGCTGCGTACGCCGGCCACTGACGCTAGCAGATATCGAGGAAGGCAGCAAGGCGATTGCGGTTCACCGCAGCCTTCTCCACCTGATTTGTCACACCACCTTTTCGGCGTTGCACCGGCCACAGTTCCTACCAACGCCCCAATTTCCAATTCCACCCGAGTTGGTCGAGGTCCGAGAGCTGGCTAAAAAACGAGTACGCCACGCGGCAGATCAGAGTATTACACTGGGTAGAGAGCTACATCGGCTCGGCTTGGACAGATACATACCAACTACAGGAGTCACTGTCTTTTTGCCTGCCCTGCTCATTCAACTCTATTATATCCAGGATGGGGATCCCGCTGTTGTCCATCGCGCCAAAGACAACTTTAGGGACGGCGCGGAAGTGATGAAAGTCCTCAGCGAGAGCTACCCTGCTGCCAGCTTTGGACTTGAATTCTTGGCTGCCGCATTGGCAAGATACCGCCTTGACGGAAGCTGGCTGTGGAATGGAGCTGCGAGCTCGAGACCATGGGAAAGGCCGGTTCAGATGGCGGATTCGGTGACACCGCCGGCCGAGAACGCAAGATATCTTGGCGACGCCAAGTTCCAGCTGCCGTTAGACCCTAGCATGGTGTACAATTCCTCTAGCGCCGAGGCCAATCCCACCCAATTAGAGCCGACTCGTGGAATGCCGATGGCAATGACGCCGCCGGCTATGAACGATCCGATATTTAGCAACGTGACAGGCCTGCCCATGGGAGGAGACAATGGGCAGGAAGGCGTGGGTGGCTCGTCCCATCCAGAGACAAACGCCGAGTTCAACTTTGACTCTTGGCTTCAATACCCAGCCGAAGGTGTCAGCAATAACGACGAGCAGTTCATGAACGTGTTCAATGGCGCAGAGCAGACGCCCGCCCAGGGGTCTACTTCCTACCCCAATACGACTGTCGAGTTTCCAGGCGTGGGAGTCTTTGGGGGACCGCTTATGGGAGCATGAACGACAGCTGCCACGCCAGCACGCATCTGGACAGGACGCTCCCCCGTGTTCGATATAGACGGAGATGGCTGCTGTGATACGTTTACAGACAAGCAGCTAAGCTCTGTTCTTGGGCTACTTTTCTTTCTTTTGCAGATATTCTTTGATACCCTTGTCTTTTAATGTGCGGGGGTTGGCTTGAGAGCCGGCTCGAGGAGGCGTTGAGGTTACAGCGGCGATGGAGAACAGGGTATTACGTACATACAAGGCTTTGGGTGACTTCAAGGCACTGGATGGATGACTTCAAGGAATTAGATGGGTGGCTTCAGGGCACTGGATTTGTTTTTCGGGTTGGAATTCACAGAGCGCACTCGGTGGTACGGGATTTTACACTCGGTCTCCTAGATATGTTGTCAACTTTAGTCCTTATGTGACTGGCATCGAGGGACTGGGGATGTCGTACCTAGCGTTCGGTTTACTTCCCTCCTTACTTACCTGCCTGGCTAGGTAGTGTAGGAAGGGACAATATACCCCCAACCTCTACGGGGGGGTACAACCTAGACAAACCTCGAAGTGCGTTGATGAACTGAAGCTGGAACCTAGGTAGTATCTTGGGAATTTCCGTGCCAAGACATTGAATCGTCGCCAATGCGCCTCTGAGCAGCGGGTCACGAACGGACCGACAGGGGTAAGGAGGTGGGCCCTGAAATCGCAAATCAAATCTCCAATTTTATCTCCAGCTTTCCCACCCTTGTTGCCTGGGCCTAGCTATCGGACCCATCGTTCGCGCGACTATTTCTTTTAATTACACCGGCCCACCTTAGGACTTGTCTCTCTTTTCATTTTTCAGCCTTTTCAATGTGTATGTGAACTTGTGTATTATTGTTGCCGGTTGGAAAAGACTCGGTTGCCAATGCGTAATAAGAACCTACCTACCAATTCGTGCTATTTTATCCTACAATTATCCCACGGTTTCACATCGACGGCCTTCGTGCATGTGCCGCGGGCCGCTCTTGAATAAGCCGCCGGGTGTAGTCGCATTCGAGCTTCCTGCCCGGATACCAAATTTCTGGGGGTAGGGAATGCACCGATGGACGTCTTGTTCCGGCCGTCCTTTGAACAATCTTTTTGTTTTATTTTATATCTAGTTGTTTTATTTTCTGTCCTGTTTTCTTCGGGCTGTCGATTTCGCGGCTGCCAAGCAAAGCTCAGAACGACCTTGCCCTGTCTTTCACCCATGCTTCAGGCCTAACCTTGGACCAGCCAGGTACCCGCCCACTCAACCACCTCAGTCATTACTCTCACTATATCACCACACCACCACAGCCGCTGCTGCACCTGGCCTACCATTGCCTCCACACGCGCGCGCGCGCACACACAAGTTGAGATTCACCGTTCAGAAACAGTCGAGCGGGGCACTCGCGTTTTCTCCTTGTGCGTGCTGTTCCTGAACAGGTCAGCTGGCGATTGTTTCGGAATAAGCTTGGGAGAAGCGGGGACTGGGGCAACAGAGAGGCACAAACGCAACGCCTTTTTTTTTTTTGATGCGGCGGCGAATCAGACTAGACCTTCCAACCCAGTTGCCGAACCACCATCAGTCATCCATCAACTTGGAACCTACTCTGGGCTACTATGAAGGAATCCTCGCCGCAGTCACAGACCTCCGCCGTCTCCCCGTGCTCGTAGCAAGGGCACTATGACGCGCGCCACCGGTCTCCTCCCCGACTACTAGCGACACCAACCCCAGTTTATACCAACGCCGACGCCGACACCGACGCCCACTCCCACACATTCGCTTCCGGAGCTATGAACGACACTCCGTCCCTCTCCCACGCGCTGCTCGCGCCGCGAGGTCACCAGCAGCCCCGAACCACTTCCGATTCGCCCACCGGCCAGCGATTCAGCGATGACTTCCTCGCTAATCTCACCCCGCGGACCGCCGTCGACGCCCTCCGAAACCCCTCGGGCGCCCTCAAAGCCTGCATTGACACCGCCACCCCTTCCGAGCAGGCGTTTGCCATGAGGACTGCCGTGGCCGCCAAGAGCATCCAAGAGTGGGTAGACGACCTCTCGGCCTGGCCATGGCCCGCTGGCCGCGGCTCAGCCGGCTTCGAGATGCCCGTCCCGAAGAGGAGGAGGCTTTTCCAGTCCACTGCCGCCGGCTCAAGCTCGGCCGCCGAAGACGAGCAGTGGTTGGCTATGAACAAGGGGCTATATCTCGGCAGCCTCCCGACCTCGGACGTGGCCTTGTTCGAGAGGAGGATCGACGAGATAAGCCAGAGCATGGAGGAACTAGATGTCGAGGAGATCAAGAACCAGGTTCTGCACAATCACATCATGCCGCTCTCGCGCCCCGGCTCCCCTATGGTGGACCCGGACCGCTCCGTGGCATCGTCGTCGTCACTCTCTTACTACGCAAGGATGGACGACCTAACCGCCATGATCACGGCAACCGTCATGCAGACGCTGCCCAACCTGTCCAGACTGACCAGACTACTGAATGTCTGGAATCTCCGCCTCGCCGTGCTCCGCATGATCCCCGCTCTCTTGACGTCCCTGGACGACGCTGAAGTGGCCATCCAGTCTGGGTGGAACGCAATTGTCTTGGGCTCGAAATCGTCCGAGGGCGGCGACACGAACCCGAACGGCGCTCCCGCCGCGCAGCCGACGACCCTCTCGCGCAATGACTTTGAGGTGATGAAGTCTGTTTTGGAGCGCAAGGTTGCAAAGGCGGGTCGTGATCTCGACGCCATGCTAGACATGCTTGAGGGCACTGAGGATACGCTCCCCGAGGAATGGATCGACCGCATGGATGCGCTGGAGCGCGGATACGGCGAGTGGGCTGTTTTCTGTGAGCGCAAGATCAGGGAAGCCGACTGGTCAAAGATTATGTGCGAAACAATACCTGCCCCGACCTCCGCGGCCGCGGCCGTACTAGTAGAGGAGGGAGACCACCCTGCAGCAAATGACAGCGCCACTTCCGAGTCCGCTCCCAAAGTCGATGCCATCCAAACAATTGCGCCAACATCGGCTTCACCGGCCGGAACACCGGTCGAATCGTCTCCTTCGGAACCTCTGACCCCTGATGAAGACTTTTCGCAATATCCTGATGGCCAATCTGAGCTCCTGACGTCAGTTAATACGTCCGCCGTGCTGAAGCCAGATTCGCCACCAGTCATCAAGGTTCATTTCCCCCCTGAGGAGCCGGTCGAGCCCCTGAATGTCGGACGACTCGTACAGTCCCTCCGTTCCGGACTAGACGAGTCCCCAATTGAGCCAGCAGACGAAGATGCGGCCGATGAGCGGGGCGAGTACGGTGCTCATGTATTTCAAGGGTCGCAAGTTGACGGGGCTCACCTGAGCGGCAAGGAGACTCACTACGATAGCGACGATGGCTTTGAGGCCTCCGAGTTGGCACAGGCAGACCGTGGATCCCCGAAGAGAGGTAATATGGGTATTACGCTAGGCCAATTCGATTTCGATTTCGACCTCGACGATGCCTCTGAGGCGGAAGTGCTAGAGCCCGAGCTCCCTGTCCTCCCTCGCCCGAGGCGTGGCAGCGACATGTCTAACACATCAACTATAGTACATGGTCTCCAGAGCGGATTCATGGACTTCTCCAGCGACCAGCTGGACTATGGCACTCCGGAGATTGCCCGTCTCAGGAACGCGGAGCCTGAAGCTATTCCTAGTGACGATGGCAGTCCGCCGAGCTCTCCGCCAGCATTCCGATCCAGCACAAGGTCGCTGTCGGTGAGCTTCAACGACACTCCCGCAGTGATAGACCTGCCGGACTATACGGACTCACCAAAAACGCCACTCAAATCCTTTCTCGGAATGGACCGTGATCGAGAGACTGGGAGTCCCAGCAAGAGCAGCCCGGCCATTGCCAATGCAGACGATCAGCTCCAACAGCAGATCAGCGAGATCTTGGAGAACCTGCCTACCAAGATTCGCCTAACATCGGAGCCGACGCCCATAAATCTCAATCCGCCAGACTTTACAATGCCGACCCGAAAAGCGGCAAAGCACGACTATAACGTACGCAGCCACTCCAGCCTATCGACAACTTCCAACATTTCTTCCAGGGCTGGAACGCCGTCTTTCACACTGGCCCCGGCATTCGTCCGCAACTCTCGGCCGCGCCACGGTCACCAACGAGGCAATTCGGAGATCAAGCTGTATCACCTTTCTAGGTCCAGCGGCGAACCCCCGATAAAGCTGTTCATAAGGTGCGTTGGTGAGCGCGGCGAGCGAGTCATGGTACGAGTTGGTGGAGGCTGGGCCGATTTGGGCGAGTATCTAAAGGAATACGCCAGCCACCACGGCCGTCGCTCTGGAGTGGAAGGGAAGGTGGAGATCAAGGACCTTCCTCGGGTCCTGACCGGCCGCGCGACCTCTACACCACCAAGCCGACCGGCATCGGCTCAAGACCTGCACAGCCCTGTCACGCCCCTCAACGTCCGCAAGAGTAGGAGACCTGCGGGCGATGACGCTGCAGGAGGCGGCAGCACCCAGCCGAAGACACCGCTCACATCGGTCAGCCAGGCAGACAGCCCGTCATCGGGGGAATCGCCGCGGTCCCGGTCGAGCTCGCGGCTTAGTTGGGCCGAGGAAGAGAGCTCGCTCGGCATGGCGGGGCCGCGGGCCAAGCAGATCGAGATGAGCGAGGAGAGCAAGGCCTGGGTCGAGAGCGTCAAGGAGAAGGTCCGCATCGCTAGTGGCGAGCGCAAGGCCCCCGAGCCGAGCTCCATCGACAGCAAGTTTGGCGAGATTGGCAAGGTCGGCGCCACCAAGCGTCTCTTTAGGCGCCAGGGTTGATTATTACATTTGCATGCGCATTGCATTCAGGAAAGAAGAATACATGGTAGTGCGTACGTACAGGGATGGGATGGTTTGGGCGTGTGACGGGCACGGAATGGGATGGGAGGTCGGTCATTAGTATCACAGAGGAAGTGGGAGGACACGTCGGTACCCTGAATTTTGCGTCTGTCCATGTGGACGGTTTTTCTTTTTTTCTCTTTTTTCTCTTTTTCCTCTTTTCGTACTTCTCCTTCGGGATCTCTCTTTTTTCTATCGTTGTTTTGGTTTTTTTTTTCTTTTGTCGTTTTTGGGTTGACAGGGAAAAACATTCATCAAATACCCCGACTTTTCTTTTCTTTTCTTTTTTTTGTGTACGGCGCACACACAAACAGCATTGCACGGCACATACATACGTCAGTCAGTCAGGTAGTTTTTTTTATGCGACACCAGTTCCTCGCGGACTGAAAGGGGATTCTTTGCGGGTATAGAGGTGGTGAAGTGTTGCGACTAGGTAGGAGCTACCTAGGTAGGTACAGTACCTTAGCTACGTAAGTGCTGTGCTGCACCTTGCCTTGACAATAAATAGAGGCTATGTCTGTCTACTGTTGTCGATGCTGGGGTTGTTCTAATTACTTGGTACGGGGTGAAAAAGTCTGAATGGATCGGGACGTGAGGGTACGTGGGATATATAAGATATCTGAGATGATGCTGGACTCCTCTTCTGGTTGTGTTGTGTGTGGCTTGCTAGACGGCCGGCTTGTTGGTAGGTATGCAAGGCCGGTCAGAATGTTTGTTACGATATACGGATTGCAGAGACAACCAGCAGATATAATCCTCATGGTGAGCTTAACTAAAATTCACTACTTGACCACGAGGTTGCACGGTACCTAGGTATCTTGGCGAAACGGACTGGTTTGCTTGTGGAAAGGCGCTTGCGTCGGGACAATTCTTTTGGAACTTGCACGTGTATACGTACCCATCTACGGGAGTAGGTACTGAATATGGATGTCAGGTACAGTGGGTGGCAAAAAGGTTGAATCCAGCACTAAGTACCATGTAAGCCGCTAGCTGTATACGCGGTACAAAATTTGGATTCAAACTTTTTGCCGCTCACTGTACCTTGCGGAGTACCTAATCGGCGATCTAGCTCCTGGCCGACACGGAGCCCCTCAAGGAGATGGCAATCGTCAAGATGGCGTCGTCGATCGCGGTCAGCCCTCAGCTGTCAAATGTTCTTTTCTTTTCTTTTTTCCCAATTGGACTTCTACATCATTGCTCAGAGGGAGTAGAGACTGTAACAATGGAAGACATTACGTATGTATAGCCATGGCCGCGTGGCGTTACATGGTTCCTTGTCGGCTACCGCTTTCGTTCGCTCGTCCGGAAGACACCATATATGACCTGGAGTTTTATTATATTTGGATTCCGTTATAACTTATATACGGTGATGCTGGGGTGCCTTGCTGGGTTGAACGGCGAATTGATGCAGGCGGGACGTCAGGTGAACGTGATAGGCTGTCATGTCGCTGCAGCATTATTGTGGTACGGTACATCAGATCTGAATTAAGGTGCTTACTCCCGATCTGAGCCTAGCTCCCCGGCCCTGCCTGCTAAGAGTGGAGCGTTTGCAGCAGCCTCCTCCACCTCTCCCCGGACTTCATTCGTTTCTCCCCTTCAAGCCAATTTATTCAGCAATGGCTGATCACGTTGTGTTGCATCGCTAACACGGCCACGCCTTACAACCTTATCTTCTGACGGAGTACGCCAGACCACCGAGCACGGCTCACCGCATCAGTGGAGGTGTAATGCGACGTTGGGCTACATGGCACAGGCACAAATACCACACCCGGGAATGGAGCTCCAAACCTGATTTATCTCTTCCAAGACTTGGGAATAGACGCCCCCAGTCTCCCCGCGCGCCCTGCCGCTTGATACGGGCAGGCAGCCTATGCCGGAAGTCGAAGGTGACGGTGGCGGCGACGGTGACGGTGACTGCCGCTTGGAGACGCGAGACGCCAATTGCGGCGCCTCATTCGCTGCAGGCGCGGCACCCGAGATTTGTGGTCGTGTGGCCAGGAACCACATCGGACCACGCTGCACCAAGTCAGAAACGAGCAACGTGCAAGTACTCAGTAAGTCCCTCTTGCCGAGCATGTATGTACACATGGCGGCGCCATGCAGCACTCGTAGCCGTCATCCATGTGGGATCATTGCGATGTGCCCGGGAACTTGGCCGGCTATGCCTCGACCGAGAAAGGACAAGACGTACATGTGTGTATGTACATACAGTTGTATCCTCTGGTCAGCCCGGCCCCGCAACCAGCATATCATGTCCCATTGCAGCATAGGATCCCCTTTGGCCTTTAGGGAAGGCGGTAACAAGCACCGCCGTGTTCTTGTCGTCCTTCTCGTCTCCTCTTCCCGCTCCTATTTATTCAAGGGGCTGCCGTGTCAAGCCTTGGGGCGGTCTTTTCTAGGCTCCTGAACGACCCCGATCCCGACCGCACACGCGGATAATCGTTACCATGGCTTGCCGGGCGAGTGCCATACTGCCTCTCTCGCTTGTCCTCGCTGCCCTGGGTTCTCTCTGCAATGCCACGCCCGTAAATTCAAGAGACAACGTACCGGCGGGCTACTATGCCGCCCCGTACTACCCGGCGCCGCATGGCGGCTGGCTAGCGTCGTGGAGCGAGAGCTACGCCAAGGCACAGCAGCTCGTGTCGCGCATGACGCTGGCCGAGAAAACAAACATCACGGGGGGATGTGGCATCTATATGGGTACGTCTAAGTGTCGCATGTCCCAACTCCCACGTCTGTTGCGGGTTTTAAGGAACTGGTTCTAATACACAAAACACACAGGGTCAGCAACTGAACTGTTGAGAACGTGTCCTCTCGTCTTCTTCACCGACTGATCTTTCTAGGCCTTGCGTGGGAAACACAGGCAGTGCGAATCGCGTCGGGTTCCCCCAGCTGTGCCTTCAAGACTCGGCCCTCGGCGTCGCGGCCACGGACAACGTCACGGCGTTCCCGGCAGGCATCACCACAGGGGCGACCTGGGACAAGAACCTGATATACGCCCGCGGAGTTGCTCTGGGCCGTGAGTTCCGCGGCAAGGGCGCCAATGTCTATCTCGGACCGACCGTTGGCCCCCTCGGCCGGAAGCCGCTAGGAGGGCGCAACTGGGAGGGCTTCGGCTCCGATCCCGTCCTCCAGGCCGTTGCCGCTGCAATGACGATCAAAGGAGTCCAGGAACAGGGTGTTATCGCCACCATCAAGCACCTGGTGGGGAATGAGCAGGAGATGTACCGCATGTACAACCCCCTCAAGCCTGGCTACAGCGCAAATATTGGTACGTCATGTTGTTGGTGGGATACCGGCTCTGGGTTCGAGAAGTCGATTGCAAGACGCTTACACTCTGGCTGCCAGACGACCGCACCCTCCACGAGATATATCTCTGGCCATTTGCCGAAGGCATCCATGCCGGGGTTGGCTCTGTCATGACCGCCTACAACGCCGTCAACGGCTCGGCGTGTTCGCAGCACAGCTACCTGATAAACGGTATTCTCAAAGACGAGCTCGGATTTCAAGGATTCGTCATGTCCGACTGGCTGTCGCACATCTCGGGCGTCGACTCGGCCCTGGCGGGGCTCGACATGGACATGCCGGGCGACACAAACGTGCCTCTGTTTGGCTATAGCGAATGGAAGTACGAGCTGACGAGATCGGTCCTAAACGGCTCCGTGCCGCTGGACAGGCTCAACGATATGGCGACTAGGATTGTGGCGGCCTGGTACCAAACCGGCCAGGATAAGGACTTTCCGCCTCCAAACTTCTCGTCCAACACCAAGGATCGCGACAGTCTCCTGTATCCAGCTGCCCTGTTCTCCCCCAAGGGCCAGGTCAACTGGTTCGTCAACGTCCAGGCAGACCACTACAAGGTGGCCCGCCAGGTGGCGCAGGATGCCATCACCTTGCTCAAGAACAACGGCAGCCTCCTTCCCCTGTCTACCTCGCGCCCGCTCAAGATATTTGGCACCGACGCTCAAGTTAACTCCGACGGACCGAACGCATGCCTCAACCGAGCTTGCGACAAGGGCACCCTGGGCATGGGCTGGGGATCTGGCATCGCAGACTATCCCTACTTCGACGACCCCATCACGGCCATACGCAGGCGCACGAGCGGCGTGACCTTTTACAACTCTGACGTCTTCCCTGCCGTCCCCACGCCTACGGCCGACGATGTTGCCATTGTGTTCATCAACTCGGATGCGGGCGAGAACAGCTTCACGGTCGAAGGCAACCACGGCGACCGTGACAGCGCCAAACTTGCCGCGTGGCATCGCGGCGATGCCCTGGTCAAGAAGGCCGCGGCCAAATACAGCGACGTCGTGGTCGTCGTGCACACGGTTGGCCCGCTCGCCCTCGAGCCGTGGATCGACCTGCCGTCGGTCAAGGCCGTCCTGTTTGCCCACCTCCCCGGCCAAGAGGCCGGCGAGTCCCTGACCAACGTGCTCTTCGGCGACGTATCGCCCAGCGGGCACCTGCCCTACTCCATCACCAAGGCGTCGACGGACCTGCCCAACAGCGTGGCCAACCTGAAGGGCTACGCCGTCGGCCAGGTCCAGGACACGTACAGCGAGGGCCTCTACATCGACTACCGGTACCTCAACAAGATGGGCATCAAGCCGCGCTTCGCCTTTGGCCACGGGCTCAGCTACACCACCTTCAGCTTCTCCAACGCCTCCATCGCATCCGTCACACCACTGACCCTCGTCCCGCCGCCGCGGTCCCCCAAGGGCCCCACTCCCAGCTTCTCCTCCGCCATCCCGCCCGCCGCCGAGGCCTACTACCCGGCTGGCTTCAACCGCATCTGGCGCTACATCTACTCGTACCTGCCGCCCGACGACGCGAACGCAGCGTTTGCCGTCGGCGCCGCCGGCATCAAGCAGTACGCCTACCCAAGCGGCTACAGCACCACCCAAACAGCCGGCCCCGCCGCCGGCGGCGACCTCGGCGGCAACGCCGCGCTGTGGGACGTGGCGTGGACGGTGACGCTCACCATAAACAACGCCGGCACGCAGTTCCCCGGCAGGGCCGTCGCGCAGGCCTACCTGCAGTACCCGGCGGGGATCCCCTACGACACGCCCGTCGTGCAGCTGCGCGACTTTGCCAAGACGGACGCCCTGGCGCCGGGCGAAGCTGCAACCGTCACGCTGCAGCTCACGCGCAAGGACGTCAGTGTCTGGGACGTCGAGGCGCAGAACTGGGTCGTCCCTGGTGTCGGTGGTAAGAGGTATATCATCTGGCTCGGAGAGGCTAGCGATGCTTTGTTCACGGCGTGCTATACTGATACGCTGACTTGCGAGTCGGGGCTGAAGAGTCCCGTGTAGTTGCTGCAGCAGGTTAGCTACGGAGATACGTCCAGGTGATGAGGAGTGTGGTCTGAGCGTCGTGGCTCCGGGGTGCTTGCCCAGAATCACCCATTCAGTGTCGTGTAAGGAGGGCATTGAGCATCAGTAGTAATACATTAATGAACCGAGTTCTTTGAGTGTATAAGCGCATTGTTCCTGTGCCAGTGCTTGAACTTGACCGAGCTGAGGAGCCCGCATTCATCTAGACCAATAGCTCACCCACCCTTTCTTGTTTCGCGGGAAGGAGTTTGAGGAGGCACCAGCCAGTCACCCTATCGCCCGCCTGGCCAGCTTCCGCTGTTACAATATACACTCCAATCCCTAGATGGTTTTTTAGTTAGCGGGGGGTTTTCCCTGATCAGAATGGCCTCAATAACTTCCTTACTCCTCGCTCTGAAGGACTTTACCCAGGGAGGTAATAGCTATCATTAGAATCCCTATTATTCCATGGATCCTAGAGGCCTGTCTCCCCCCTATAATAGCCCAGGCTTTCCGTGGCCCGTTTATCTGCTACGTATAATCTTTCTTTCTCCTGCTAAAGTACCACGCCAACAAACATTCAGCGATTGGATTTGTACTTGAGCTGACAGCCCACACGCATCAACCGGTGCGGACAAGCTCTCTTCACTCTCAGTCTTCTTTGATGTTTTGAATTTGCGGCTATATAGTATATACTAGATATATGTACATGCATACATGAACCACAGCTGGGCTCATAGAGAGAGGAGACACACACACCCTCTTGTCCCTCCTGCCCGCCGCACTCCGTAATGATACCACACGCGCGCGTGAGGTTTGGTTGATGTCATGCTCTTTCTACTATCGTTACACACCCCCTTTCCCTGTTTTCCTGCTTCTTTCAGATGTGAGATTCCCACCCCCCCTTCTTATCGTTTCCCGGTCCGTCTTATCTTTTTCTTCCCATCCATGCGGTGCGGAGGCCCACTGTCGACAGATTTTTGCAGAGGAGGTTTGTTTTGGTGACAGGAGAATCAAATCAAAGCGTAAGAGAACGCCTCCGGGCTCCATCTCAACTTTTCCCCCCGGGGGGGGGGGGGGGTTCAGTTTTGCTTGTATTTTTTTTGGCAAAAAAAACGCTCTCCCCACTTCGAGAACTACCTCAAAGGTCCTCTCACGCCGACAGGCGCTTCCGGCCCTTGTCCCTGCGACGGGCCAGCAGCTTGCGGCCCTTCTTGGTGCGGATGCGGCTGAGGAACCCGTGGCGGCGCTTCTGGATCAGCCGGCTGTGGCCCGACATGGTGGCGCGCGGCCCGCAGCGGATCTGCGTGGCGGCGAGGGCCGGGTGCGCCGAGATGGACGACTTGGGCACGACGTCTGCCAGCGCTGATGCTGATGTGCCCGTTTGCTGTAGTATGGAAGGAGAGGAGTAGCATGGCGGGAGCCGCGCGAGCGGTGTCTGGGTCACTCGGAAGACGGGAGAAGAAAAGGACGACGAGAGGAGGGTGGTGGGCCGCAGGCTCGGGAGGTGGGAGAAGGTCCTACGAGATCAATTCTTGTCGTTAGCTTTGGGCCTATTATTTCAATCCATTGGCACAGTATCAACATTGGGGGCTGTCGCTCACCGTGTGGCTCTAGCAGCAACAGCAACAGCAATGGGGCGTGTCGCGCGAGGGACGGCGACGAGCTGCGCCCTCGCGGGCTGCAGCGCCGCCTGCAGCAGCGGCGACGATATGGCGAGTCGGGGCATCCTCGCGCAAGTTCCAGGCTTGTCCGTCTTTTGTGTGCGGGGCGGCCTGGAGACGTCGAGGTGCGCGGGTCGACGGCGAGCCGGCAGAAAATGTTATGGATTGATCTCAGGGTTCGGCCGACTGCCAGATGCGCCTGAGCTTCTCGGTCCAGAATGACAGCTGACCGCCAGCTGTTGCACCTTGCTGAGAACCCGCGTGCAATCACGCATTCGACCGCATACTGCTCGGAAAACATGTCTATTTACAAATTGGTCAAGTAGACTAGGTGTTCTGATACACAAATTCAAAACAAAAACCTCAATTAACATTTTCTTACATCCAAGCTCGTTCAATGCCAAAGTCAATTGCAGATTAGACCCTTCAGGAGATATCCAGGGTTAGGGTTATCTCGTTAGAGTCGACTCGGATCCTAAATAATGTAGAACTCGTTTCAATATGACATACAAAGCGACCATCGACGAGCAGTCCACTGTGCCGATCATTTCCCTTCGCTTTTTCTTCTCTTTTTGCCTTCACCAATTCATACACAAAATCCATGCCGTCGCTTATAGCTCGTCCCGCCCCGTAGCAGCTACAGCGGCAGACTTATCATCCTTGCTGTCCACCCCGGTGGCGACTGCATCGGCATACGTCTTGTCACCTTCCTTCATCTCTACCTTCTTGGTGGGCTGCCAGTTCAGAGCCTTCAGTCGCTCCGACAGGATCGGGTGCGAGAAATGGTAGCTGGCGAACATCCAATCGGCGTCCATGGTGCTGAGGTTCTGGATCTGCAGTTTGATCAACGAGCGAGCCAGCTCCGCGTTGTATCCGAGCTTGTTGGCAAACGAGTCGGCCTCAAATTCGTACTTGCGGCTGAGGACGTTCATCAAGAGTTTGATAACCGTGTCCATGGGACCCAGCACGTCCGAGAAGAGGAGAAACCCGACGATAATTGGATGCGTCTTGATAAACCCAAAGTCGGCGTAGAGCGACTTGTTGTTGATGAAAACAGAGAAGAGAGCAAAAATGTAAAAGAAGTGAACCTGCCTCGGCGTTAGCTTGCCATCACAAAACGAGCCTTATCCGCTTCCCAACATACCTGAGAGATGCCGAAGAGCCTCGTGGTGTGGCCGAGCTTCCAGTGGCCGAGTTCGTGCGCAAGAACAGCAACAACTTCTTGGGTCTCGCTCTTCTCAATGAGGGTGTCATAAATGACAATGTGCTTCTTCCAGGGCAGTCCGAAGAAATAGGCATTACTGTGGGCACTTCGCTTGCTCCCGTCAATCACATACAGTTCGTGGAGCGGGAATTCGAGCTTCTTGGCCAGGTCTTCAACGTCCGTCTTCAGCTCGCCTTCCTTCAGAGGCGATAGCTTGTTGAACAGGGGCAGAATGGCGATGGGATAGATGGTGATCATAAACACCTGCAGGCCGGCTCCAAACATCCACAGGTAATAGAAAAACTGGCTTCCAGTCTTCTGGATGATCGTAAGGAAGGCCGACAGAATGGGAGGCACCAAGGTAACGGCCAGCAGGTTAGACTTGATCATATCCGTGACGAAGAGCTTGGGCGTTTGCTTGTTGAAGCCGAACTTCTCCTCCAAGACGAAAGTATGGTAGATGCTGCTCGGCAGCGACAGGACCTGGTGGATGACGATGAACGAGAGAATAAAGACTATGGAATGCGAGATTTCGCCTGTGAACCGCGACGGCGCGAAGCTGAGAAGGCGGCCTGTCCATGACCAAAGCTTGGGGAGAATGTCCAACTGATAGAATGCAATGTTCTGGATCTGTCCATAGAGGTTGTTGACAAGCTCGAACTTGGCCTTGGCTCTTCCATAGGACTGCGGGGGTGTGTTAGCACTGTTGGTTGCCTTTGTACTCAATCCTGTAGGACCTGTGGTATTTACCTGGCTCTTGTCGTAGACTTCTTGTGAAACCTCGTGTTCCAGCACCTTGGGGGGCTTCTTGTTCAGAAGGACCCTATACTGGCGCACACCCAAGAAACCCTCGAACAAAAACTGGGCGACGGAGAAGCCAATGATGAGCTTCTTCCACGGGAACAGGGGTCGGTCGAGGAACCGCGCAAGGCGCTTTGCATGGCGAGCGTTAACTACTTTGTAATAAATATACGAGGGGCGGGCGGGCAGAATCAATTACCTGAAGGATATCCATCGTCTGGAAAGTCGGGCGCTGTCCGCCAAAGCTGCACGCGCGCTAATTTCAAAACGAAGGGGACAGTTGGGTAACGAAAGGTGAGAAGACGGTCGTCTTCTTTTGCCGCATTCTGAGAACAAGCTGGCCTTGTTGCATGCGCGAGAGAATAGCCAACCTGGCCCTACAGGCAACAGCTTCTTCACTGGGCTGCCGAGGGCGCTGTGATTGGATATAATTCTCCGTAAATAAGCGCTAATCCGGAAGTGGGTGAAACGCGGGCGCAAAACCCTCCCAGGGTTATTCTGGCACGATGCGGTCACGTGCTAGGGGAAGGGTTACTGTGGTATATGACGTAAAGTACATACAATCCAATCCCTAAGTGTTTGTTGGCGTGGTACTTTCCAAGATCCTGATGGCCTTAGCATCTTATGACTCGCCGTTAAGGTTTTTCGCTAAGGGAGGTAATAGCTATTTGAATCCCTATTTTGGAATCCTAGAGGTCTATTTTTTCTCTCGAAATACCTATTAAAGACCCTTCCTGGCTGGTTCATTTGTTATTTTCTTTTCCTTCATAAGTACTACGCTAACAAACATTCAGCGATTGGGTTGTATACGTATTGAAGGAGCAATCCCAAAGTGTCATTCTACACATGAAGATAACAGAACAACGGAGAACTCTTTTAATTCTTACATGTCCTGATAGGAATAACAACGACACCTGGCTTCCAGCCTGGCGCATTCTCCACCAATCTCAAGTCTACTTCTTGAACACGCCATTACTCCGTACGGCGATGCACGTGGATGTCAAGTAACAATCTATTCCGCCGTCCAACTACCCCGTGAGCCGAACTCTAGACCTAATGCCTCGGGATTCTCAGGTTTGCCCGTATCCGCTCCAGGAGCTCTTCTCGACTGTCCGTCTCCGCAGGATGCAGGTTGCGCTACCGTTTCTTTAGTCCCGTCTTCTCGGCAAAGGGACAGAGTAACATACCGATGCAAGCCATCTCCTCATTTCTTCTCTAGACCATGTTGATGGATCTCCCCTGGGGTCTGCCTCGGCCGGAAACATGTCCCCTCCCCATATAGCCCAGAGAGCGACGCCGGTCACCAAGCCCGAAAAGGCTGCTCGGAAGTCAGCATAGGCCGTTATCATAGGCTTTGAAGATTCTATTTAGAACAAGGCCCAATTTCTTACCGAGAAATGCATTCTGATAATCGTATTAGTTGACAATTCATTGGAGACTTGGGTTGGAAGTGGAATCATGAACTCACTCGCGACTTCAAAGCATTGTCTAGTGGCGTAGGCATTTTGCTTAGTTGGAAGGTCTAAGCGCGTTTGGTCAAATGATGGTGATGAATAAACAAAGCTGAGGAACAAAAACCCAACTTCTGAGTTACGAAGCCAAGTATCTCCAGGTTATCTGTCATTCATCCAACCTTATAGGTGGCAGTCAACTAGAGCACTAACGCCACAGGACACGTCAGCCACACTCCGAACCCCGCTGCCACGCAGCGAACTTCCCCCATGGCTTGGCGCTCTCCGTCCTCCAGGCGCCCCACCCACGCCCAAACCCACAGAAAATTTTGGGGTGAAATTCGTCCTCGCTCATTGAATTTCGACCTTTTAGTGTTTCTGACCATCACAGGAAACACTACAGCAACCGCCAAAATGCCTCAAGAAATCGCCGACATCAAGAAGGTACGGGCAGTGAAAACATACAATCCTTGCGCTCTTTTTTCTCCTACTGACAAATTTGGCGTGAACAGTTCATCGAGATCTGCAGGCGGAAGGACGCATCTTGTACGTTTTGACAGTTTCGAACAGACACACCACCGCCTCTACCCTCTGAGAGAAACATAGGGTGCGCGTGCGAGAAGCAATGGAATCTGACTAGGAATTTTTCCACCCCTCTCACAGCTGCCCGGATCAAGAAGAACAAGAACACCCAGCAGATCAAGTTTAAGGTCCGCTGCCAGAGACACCTGTACACTCTGGTGCTCAAGGACTCTGAGAAGGCCGAGAAGCTGAAACAGAGCCTTCCCCCCAGTATGCATGCCCATTCTATAATTCGATGCCGGAGGATCATGGGAAAGGGGCTGGCCTGGAAACCGAGAAGGACTCTAGCTAACAACGACCTGCAGTCCTGAAAATCAAGGACGTCCCCAAGAAGAACAAGTCCAATAAGGCTTCGTCATAAACGGCTTGATGTTCTAGTCAACGATTGAGGTACTGGAGGAGTATTGTGGACGATGGCTGAGAAACGCTATGGATTGGGAAAGCGTATTTGTTTGGTTTGCGGGTTCGGTCGGTACTGAACTTGGTACTCACGACGACAACACAACGGGCGTCTCGGGAAATTTGGTAATCGAAACGGGACACGGCTGGGGGGGTAAGAAAAGGAGCCTGCCGCGAAGCCCGACAAAGTGCAGAGTTGCTCATGGCGATGTAGTTTCTGCAAGGCTCTTCTTTCTCTCGCCTAGGCAAATACCAAAAAAAAAAACGAATCGCATTCATCGGCCAGCCAATTGCAACGAAAAGAGACACCCCTTTTCCACGCACGCATTTCCCTTGCCCTCCCGTCTATTTTCATACTTGCCTGTGCCTGTGTGGCTCATGCGTGCATCATTTTTCGCTGGCGCATATCCATTCCTGGGAGAACTGTCAAGGCGAAGGTTTCTGTTTCCATGTGACGATGAGGAGGTGAGCTGAGGCCAAGTGTGGGCCTCACAACGAGGACCGCCTGCAGTACTTGAGATACCCTCAGTTTCATGCAGCGAGCTACCTGACATTTGTGTAGCGACACATCTTCGAGGCCCGGACCCCGAGTGTTTCTCTACGCCCCGCTAGCCGCGAGAACACAGACCGAGACAAGTCAAACTGCGCCGGCTGGAGTCCAAATGTGTAGCGTGACATGATCGAGAATTCAAGTCTCGGGGACGTTGAGAAGAGCTGAGGTTAAGCAGTGATATTGTCTCTGCACAATGTGACGAGTTGCGTGGGCCGCCGTCGTGGCGGCTGTGATACTCAGCAGGTTGCAAGTACACAGGTCGAGGCTTGTATACCGCCTGGTTTCTACTCATCGGTGAAAATACCCGAATTGCCGGCAGTGAGAATAACTAGGTTTCATGTCGTTAGTATATAGTCTCTCCTGCCTCCCCATTGATACTATATACTACTTCATGTCTACGACGCTGACTATGTGAGTACGGTATCATGAGAAGGCCAGCGAGATGTTAGAAAGCTTTATTATTGGCGTATTGGAGAGACTGATATAAGGTAGGGTATTTCTTAGTGGATAGACAAAGTTGTACCTGCTTCGTTCTGTTTTAATAGGTGTCTCTTTGGGTATTATCATGGCATATGACGATGGGTGTGTAATATTTCGTCTACTCTAGTAGCGACAGATATATCACAAAAGTGAAATGGCTTATGACGATGAGTGTAAGTCACTTATATCGTGATTTGAACGCCCGTACAGCGCAGACAGTATAAGATAGGAATGTCACTTCCAGCTTTACCGCACCGGATATAGCTGGCCCGACGGGTTGCCGGTCGTACCGGAGTCTTGAGATCAGGATTGCAGCAACAACACCCGATGGCGTTCTCGCTGCACTTTCTTTGCTGCCCTCCAAGCACCCACCCCTCTTTCTGTCTCTTGCATGGACGCATCTATCTCAATTATCGGGCTTATCTGCACATGACTCGACGGCGACAATGCTTTCGAGGAGAGGTAGGAAGCGGAGGCGTCATTTCTAAAGCGCTGCAGCCCGAGTCGTCATTTAACGGAATCACACCTGTAAAGTGGTTTGGGCACAGGGAAAATATATGGATTAACGACGTATAGAAATGACCCTAAAACTCTTGATACTCTTGACTTGTTGGCCATCAATTGGCGTGATTTGTTTCCAAGCCTTTCGCTGGCCGCCAAGAGATCAAGGTATGATTACTACCACCCCCTGCTCTCCCAGCTTTCCAAGCTCTAGCCTGTTCCTGTGGCCAGCTCGCTGGAATCCATCCTGATTACCCAATCAGAGCGCTCCCATTGGGGACGGAAAATCCCAACGTGGAATCCAACCCCCTGTCAATCACGCCGCTAGGAAAGCCCCAAGTCTCTTCGGGCAAGTCTTACTTGCATAGTCTCAATTCAAGCTTTCCGTCTGTTCCTACCTCAAGGGACCTAAGGAGAGGGCAGAGGACGCAAATAAGGGAATACAAGGTCTGTGGCCATGTAGGGGAGAGGCAAGAGAATCAGCCCGCATAGTTACAGTCTTTGACTTTGTTTTGGAGTCTTGATTCCTTGGTTCCTGATCCCCCCTTCATCGTAGGGGCTGCAATCTGATTGGCAGAGCGGAACTGACAGAGCGCAACGATTTAACTCGTCCATGTTACGAAACAGCGACACATAATCGTAATTTAAAATGGGGTAGTAAAGTCCATCAAGCAGTTTCTAATAACGTCTTTTATTTTTCAGATTCAAAGTCGCCTTCCTGGCTATGGACTTGTGAAGCCCGAATTTTGGGCAGGACCCCTGCTGACTTGAATGTGTTAAGAAGTTGTGTTGCGCGGCCCCAAGCCACACCTTCCCCCCACCCATCCATTTCACCAGCACTAGAATCTGAAATGGGTGCCACGAGTTGCCCCCTTCGCGTGGGAATTTTGGGCTAGCTAATTTATCGCTGTGCACGAAGTGCGGATAAGAATTGTAAAGGGGCATCCCAACCCGTCTTCTGTTGCGTAACCGCAATCCGTTACCTTACCTTCCATTAGGTATTTCGTATCCCGGCTGGCGTATGTACCGTCTGGCGACGAACGCCAGCACAGCTGACGTATAATCTTCCCGTGGCTCGCCCTCATTTCAAGCTTGCTGGCTCCCCCTCCCCTCCCTCCTAGTCCCTTTCAACACGCTCTTGTCGTAGTAGCCGCACGTTATATCTCGCACCTCGTTCTAGTCGCCTTGTGTTTAATTCTCGTGACCTGACCTGCGCAGTTACTTTTTTTTTTGTTGTTTCGCCATCATCTTAGTGCCCTCGCAGCTAATCATCAATCCGCGGTGCCTCCAGCGCAAGCTTCCGATTCCGGTAGTTCCAGGTTCTCTCTCGAGTCTCGACGTAGCCCCTGACGTCCTTGCTTTCCCCCCCCCCTGGGGCGGGCCATTGACACGCGAAACCGCATCGAGAGAACGCTCTCCCAACTTAACAAGTCAGCAGACCACCTCACTGCGATCGCCATCCTTCCGATTTGCTATTTCCGATCGCGCTCCTGGAAACCTAGGTCCCAGTCCAGCCGACAGCAGCGACTAAAAAGCACAGACACACCCACGCTCTCTCATAACGGGTTCGATTCTCGCCTTTCTTTCTCTGCTCCTTTTTGCGTGCCTGTGGTTTTGTCTATCTGCATTTGGTCAACGGCTGCAACAGGAACAAGAGCCTCAGCAGGAGTTGCGGCACAGAGAGGACGCCATGACGGAGCGACTTGGCCCGAACCGAGTCAATGACTTGGGCAAGGCCAATGGTCACACCAATTCAAATGCCAACACCAATGGCACCGCCAACGGGAATGGTACTGCCAGCGGCACTGGAAGCTCCGGCGGCACCGTCAATGGCAATGGCAATGGCGCCGCCAGCAACGCCAACGGTAACGACATCAAACTAGCGCAACGCAAAAAGATGGATCGCAAGAAGTCAAGTCCAATGATGCCAACATTCATGGTCTCTGCGCCGGGGAAGGTGATTGTGACGGGAGAGCATGCTGTTGTGCACGGCAAGGTGAGCACCGACGCGCAGCCCTCCCCTTCTTTTTCTTGCCTCTCAAGCAGCCGTAACTGACCCATCCAAACTCTCCCGCAGGCTGCGATAGCTGCGGCGATTTCGCTGCGATCGTATCTTCTCGTCACCACGCTCTCCAAGTCGAAACGGACAGTGACGCTCACGTTCCCCGACATTGAATTCAACCATGTGTGGAACATCGACGAGCTGCCGTGGGAGAAGTTCTCGCACCCCTCCAAGAAGAAATACTACTACGATCTCGTCACGGCACTCGATCCCGACCTGGTCGCCGCGATACAGCCACTACTCGCCGATCTCTCCCGCGACAAGCCCAGCGAGTTGCGTAAAGTGCACCAAAACACGGCGGGCTCGTTCCTGTACATGTTCTTGTCCCTCGGGTCCCAGTCGTTTCCGGGGTGCCAATACACGCTACGGTCCACCATCCCGATAGGGGCTGGGCTGGGTAGCAGCGCGACCATTGCCGTCTGCATGTCGGCGGCGCTCCTGCTGCAGCTAAGGACACTGTCGGGTCCGCATCCCGACCAGCCCTCAGAGGAGGCACGTCTACAGATAGAACGCATCAACCGCTGGGCCTTTGTCTACGAGATGTTCATTCATGGAAACCCGTCGGGTGTCGACAACACAGTGTCGACGCAGGGCAAGGCGGTCATGTTTCAGAGAACCGACTACAATAAGCCACCATTAGTGCGTCCGCTTATGGACTTCCCCACGCTGCCGCTGCTCCTAGTGGACACGAGGACGGCCAAGTCGACGTCAGCCCAGCTGGGCAAAGTGTCCAGTCTGAATGAGGCGCATCCGAAGTTGGTAGGATGCATCCTGGACGCCGTCGACAAGGTTACGCGCAGCGCGTCCGAGCTGCTGGACGCGGATGACTTTGACACGGAGAACGAAGAGTGCCTGCGGCGGGTGGGCGAGCTTATGACCATCAACCACGGCCTGTTGGTGTCGCTCGGGGTGTCACATCCTCGGCTGGAGCGGGTGCGCGAACTGGTGGATCACGAGGGGATTGGATGGACAAAGCTCACGGGGGCCGGCGGCGGTGGTTGCTCGATTACCTTGCTCCGGCCTGGGGTACCTCGGGAGAAGCTCGAACGTCTTGAGGCGCGGCTGGGCGAGGAAGGATACCAGAAGTTTGAGACGACGGTAGGCGGCGACGGCGTCGGGGTTCTCTGGCCGGCCGTTCTGAAGAATGGCATGGACGAAGACGAAGAGGGCGGCATGGAGATTGACCTCGAAAAATTCCTCAAGGCAGAGGGCAACGAAGGCGTCGAGCGACTGGTGGGCGTTCACGGTGGAGTGGGCGAGCGAGAAGGGTGGAAGTTCTGGAGAGTTGCGAGCTAGGCCTGCCACGAACGAGCAAACAAAACAAGCACACGGCGGCCGTCCTGAACCTCGCAATGAAATCTGGGCCAGGGGAAATAGGGATGTGGCTGGCAAAAAAAGGAGGAACACGGAAAAACGGGATTTGGTCGTCTGGATTGGGGTTCTTGGCTTCATTCATTGGGGGCACTTTTTTTTTTGGTTTAACCGTGGCTGCACGGCGATGGAAAATATCAACATAATGGCGGCTCTGAGCTGCGTGTTTATCTAGAATACTTTACCTTGCGGTACCCGGGGGATACTGCTAATTGATGGAACCGTACCGACCTAATTATCTTACCTATCTTACCTCATCCTCATGCGCGTCCTACCTTATTACCTGGGCTTGTGTGCCTTTCGGAAAAGTAGGCAAGGTAACCTTCGAGTACTGGATTGGACTGGATTTAATCGCGCCCGAGCTTATACCCATCCATGCTTTGCCCAAACCGGACTTTGCTCTTGCCTGCGGCAGGAGATGGATGTGTGTAACAAAGCAGTAAGAGATGTTGGGATTATTACCGATATCTTTGTCAAATCCTTAGGATTGTTGCAGTGCAACCCTGCGATAAAGATCACGCAGGGCAAGCATTAAGTAAGGTTCCATTATTATTTCTGGCGTGCAACCGTATAGTATATACCTACCGTATAAGAACCCCCTCCCCCGCCACCCCCCCTCATCCGCCCACCATCATCCCACAATGCCGCCCAAAGGCAAGGCGGCCCCAAAGCCAAAAGGATCTGATAGTAAGAAGAAGTTGCCTAGTTGAAACGGGGAAACAGCCTGCTTAGTCTTGAATATTATGTCCTAACATCAGTCGTGCAGCAACCAAAACGTCTTCCTCCTTGACCGCTGCTGCCCAACCGGCCTCTTCGACCGCTCCAAACAACACCACCCCACCGGCGACTATCAACGAGCGCAGCCAGAGGCGGGTCGACGAGTGTCAGCCATACGAAGCTGCACGCCAAAAAGCCGGTCTCCGCGGCCTGTCGCAAGCTGAGCAGTTTGGCTGGGTCAGCGCCCGATTCGCCCGGTCCGACGCCGCCGCCCGCAGCCGCCTCGGCCCCAAGTCGCAGCGTGAGCTGTGGCGCTATGTGAACGACGCTAGCCTGCCAGTGCGCGTTCTCAAGAAGAAGTTGGTCTCGAACCCGTGGGGCGTCGACCGCAACGGGAGAGACATTGGCAGCTACAGCCCCGCTCAGTTCGACGACCGCGCCGCCAAGCGCATTAACCTAACCGTGCTTGCCGCCGCGAGCCAGGCCTTCAGAGACTGCCGTGAGAGGACCAAAAAGATCGCCTTGGACGATCAGCAGAATCCCGACGTGGCAACCGACAGCGAGGTCCAAGAGGAACGCGAGAGGAGGCGCGAGATGGCGAAACTGCGAAAGGAGCTCTACGGAGACAAGATGCCGGGCAAGCTCGCCCAGGACCCAGAGTGGGATGACGTGTTGCCCATCCCGCACGAGGAGCCCGAAGGGTCGCTAGCGGCGATTTCGTACCCAGATGACTACGCCGAAGGTACTTCCCTTTTCGTCCTCCTAGGGACGGGCCAGACGAGTCGTTGTGAGTCAGGCTAACGAAGGCTCAAAGCAATCTCCTATCTCCGGGCCGTGATGGAGAACAAGGAGTACTCGCCGCGCTGCCTGCGGCTGACCGAGTACATCATCGGCATGAACTCGTCACACTACACCGTGTGGCTGTTCAGAGCGTCCATCGTTATTGCGTTGAAGCTCCCCTTCGTGGACGAGCTGGCGTGGCTCAACAAGGTGGCGCTCGAGCACCTCAAGAACTACCAGATTTGGCACCACCGTCACCTGCTAGTGGAGAATTACTATCCGAGCATCGCGGGGTCGCCCGAGGCCGTGGCATCGTTCGCCGCCCAGGAACAGGCCTTCCTGTCTGACATCCTCGAGCAGGACACCAAGAACTACCACGTATGGTCATACCGCTCGTACCTTGTCGGCAAGTTGGGGCTGTGGGACAACGCGGCCGAGCTCGCCGCCATCGAGGCCATGATAAAGGACGACGTGCGCAACAACTCGGCCTGGTCTCACCGCTTCTATCTGGTCTTCTCGAACCCGGCGCACTCGACCGCCGGCACCGCCGCCACGGAACCGGACCCGGCCGCGCCCGCCGCCATCGTCGACCGCGAGGTCCAGTACGCCCAGGACAAGATCCACTTGGCCCCGCAGAACCAGAGCCCCTGGAACTACCTGCACGGCGTGCTGGTCAAGGGCGGCCGCAAGCTGGGCAGCGTCGAGCCCTTCGTCGCTGACTTTGTCCGCCACCTCGGCGACGACGACAAGGAAGACGTCATCAGCACCCACGCGCTGGACCTGCTCGCCGAGATATACGCCGAGAAGGGCGACAAGGAGAAGGCAGACCTCGCCCTCAGGCGCCTCGGCGAGAAGTGGGATCGCATCCGCATCGGCTACTGGGAGTGGCGGCGCAAGTGCCTCGAGTCCCCTGCTGCTGCTGGAGGAACGGAAGCAGGGGTAGCCGCAGCAGTGGCGGCATGAAGAACGTAGGTAGGTATGTACAAAGGTAAACATGAAATAAATAAAATAAAAATTCAGTGACGTATTTTTAGTTGGTTTCGTGACGGAGAAGGGTAGTGGGAATGGGAGGGGCAAAGTCCAAGTAGCCTGCCTGGAGAAGGAAGAAGAGCAAACAAATACGAAGCAAAGCACATGCCTAGGCGCAACATAGTAATGGGGATATGCTGGGTGCCTAGCTTATCTGTATTCTGATTGATTTCAGAGAGAGATGTCGAGGCTGATCGGGAGTCAGGTATGGAAAAGTGGGATATTGTTCGGACGGCGTCGGGAAAAAGAAGAAGAAAACGAAAAAGGAAACACAAAACATCAAAGGGTGGAGGGAGTCTCCTCGGAGTATCGGACTAGACAAATTTTGTCAGTTCTTGTACGGACACGTCTGTAGGGGGGAAAAATACCGCCTCCCTCTACTCTCAGTGTTTATACATGAGAAAGTTGAAAAGGGAGCTGGTATTTAGGTTTCCAAAGCCGCAATGCTTTCATATCTGACAGGGATCACAGGGAACTACTTCACACGTTCAGTCGACAGTTCGTAAGTAGGTAGGGGGGTTATGAAGGAGTAGAAATGGGGGCAGGTAAATAGTTGCCGAGGTCCCCTTGCTTTAATTTTATAGAAACTATGAGGAGCCACTTCACACGGGTGACAGTAGCACAAGTAGGCAGGGAGGTATGAAAAGGAGGCAAGAAGGGGGAGTTTATTTAAAAATATTTTTCAGTTCGTTATTCAGTCAAATTGTTACAGTCTTAGGTCATTTTTTTGCGCCTTATATGATTCTCTAAGAGATAGAAGAAGTTCGCTCTGTATAAAAATAGAAAAAAAAAGAAAAAGGAAAATGCCTGCCTCCCAATGATGACGAGTATGCTGGCCCTCTACGAGAAACTCCCCAAACGCCGTTCCTGCAATCCTCACTCGAAAAAAAGAGAAATATGCTCATATGAGACCTGGCGGAGTGAATCCCACACCCGCTCTTTGGTCCTCCTTCCGTGTCGTTCTCTTTGCGGAACGAACCCAAGCAATTCCCTCCCCCACCGCCTCCATAATTGCTAGTAACATGAAATGAGAAAAGAAAACAAGCCCCTTCCGCCGCCGTGACAAAATCCTGGGCCTGCTGACATTCTTATGGCCCATCTCTTACGCCCATCTCGTATGGCTATCCATCGTTGTTTCCTCTCGTAAGTAGGACATGTTATGGACGACACCCCATCATCACCTCTAGTTCCACCTCTTCTCAATACGCACGGTACGTGTGCGAGATGGCAATATATCTCCGGGTTGCCCTGGAGCCATGGCGCAAGATGGTATCCCAATTGGGGACGAGGATGAAGACGTCGTGGAAGTGCTGCTCCGCGAGCGGGCGACCGTCGGTTGCTGTGAAGTGGACGGTGCCCGAGACAGCCAGCATCATGACGATGCGCACACTGCCCTCCGCTTTCCGTCTGGTGCCGCCATTGCTGGTAATGGTGTAGTCGACGAGCGCCTCTGGGGGCGCCGCAAAGCGGTAGTCTGAGTTTATGACGTGCACGTCGTAGCTGGCTACTTCGTAGCGCACGGTGTCGACCTTGTCGGTAGATGCGAAAGGGTTGGCAGACGCAGTCGGGTTTGCCGCACGCCGCTGCTGCGCGAGCAGCGCGTCCCACTCCTCGGGAGTTGCCACCACCCGCCCATTGATGCAGATATCAGCAGGCGGTTGGCCTGCCGCCGTGTACCGCTCGCTGGCGTTCACGTAGCCTTGCGCGACCGACTTCCCGTCATTGATCGAGGCGTAATACCAATCGACAAAGTTTTTAGAAGCTGTAAGAAGGGGGATACATATGAGCCAAACGGAATCCAATTTTTTCTTTCCAATTAAACAAAACCGAACCCGGCGCAAAGGAAAATGTTGACGGCAAGGGGGAAAGGGGCGAGAGGGATTATTCAGGACGGCGAGGGAAATGATTCAGGACGGGCGCGCGGGATTGAACTCGGATGCTGGGCGAATTTGTCGTACCTTCCGCCGAACATGCGACAAGTGTGACGAGGGGAGGGGGCCCCATACTGTCGGACTTCTTGCCGGTGTAGATGAAGCTTGTGTGATCTTGTTTGGTTTCGCCGAGGCGCAACCAGCTCGGGACGGCTCTGTCGCTTTCTCTTCTGCGCGATGATGGGAGGCAACCTGCAGGTGTTCGCAGTGCAGATCCCAGCAATCGCGAGTCGCGACTGGTGGGTTCCCGCGGAATTCGCGCTTGTTGTTTGCTGTGCTGCGATCTAGCGGCCGTCTTTTATTGTAGGTCGATGAAACGTGGAAGAGTTGAAGTTCAGATTGGTGAGTCGTCAAGTGGGGCTGAGTAGGCAGCGGGCGAAGGCCCGCGAGCGCGAGGGCAGAAGACGGGGCCTGAAATGCCAGAGTGCGGCAGGGTTAAGCTCGGTTGGGTTTCAGTATGCTCCGAGTAAGCATCAGCGAAGAATTGGCGGGATAATTTCTTCGTAGAAAGGCTGCTAAATCTCGTTTCTTAAAAGCGAGCAGTCCGCAGATTGAAAAGCTGCGGTTTTTGAGGTGAATACTCCGAAGGCAGCGAGCACTGATAGGAAGCCTTTTTGGCGTGAGAACCTTGCGGGCAGAACCTAGTGGGGAGCAGATGCGGCAGTTGGTAGAAATTTCGGGCTAGCAGCAACTACGCTAAGCCAATTTGGGTAATGACCAATTGTCCTATGATACTAGCGCGGGGCTTCTCGATGGGGCGAAGAGCTTCCTATTGTCCAACGGTTTTAGATAAAGCCCTTCATAAGAGAGAAGGTACCTAGCAAATGCGTGTTTTTTGTCCATAATCCGTATCATTTATGAGTACCGCGCGAATATAGGCATTATTCGAGAATTGGGCGCCTTGACCTACCTCACTATTGTTCAACAGATTGGGGAGCGCCTAATACGTAAAAACATACCTACCTTATGTACCTTAGGTGCCTGCCTAGGCGTAGTGACCTTCAAGTGCAATGGCTACTAGCGAGCTGTCGTAATACTTCGGCGTGCCTTGGACTTGCATAGCACTTGATTGAAGGTATGTTAAAACAATATGAGCACGTCTATTGCTACAGGCGAGATAATATGTTTGTTCAAGGTGACGGGTGATCCCCCCAGGATGATAGAATCCGCAGGTGGTCTCCGCGGTATCCCAATTTGATTATAGACTCCCGAGTCGAGAAGTTCAACTATATCAGGACGCGACGCGATAATCTTCTCCCGAGCAAACGTTAACCGGATCGAAGCGAGACCGGTGAACCGGCTCCCTGATTAATTGGCGAAGTGCTGTTCTGAACCCGCCCCAGAAGCTGGACACGATTTGATCTGCTCCGTCACAGCATCTCAGCTAGGGATTAGGAACTCCTCGATGTCTTTGTCTTCTTCCTCCTCTAGTGTCTCCTGCAGGCGACGCTCCTCGGCATCGAGCAGCTTCTTGATCATGTCACGCTGCCTTCTCCTCGCCTTCTTGCCCCAGTCTGCACCGGATGCTAGGGCGCCTTCCTCGGTTTCATCGTCGCTGTCTTCGGGAATATCAACCTGGCCTCGGAGCTGGTTGGGCGAGATTTGCGCCTTTTGGTATGCCGCTTCTGACTCGGCCGCCTCTTCTTCGTGTGATCTCATCTGAGCGCGCCCGCCGAGCTTGATTATATAAGGCCTCAGCAGCATGTCTATCCTCCCAGACAAGCCCTCCCGTTAGCCATCTAGCCCCCTGAATCTTTGCGCGAGCAACCTCAGCCTCTTCAATAGTTGGGGTATAGTCGGTCTTACAAGCGCCAGCAATGATCACCAGCTTGATCCACTTCTCTATCGGCGTATTCATCACCGCTGCAGCGACATTGTTGTGAAAGCGTTCCCGCACCACCCCGAGGATATTCCAGAGCACGTCCATCTCTTTCTCAGTGGGGCTGGTGTAGTTGCAGGCTCCGCCTTCTGCCTATACCGATTCAATCGTCAAATGTCCCGAACAGCTAGCTCAGGGGACTGTAGGAAATGGAGCGGGGTCGAAAACTAGAGGAGAGGTGCCGCCATGCCAATTGATGTTTGCGCGAGTTCAGTCGAGAGTGGGATCGTGAGGTATCGAAGAACGAAGGAAAGGGGAAAACAAACACCGCATCGCTCCCAGCGAAAATCTGCACTGAACACTTCTTTAGCTCGTTACGTAGGGGTTAGATGCGCCAAGGCCACCCCACTATTCCGTAGCTCCCGCCCCTCCGGCAAGCCCGGCTTAGCTTACCTCAAGGTATCTTATACATACTAGTCCCGTGGCGTGGCACTTTGGCAGAATAAATATTGTAACAAATAAACCGGCCAGGAAATGCCCTTGATAGGTATTTCAGTGGAGAAACAGGCCTCTAGGATTCAATAATAGAGATTCCAATAGCTATTAACTCCCTCGGTAGAAAAACGTTTAGGGCGAGTAGGAAGTGTTAAGGCCATTCAGGCCTTAGAAAGTTTCCCGCTAACAAACATTCAGGGATTGGAGTGTGATATGCCTTATGTAATACAAAGTTAAAGTGCCAGCTCTTGGGGAACACGCGTGCCCCTCCATGCAACTCCAATTGTAACGCGCTCGACGCGTCTTCACATGAAGGCTTCCGGGCCCCTTATCCTTGACTATCGCAAGAGATTCCTGCGAGTAGAGGTAACACGCCGACAAAAATGGCAGACCCTCCAGACGAAGAAGTGCGAGAAGTAAGAACCTCATCGAATTATTTTCCATCACTCATATCTCATCGGCACTACCTACTCCACATACACACTTACATGCCGTGCAGCTGTGAGCTGACTCACCATTGATCCGCAGCGCCTGAAAGCAGCCCTGTGGTTCGCCATCGGGAATATGGTGGACGAGGAGTCGCTTCGGCGGAACCGCAACGCGACGCCGCAGTTCATCGCAGCTCTGACGGAGATGGTCTGGGCACAGATTGGTGAATTTTTTTTCTTGTTTTTTTTTTCCTTTTCGTTCTCCGCTTCCACTCTTTCACGCCCACTCAAAACACATGACTTTCAAAGTGACTTGGCTGGCCGCTGGGCGGCCACTTGACACCTGGGGCAAAGGGAAGGGGGAAGGAATAAAGAAATAAATTAAAACATCTCATCCTCTCACAACTGCTCACTCACTTCTCACAGAGAACGTCGCCGTTGATTTGGAGAGCTTCAGCCAGCATGCTGGCCGTACGACGGTCACGACCGACGACGTGCTCTTACTAGCGCGGCGGAACTCGGACCTCCACGCCATAATCAAAGACTGTGTCGACCGCCAGAAAGCTACAAAGGCCAAAGGGAAGGCTAAGCGTTGACGAGGAAAGCGGGTCTCGTAGTTAGGCTCTGCTTTGGCTTGCCCGCCAGTGTCTGGTTCGGTTTGTAGCCCGTTCCTCTTGGTGCAGAGCTATGCAGGCACCACTAGTTATGGAATTTTCTAGAGGGATAGGCCAAGGCGGAGGGGATAGAGACAGGCCACCACTTCATTTCGGGGGAGACTGCTCGATGAGCACCAAGCCATATTTAGAGTCTGCGGGCCGGCTACCAGGCATTTCACCAAGACAACCCTCTGTCCCTGATTCAGAGGGTTACCGGCATCTCAGGCAGTAAGGGGTTTCTGGAACACTGTTGAGGCGCGCTTTGGACACACAATCCGACAACGACAAGTAGACCTTCACAGGTAAATTTGGCATGGTGGGCAGAGCGTGAATACCCCGGTGGCATGTGAGTCGCGGGGCGAATTACACGCAGTGTTGCGTGCTAATTATGCTCATCTGCATAGAGGAAACAATCCTAGTGATGATGCGTACGACTGGTTTGTAATACAGAAAGAATAAACAGAATCGGCTCAGTCTTCGAGGAACTCCGAAGTAAACCCGTGCTTTTTCTCCCACTCCTCGTCGCTCATGAAGTAACGCTTCGCTAGGGAAGTCGTGAGACCCCATGCCCCAAATCTCAGGGTGAAATACATCAGCTCTATCCCCAGCAGATTTCTAGTCCTTTGCCATGACCAACGCGGCAGGGCGCTCAAAGTGAACCCAAAGACGGCAAGGGCATCAAACGCCAGACCATCACCGCGGGCAAGATAGCAGTTGGCTATGCCAGTCCAAATCACACTTGCAAGCGGTGCGGTCACAATCCTGGTTGCAACGGCTCCGAGAAAGTCGGCTGCCATGCGAGACGGCAGTGTGGTGAGCGCATTGACGCGGTATCTGGGCTCCTGAGCCACTGCCGCTCTATTCTCCGACATGTTTGGCCTGAGCTCGGCCGACCAAGCTGCCGCCCCATGATGTGTGTCGTTGGCTTCACTAGCCTCCACGTCGAAACTGATCAGGGTGGCACTAATTATGTCGCCACCTTCATCGTCGCTGGAGAATTCGTCCCCACGTGCCGAGGCTGTGCTCTGGCGCCGGACTGGTCCAGCGGGGGGACCGCCGGCGGCCGGTTGCCCCTCATGGGCCCGCGATATAGACTCGTCTCTGGCGATGTCGCCCGCGTTCCTAGGCTGCTCTTCGGCCAGACCGCCCGCAACAACTGAAGGCGGTGGGGGAGGCAGCTCTCTCAAGGGTACCCGCCACGATTGAGTCCTGGGCTGTGGTAGACGCTGCTCAATGTTGCGAGTAAAGAAGCTCGAGACACGACTCATGGCGATCCCATAGAAGAAATACCCTACGAAAGGCGCCGCACCACAAGCAAAGGGCAGAGACCACTGCAGCACAGTTTCGTAGGTCAATGGCGATGGCAACGAAGGGATGTAGAAGGGCGAGCTAGTCGATCCAGGCCAAAAGAATGCGAGACCCGGCAAAAAGGCTGTCGGTGAGATAATCCCTACGCGCTGCATCAGGGAGAACACCTCGAGGTGAATCCGAATGTATTTCACGATAGAGGAAGGCCTGCACAAGTTTAGTCGGGGGCCTGTTCAGAACCAGAGCTTGCAAGAACAAGAACAAGAAGCTTACAGATAGGGAAACTGCATATCTCCTAACGATGCCGGAAGTATGGAACCCAGGATACTATCGATGGCTCTCGACAGCTGGCTGGGCAGTAGCGCAGTTCCGACAATAAAGGACGGTAGGCCTGCGTAGAGATAAGATGGCCAGGACTGGTACTGCCGATGGAGTCGAAACAGCTCGTGGAACGGAACCTGGGAATACAGATCGTACAGCTGCGGAAACAATATTAATACCGAAAAACAAGCCGGCTAGGCAGGCGAATGGCAACGCTGGCCACATACCAAAACGCGCTGGCGTACACCACTAACACCCCAAGCAATGGATGTACCAAGCACGCCACCCAGCATGTCAAGGTTATTACCAACCGAGTTTTCGTAGCTGCCGTGAGCATTGGCAAGCGCCTGCGCTTGAGTCTCGGCCGCGCCCGTGTCGGGTTCTGCAACACCAATAACCTGCATGACTTCATTGTGGGAGCGGATGATATCTCTATTGATACGCCGTGTCTCCTCATTCACGGGGCGCCCTCGCTCATCGTACATCTGCGGGTTGTTAGACTGCGGATCCGCCGGAGCGTCTGGGTCTCCGGGGACGACATCGTCGTAAGGAGACCGGCCCTGCACAATCTTGTTAGGACCCGTGGAAGATGGGAATGGGGAATGAGAAACGCCTCCCATCTCAGGGTTCAAGATTGAGTTGAGCTTGAGCGTTGGAGCTTACCAAGGCCTGGGAGATTAACGGCTCCAGTTGACCCATATTGTTTCAATGAATTATACTGCCAACATTTGTAGGAGAAAAGCTTTCGATCATAGCTACTTGATGCCCGCTTGATGAGTAGCCCAAAATAGAGCCGACTTGGCCACATGAATGGCGAATGGGGAGTGAGAAGGGGAATGGGGAATGCTTGACGAAAGACGCGAGTTGGGATTTGTTGACGTCAAACGGGCCTGGGGGTTACTTGCAAGGGTGCTCAGGCGCATGGCGCTAAGATAACCTTAATTCCAGGGCTTATCGGCAAAATTTCAGTGGGGTTGAGGGACGAAAAAAATTTTGGGGGAGGGGGGAAGAGGTGAGAGACAGCAAGCGTATGTGGCATCCCGCAGTGCGCAGCCATCTGTCGACATTGTCAAATAATACCCAAAACACTCCACAAGCCCAAATGGCAACTCGACAGTCGGCCAAGACGACCTTCGAGGTCAGCAATGTCATACAGCCCATATACACGGGCGGTTCTGTTGCGCTACACAATGGCGCAAGGATCCTCGCCTCGACGCTGGGCGAGGCCGCCGTGCTCACCGAGTTGACGTCCGGCAGGCGGCTTATCGAGATCGAAGGTGATGGCGAGCCAATCTCAACCCTGACAATCACCCCCTCAGCCTCCCACCTGATTGTCTGCTCGCGCTCCCTGACGATGCGCATCTACTCCCTGGCAATCTCCCCAGAGTTCGACACGGTCGAGGCAACCCTCGTGCGGACCTCGAAGCCTCACGCTACACCCGTCGTGGTGCTCGCCGTTGATAAGACAAGCACCCTCCTTGCTACCGGCGCTGCAGATGGCGCCATCAAGATCTGGGACATCATTGGCGGCTACGTCACCCATACGGTCAGCGGCCCGAGCGTTCTTGTCTCTGCCCTGCATTTCTTCGAGCTGGCTGCAACTGCCCAGAGCGCCAAAGCCAAATCCGGCCGCAAGGCGACAAGGAACGCGAGAAAGGGGCAGGCTGAGGAGAGCCAGGCCCAAAATGACGACTCTGCCGACTCCAGGTTCCGACTTGCGTATGGTACACAGGACGGCAAACTACGCGTGTTTGACCTCCGCAAGCGCACCACATATTCTGTCTTTTCGGACTCAAAGAGGAGAAAAGAGGCACACGACTCTAATATCCAGAGTATAGACTACTCGCCGGACCAGCACACCCTTCTCAGCGGCAGCAGAGACAAGACGATGACATTGTGGCTATGGAAGGACGAAGAGTGGCAGGGGACACCCATGTTGCGCCACGAGTCTGTCGAGGCGGTGGGATTTCTCGATGGCGGCAAGTTGATGTACTCGGCCGGGACGAGCGGTCTCCTGAGGCTATGGGACACCTCTACGCACCAGGAGATTACCCAGGAACAGGAACCCAGGTCAGAAGGCGAGGAAATCGTGTCAGCAATCTACCTTGCGCACAAGTCTCTCGTTCTTTGCGCCCAGGCCGATTTTACGCTCGCCTTTTACCGGATACCCTCCTCGGCAGACGCCAACCAACAGTCGGGAGTTCTCATGGAGCCCTTCAGGCGGATCTCTGGAACTCACGATGAAATCTTAGATCTGGTTTATCTCCTTCCCGACCAGTCCTTGATGGCCCTCGCTACAAACTCAGAGGACGTGAGGCTCGTTTCCGTAGCCGACGCGCAGCCTGCGGCTAGCACAGAAGACGACACTGCCTATTTCGGGCATGACGCCGCGTTGTTGAAGGGCCACGAGGATATAGTAATGTCCTTGGATGTCGACTGGTCTGGTCACTGGATCGCGAGCGGTGCAAAAGACAACAGTGCGCGACTCTGGCGTATCGATGCGGCAAATAATTCCTACACCTGCTATGCCGTCTTTACCGGCCATTTGGAGTCGGTCGGAGCCGTTGCCCTTCCCAAGACTGTGCCACAGGAAAGTTCGGATGCATTCAAAAACCCCCTTGATCACCCGCCGGCTTTCCTTATAACCGGCTCTCAGGATCGGTTTGTTCAGAAGCGCGATATTCCGCGGCAGTCGCAAACGACGGGCATATCTTCGTCGAGTCTCCGCCGGTTAGCCCACGAAAAGGATATCAACGCCCTGGACGTTAGCCCTTCGGGCCGCCTATTTGCTTCGGCGTCTCAGGACAAGACAGTCAAAATCTGGGATGTAGAGCTGCTTGAGGTTCAAGGTATTCTCAAGGGGCACCGCAGAGGCGTGTGGACTGTTCGATTTGCTCCTCTAAACACGCCTTCGATCCAGGGCGAACAGGGTTCAGTGTCTGGGAAAGGGGTCATTCTTACTGGAAGCGGCGACAAGACCATCAAGCTATGGAACCTCTCAGACTACACATGTCTGAGGACATTTGAGGGACACTCGCACAACGTCCTCAAGGTGGTGTGGCTGAATCTACCCGGCGACGACAACTCGTCAAAGAGACCAGTTGAGTTTGCCAGTGCTGGAGCCGATAGCTTGGTCAAAGTATGGGATGCGAACCTTGGGGAAACAGAATGCACGCTGGACAACCACGAGGACAGGCTGTGGACGCTAGCCATCCACCCGAGAACGAATACAATTGTGTCGGGCGGTAGCGATTCGAAGATCACATTCTGGAAGGACACGACGTCGGAAACCCAGGCGGCGGTTTCGCAGGCAGCCCTGAAGCTGGTCGAGCAAGAACAGGAGATCGAGAACTACATTCACGCTGGAGCCTACCGTGACGCGATTGTGCTTGCACTTCAGCTCAACCACCCCGGCCGGCTTCTCAGCCTCTTTACGAGCGTTGTGACATCCAACGCGCCAGAAGAGGGCAGCCTGTGTGGAGTGAGAGCGGTGGACCAAGTGCTTGCTTCACTCTCGGACGAGCAGATATTCATGCTCCTGCTCAGGCTGCGGGACTGGAACACCAATGCAAGGACAGCACCTGTGGCCCAGAGGATCCTGTGGACCCTAGTGAGGAGCCACCCAGCCTCGAAATTCTCGAATCTTTCTGTCAAGGGCGCAAAGGGCCAACGTAGTCTGAAAGAAGTTCTCAACGCGCTGAAGGTGTATACAGAGCGGCACTATAAGCGCATGGACGAATTGGTGGATGAGAGTTACTTGGTCGAGTACACGCTTCAGGAGATGGACAGCCTGGCCCCGTCTCTAGATCAGGATTTTATTATGGGGGAGGCCCAGTAATAGAGAATACGCCAGCCTTGCCAGATGGCACAACCAAGTAGTGTATTAGTAATACCAGCTGTTGCGCGTTTGCATCGCAATCTTGTGTTCCTTGCATGTATGGACATGGCCGTGGTGAATTCAAAAGTCGAAAAAAGTACATGGTACGCGTATGGGCATACTAAGTTAGCGTGTTTTCGTGGTACTCAAGACTCTATATCCGTACTTTGGGCAGGTCTGCACAAGCTTAGGTGGGGCATCCGTGTGCGACCTGCACCCGCTACAATTCTGGGGTTTGGCGACTCCCTGCAAGGCTTCTGTCCTCAGAACATAACCTTGCGAACGTCAAATTAGGAAAGAACCCGGCTGCAAACGCAAAACACGACTCTGCGCACTAGCATCGCGTATTAACGAGGAATTCTACTTCCCACGTTCGCGCTGCGAAAATTACTTCAACGCGGTACTAAGGCATGTCGAAACGCCCAGCGGCAGAAGCTCTCGACGAGCTTTCGGGCGACTCTCCAGCCTCCAAGAAGTCAAGGCTCGATGATTACAACAAAAGCCTGACGCCAGCCAGCGCAATCGAGAACGGGTATGGAGGCCATAGCGAATCTCCCGAGAACGGGGACAGCGAGGCCGGTAGCGGCGAGGAAGCCGAGTTTGACGACGAGCCTGAGGAGAAAGCGCCGATCCGGCAATCAGCGCCCACAGAGGGCTACGACGACCTGTACCTCGACACGATCGACCGGAACGTGCTCGACTTCGATTTCGAGAAACTGTGCTCCATTAGCTTATCCAACATCAACGTCTACGCCTGTCTGGTATGCGGGAAGTATTTCCAGGGCCGGGGCCCCAAGTCGCACGCCTACTTCCACGCGCTCGAGGAAGACCACCACGTCTTTATCAACATGAGTACTCAAAAGGTCTACGTGCTGCCAGAGGGATACGAGGTCAAGAGCAAGTCTCTGGACGATATCAAGTATGTGTCGGACCCGCGCTATACGCGCCAAGAGGTCATGGACCTGGACCGCAAGCCGCGCACCTCGTGGACGCTGGGCGGAAAGCAGTACACGCCGGGCTTCGTGGGCATGAACAACATCAAAGAGAACGACTATCTCAATGTGGTGGTGCAGGCCCTATCGCACGCATCGCCGTTGCGAAACTACTTCCTGCTCGAAGACTTTAGCACGTCGACCGATGAGCTCGTCAAGCGCACGTCAATCCTGTTCCGCAAAATCTGGAACCCGCGTGCCTTCAAGGCGCATGTGTCCCCCCACGAGCTGCTCCAGGAGATATCGCTGCGGTCCAACAAGCGCTTCACCCTGACGGCGCAGTCGGATCCCGTCGAGTTCTTGTCGTGGTTCCTCAACCACCTGCACCTGGGGCTGGGCGGCAGCAAGACCAAGGCCGGGTCCAGCATGGTCCAGCGCGTGTTCCAGGGCAAGCTCAAGGTGGAGTCGCAGGCCATCACTGCCAAGGCCGACGCGAGCGACCGGCTGCGCTTCGAGGAGGCGGCCGAGGTGAAAGTCGATATCACGCGCTTCCTACTGCTGACGCTGGACCTGCCGGCGGCGCCCCTATTCCAGGACGAGCTCGAGCGCAACATCATCCCCCAGGTGCCACTTACGACCATCCTGACGAAATACAACGGCGTCACGGCGCAGGAACTCAACGCGCAGCGCAAGCGCTACCGGCTCGTGCACCCGCTGCCGCCGTTCCTCATGTTCCACGTCAAGCGCTTCAGCCAGAACAAGTTCGTCTCGGAGCGCAACCCCACCATCGTCACCTTCGACGCCCACAACCTTGACGTGTCGCCCTACGTCGAGCCGGACCCGGCCCAGCACCCCCCGGGCGAGCCAATCTGGTACGACCTCGTGGCCAATGTAGTGCACGAGGCAGTGCGCGCCAAGGACGATGTGGCCGACAGCGGCGAGGAGCGCAAAACGTGGAAGGTCCAGCTGCGCGACAAGGCCACTGACGAGTGGGTCGTCGCCCAGGATCTGTTTGTCGACAAGATCCGCAGCGAGCTGCTCTACCTCGGTGAGGCCTACCTCCAGATCTGGGAGCGGAGGAGGGAGCCGCCATCGCGGCAGCTGCCATCCCGAACCGCGAAGGGGAAGGCCAAGGCTTGACATTGAATACGTTATACCCGTTTCATTATTTCTTATTGAATGCTCTTTTTTTCTAGAAGACACACTTTATAAGAATAAACTTCCACGACATGAATACCAAACGAAACCTTTATACCCATTATCCATTATCCTGCCTTGTAATCAAATTAACCTGAAATGTCTAGGCAACAAAGCATACCACGAAATCCCCTTTTTTCTAATTGCAGAATTATGATACCAACTGTTAGACCAAGACGAGGATCCGGATATTCCGCAATGTCTCGGGCACCTGTTTGCCCTTGTGTGTGTGGTTATTGTGCGGTATACAGTGTACTTATCCTGAAAGTTCATCATGCATGTGTATCATACAGGCGTCGAAGTCTGTTAAGTGGGAAAATAGGCGCGCGTTGGGAACAGGGGACAGGAGACAGGGGGCGGGCAGGTCAGGTCAGGTTAGAGTCAGGATCAACGAACATGAAATGCTATGTTTACCGGCCCTTTTTTTCTCCTTTCTTCCTATCTTTTTCCTTTCCAAAAGAAAACTTGGTGCTGGTGTTAGACAGCCTACCTAGCCAAGTAAGTGTGTAAAGATGTGTAAATAGAGGAAGATAACAACATATCTCCCCTCTCTCCATAGTTCGGGATGCAGGTAGGTTCCGGTCTGGAATAATCTCGGGACACACCTAGCAGAACAGAATCAAGGGAAAGAAAGGTGAGCGTCCACGCCGTCGGGAACCTTTCCATAGGGGCATGTACGACTTGAGCTCCGGGTGCCACCTCATGGGTACACAATCTAATACTTGAAGGTTTTTCGCCGAGGGAGACAATAACTTCAAGAAACCCGATTATAGAATCTTGGAGGCCTTTCTCTCCTAGAGATAGGTACCTCCCCATCAGAGGCTTTTCCTAGCCGGTGTACGGAGTATTTGTTGTAGCTTTTAATTTTTGCAAGCGTCTACCTTACACTGCGCTAACGAACATCTAGGGATTGGACTGCATACTACAGCATAAATATCTCGAACTGGGCTTGTATGTCAATAGCATTGCCGGTCCGGCAAAGTTATTGTGTGCTAAATTTTTCCCGCCTTCCCTCGGAGATAGAGAGAAATATAGCTACAGTACCCTACAGTTACAATGAATCCATAATCGTGCATTTAAACAATGCAAATGCAAATCGAGGATTTCGCGCCTCTGCCTGACGCCTTTTTCTGGTTCGTTCAGCTCGTTGCCCCCCCCCCCCCCCAGAGTCTGTTCCCCCCTCCTTTTCCACTTCCCGTCACCCTTCCCCTTTCTGTCCTCTTTCGATTCCTTTTTTTGGGGTAAGACAAGTACAAGAACTGTTGCTGCCCAACTCACACGAGAGAGACCTAACCAAAGGGTCTGAAGAGACTTGTGATAAAAGACCAGTAATTGTTGACTTCTGCGGGGACATGCTGAAATTATTCTGTGAATGCTTGCTTGCTTGCTTTGCTGATACTGTACATCGTAAGGGGCTGAAGTCTTGATTTTTTGGAGTTTTCTTTTTGGTGGCTCGCTGGCTAATGTTGTTTCCTGGCCCGCGCCTTGTCGTGCGGGTCTTTACGGAAGTGTGCGTTACTGAAGGTATGGGGAGGGTCTAGGGGGGGTGCGTGGCGTCAAGGCGATTACGAGTTCAGCGAATTCTTCGGATCATCAAACTGCGGCAGCTGTTGCTGCGGCAGCTGTGGCTTGGACGACCGCTTGTCGCCGTGATGGTGATTGTTCGCCTTCTCACGCCGCGACTCCTCGATGGCAGTGCGCTGCTGGATACTCGAGTCGTGGCTCTTCCACTCGAGCTTGGTATCCGGGGGAAAGGTCAAGATTCGTCTCATGGTCTCGCTGTTTCATGTCAGTGTACGAATGGAGAGAATGTTGAATGGGGGAAGCATCGTGGTCGGTAGCCGTACCGGATCTTCAGGACTCGCTGGCCATTCGCTCGAGCCCAGATGCTGAGAATGTCCTCCCCGCTGCGAATGCTAAGCACAGCACCGCACACCTCATCGTTGGCCTCGCCAAACTGGTCGCCAATAATGGCAAGCAGCAAGTCCTCCCAGTAACGGTCTGCGACCCCTTTCTTGAGGCGGACAATCCATTTTCCTCCGTTCTTGTTTTCCTCATCCTCCCATATTGGGCGAATCCCCTTCTTGAAGAGATGGTAATCCGATACCATGGGTAGAGCAGAAGGCCGCTTGAGGTGCTCGTACACGGCGAAGAACTCTTCGGCCGTGTCGCAGGCGGCAATCGGGTGCAGAGTCTTTTCGTACTCGATGAACCCGTTGGCCTTGGAAATAGGTGGTCGGAACCAGAAAGCCCAGCTATTGCGCAGCTGGTGGGCCGATCCTCCCGAGGCCGAGATGGTCGACGATGATCCTAAGGTGTTCTTACCCGACTCGGCCAGGGACGCGTTTGACGACGGCTTCCCAATCGCCTTATTGCCGCCTAGACCACCATCATTTGCAGATTTCTCAGCCGATGGCGTCTTGATAGCCGAAGAGCCCAAGGTCGCCTCGAAGGGGTTTCTAGGTGACTTGGGGGTCTTGGCGCCGAATGAGGCGAATGCGCCAGAGCCCAGTCCAAATGCGCTCGATGCGTTGCCTGTGGGAGATGCCAGGCCGCTGGTGACGGGAGTGGGAACTGCGTTGAACGGGTTGGGCTTGCCGTGGGACGAGCTGTCACCGCCAAATCGCTTAGGGGTGGCATTGCGCCCAGAGGAGCTGTCGCCCAGGCCGCCGGAGCCAGACGTTGAGAGGGAAAGCTTGCTCGAGCTATCAGGAACTAGATTTAGCCAGGCGTCCGTGCCTTGCGACGAGACTCTTTGGTGCGGATTTGGAGGCCTCGGCAAGCAAAAAAAGACCAGAACACTTGACTCACTTGGCACGGCGACTCCATATATTATCCATGAAGGCGTCGGACTGGGAACCTCGTTGAGAAGGCCTCGAGACGAGCGTGCAACCCCGTCGACAGCGGCGCCAGGAAGCGAAACGAAGATAAACGGCGCCTGGGGTCGAACGAATGAAACACGAAGCCCGCGAGCAGTTTACCGGTCGGGAAGTCGGGACGGAAAGGATGTTGTGGGCGCGAGAGGGTGACTGAGAATGTCAAGCGGCGCGGCAGCAGGGGGTTTAACGCCTTTCACGAAGTGACTTGGACTTTGGGCGGGAGGGCAGATGATGTCAGGAGACCTTGATAGCGACAAGACTTCAATCGGGAGAGTTGGGGTCTGAACGGTCTTGAAGCAGAGGTGCAATGGCGCATGGGACGTTATATCGATTACTTGTAGGCGGAATTGGGGCTGTGAAAGGCTAGGCGCGGGCGGTAGGCGTGGAGGAATGTGAGGTTGGGTTTTTGAGGACGTCGGTTCAATCGTGAAGAACAAATCTTTGACCGCAATGGCCAGCGGCGACACCAGCGGCGGGTCTGTAAACTCCACCGCACCCAAATGCTAACATGACTGGCCACTGAGGAAAGCTAGCCCGCTGGTGGGCGAGGGTTGGCGCCAGGGTCTTACAGGACGTTTGGGGCGGTGAGCGCCGGCACAAAACTGGCCGGCGATGGTCTACAAGAGCTCCAAGCTTAAAATTCCCTCTCCGTTTGCTCTCTTCTTTTTTCCAACACAGACCACAAGCGAAAAACCATTCGCCAGCACATTCCACCTCCGCGGTGCTGGACGATTTCGAACGTGCGTCGAGATCAACTCCTCTAAATTGCCCTTGCTTAAAACCATCATCACGAGTGCCCCATTTGCGCGGCGTCCATGATGCGGTGATGACCTGAAGCAAGATTAGGACATTTCTGCCTGTTTGGTGCCACGTACACAGTAGACGCACAAGTCGTCGAGCTACTGGTAAAACACATTCGGCTGCAAGGTTGGCCGAGTATGTGTTGTTTTTCTTTTCTTCATATGTCTTCGGTAAGTCTCTTTCTTTACTTCTCTTCTGTTGTTGCGCACGCGTGGAATGATGAACACAAAATATCTGGTAAGCCTACTCAGCAATGACGGAATCATCTTCAACTGAAGAGGTTCAATGGTCATGGGTTGAATGTGAGGATAACACGGCAATAACTCTGAACCTTTTTCGTAACAGCCTTTTTGTTTGGAATCCCGGTTTTGGCTGTCTCGGGAGCTAACATTATCCGGTGTAGGGTTGCGCATATCCTTTTCTAGGTTACTCGACCCTTATACAGGCCGTCTCGAGTGAGGCTCTGCGAGTGCACAGAACCGGCCGACTCAGTCAGGGTCGAATGAAGGGGCCCAGCAGTGGGCCATGCTCTCCACACGGATAGCTCTGCTGGAGGATCTTGAATCGTGCTTTTTTTTCTCTATCTGCACTTCCCATATCCCGTACGGACATCCCGTCGGATGTTGGTCTGGGGTTCAGCCTGCCGGACCAGTACTGGCTAGGGTTCGGATTTATTATCCGGTCCGCAGGTTGGGGGTCTTGGGCCGGGCGTCGTTGCAGCTTGCAGACCGCAGCACGCTAAATCTTGAACCCTGAGCCCTTCGTTTTTCCGTGTAGCTCGACTATCTTAGCCACCATCATAGCCTTGATCCTAGTGCAGCCAATGGAAATAGCATCGGCAATCTGAAGAGAGCACGTTCTCTCCCCAAACGTCTTGGGATGTGGGGGTTGGACAGAGCTGTGGCAAGGTCGGACGGCCTTTCCGCGACAACGAGAAGCATTCATGTCTAAAGATGGACGGCTGCAGGAATCCTGCGTCTGTATACCAAGCCACCTGACTTGAATTTGGCGGCCAGCCCGCGTCTTGTGGCCAAGCAGAATTCGCAGGTTTGCTGAACCGGGCGCCGTTTTGGGCTCCGTGGTCAGCAAGCGCGGGCAGCAAACTCGGTGCAATGCCGGGACTGCTGTCAAGGGTGGTCTTGTGTCCCCACAAATCGAGACACATTACGCCATGATTTTTACCCCACGCACTTGACCGGTACGTAAAGTGTGGGGTAGGCAATCGTTTTGCCCACTGTCTTCCGAAGGTAGGAGGGGCAGTTGCGTCGCCGTGACAAAGCCCGAAGAGAGCTCTAAGCCTGCCCACCCGAGCCTCCAAGAGTCAAAAAGGCTCGACGTGCCCACTTAGGTTGTGCCACTTCCCGGCCCTCTGGCTAGTTTAGTTTCGTCCGACCTCTGGGTCCCGGCCCGTGTCCAAGACATTATCTCATTAATCATTTATTGGTCGCCCTCGCCGCGCACACACCGCCTCCTCGTCAATCCCTCGTCGACCCCTTGTCGACAAGCTCCGGAAACCTTCAAATAAAACACACTCCCACTAGCTCGCCCATGGGTGAATACCTCCCAAGCCTCCAATTGGAATCCCCGCGGGACCCGGCAATGGACAGGATTACGGACAAGGTGGCGGCCCTGCCCGCCGACGCGAGCTTCGTGTCTCTCGAGTTCTTCCCTCCGAAGACGGCCATGGGCTTTTCCAACCTCCGCGACCGCCTCGACCGCATGTCGCGCGCCCTTCGCCCGCTCTTCGTCAACGTCACCTGGGGCGCCGGCGGCTCCACGGCCCAGAAATCCCTCGAGCTCGCCGAAATCTGCCAGCGCGAGCTGGGCCTCACCACCTGCCTCCACCTCACGTGCACCAATATGAGCCGCAATCTCATAGATAAGGCCTTAGACGATGCCAAGGCTCTAGGCGTCCGGAATATCCTCGCCCTCAGAGGCGATCCCCCGAGGCGGGCTGAGTACCGCGATGCCAACGACCCAGACCCGGGCGACGACGACGACGAGTTTGTGTGGGCTGTCGACCTGGTGCACTACATAAAGAAACACCACGGGGACTATTTCTGCATTGGTGTTGCTGGCTACCCCGAGGGCCATGCCGACGAGAGCCACCCCTTGGGCCAGAACCTGGAGCGCGACTTTCCCTGGCTCGTCGAAAAGACGCAGGCGGGCGCCGATTTCATCATGACGCAGCTGTTCTTTGACGTTGCCGCCTATGACGCGTTTGAGAAGACTCTCAGAGAACATCCCAGCGGCGTTTTTAAAGACATACTCATCATCCCTGGCCTCATGCCCATCCAGGGCTACCAGATGATAAAAAGAACGGCCAAGCTCAGTCACGCAAAGGTCCCCGAGCCGTTGATGGCCCGCTTGGACGCAGTCAAGGGAGACGACGAGAGGGTCAAGGCGGTTGGAGTGGACATTCTCAGCGAGCTGGTCGAACAGGTCAAGGAGGTGAAGAGCAGGACGCCCGGGCCGCAGGGTTTCCATTTCTATACGCTCAACCTAGAGAAGGCCGTATCCTTCATCGTGGAACGTACAGGGTTGATACCCCCCAGCACCCCCGAGGAGGAAGAAACGCTAGAAATAGGAAACCCCATACCCGAGATCGCTGTTATGCACGTCAACGGTTCCACGCCCGACGACTCGTTTCATGAAATAACGAAGCGGAAGTCTTCCGTTGCCTCAGACCCCCGAAACCGGGTCATTGTCTTAGGACGGCCCGCCTCATACCCCGACTACGAAGCGACAGCTTTCGAGGCTAGCATTCCAGCAGAGCCGGTAAATACTAGAGCTAACACACTAGCCATCTCGGAGGGCGAGGGTGTGTTGGGCCGCGAGGCGACTTGGGACGATTTTCCCAATGGTAGGTGGGGAGACGCTAGATCTCCTGCCTATGGCCAGATTGACGGCTACGGCGTGAGCTTGCATGTCACCGTGGCACAAGCTCTTCAGCTGTGGGGTACGCCAAAGGTCAGCGAAGACATCAATCGCATATTTATCCGCCACCTCAAGGGGGAACTGTCGGCGATCCCATGGAGCGAGGAGGGATTCAACGCCGAGACCGATGCCATCAGGGAGACTCTGATTAGGCTCAACTCCAAAGGCTGGTGGAGTCTGGCCTCGCAACCGACGGTTAACGGACTCCGATCTAACGATCCGACTTTCGGCTGGGGCCCGCAGAACGGATTCGTTTTCCAGAAGGCCTTTGTCGAGTTCTTCCTGCCGTCGGCCGACTGGAAGGTCCTTGAGGCGAAGCTCACGCGGCCCGAGATGAAGGACACGATATGTTTCTACGCCACAAACGTGGCCGGCGACTTTGTCAGCTCCGACTCTAACCAGCCGACGGTGAACTCGGAGGGAAGGCCGCACGTCCGCGAGGCTAGCACCAATGCCGTGACATGGGGTGTCTTCCCCGGCAAGGAGATTGTCACCCCCACCATTATTGAGGAGGTCAGCTTCCGCGCGTGGAGCGAGGAGGCGTTTGGCATCTGGGGAGAATGGGCAAAGGTCTACGGCAAGGGCTCCGACAGCGAGAAGCTGCTGGAGAGCGTCCGCCGCGACGCGTGGCTGGTGAATATTATCCACCACGACTTTGTCGACGGGGAAGCCCTGTGGGATCTGTTGCTCAAATAGACTGGGCGGGGTTTTGCAGTGAGGACTATTCATCTAGCGACTCGTGATTTCCTGCAAATATAGGAAGCATAGCAAGGGGGGGGGGGGTTAGATTGGGCAGGATTGGGTAAAAGCAAAAAGGTGAAAATTTACAGGATTTAACAATGTAGCTCGCTCTGGGTTGGTGGAGTGGAAGTTGTCTGTGGTATTCAACAGAGTATTCAGGGATGAATAGGAGAGTGCCATTTTTGGTGGCCACGCCATCTATTTCCACATTGTCGTTACCAGACGTACCCAGCTTGAGGTTGCCAAGAACGACTCACAATGAGCAACCGCATAAATGAGAGGGGTTTTAGGTTTTAATGATCAGTTGTTATGGATGGTGTGCCTGGTTTCTGTCTAGCTAGGGGAGAAAATATCTGTCCGCATCTAGCCATCCGACACGATACGATACCTCTTCCGAGAATACCATTGGGTGTCAAAGGCCTAGAGACCTATCATTAACCCCCCATATCCAGCAGTTTCGGGGGTTCCCATCCATATGTACGTACCCCTTTCTTGATTTGCCATTTGCCATCCTGTCGGTGTGTCCGCCCGATCTTTCGAAAAAGAAAAACCAGACACTCTAAGCAAAGGGAAAAACATCCTTAGCTTGCTGGATACATCCGCTCTCGAATACGCGAAAAAGCAAACTGAAAACGGGCAAGAGACCACCTGCCAAACCTCAAAGCCCATTAGAAAAAGAAAAAGAAACCGAACCAGTCCCCCGCCCCCCAAGTCGCAAAGGCAGCGCGAGACCGCACTATAAACGCAAAGCAATATTAATCGATCCCCTTTTTCGCCGTGCCGTTCGTTGATGTGTTGTAGTATTAGTTCCGAAGGAAAAGAAAAGGAGAGGAGAAAACTCTGTGAAGCCATCCATGATGAGCCGCAAAAAATGTTGTAGGTGCTTGTGTTCCTCATACTCATGTTCCGCCCTTTTCTCCGTCCGTTCAAGCCTTATTTCTATCCATGGCAGAAGGCAAAACCCAACCAAACAGCAGGCCGCCTTGTCCCGGACAGGCGGGAGCCGATGAAGAAGAGAGCGAAAGGCGAGAATCGACGACGCAAGGACGGAAAGAAGAAAGTAAAAGAGAGAGAGAGAGAGAAAATAGACGGGTGGGTTTAACGCCGCGAGCCAAGCTCTATCCCATCATCATCATCATTCTCCTCCTCCTCCTCCCTGTGACCTAGGCTAGATTATTCCCTCCTTCTCCTCGTGAATTCGTGTGTTGTGTGTTGGTATGCATTGCTGTGTGTTGTGTTGTGTTGTATTGTGTTGGTTGCGTGACATGTCAAATATACAGAGGGCAACCCATCCATCCAGTTCGCCCCATTCCGTGATCCGTGATGTGAAGAAATAAAGAGAGAAAAACAAAGAGACCGAGAAGAGATGGCGCGATCGATGATTGAGAAAAACTGCTCGTCCGTTTTCGTTCTCATCCGTGGCTTTTCCACGTGTCAGATGCAGTCGAAGTCGTCCATATCACCACCAAAGAGTGAGTGGGCGCTCTGGCCCGTGATGTCAATGCCATTAAAGGGGTTATTGCCACCCACGTAAGGGGCGATATTCTCCATTGACGACTGCTGATTGGCTTCCTTTTTCAGATTGGTTATGGCCTCATGGACGGCGGACACAGGGGCGCGGTAGTGTCGCTGCTGCTGGTACTCGGCGACGGCATCGGGGGTCAAGATTTCGATGTCAGAGGGGCTGCCCACGCTCGTGGCAGTCACAGTTCCCGATCGGTTCACGGCAGACGAGAATGACGCCTGCACGGTGTTGTTCGCAGCCTCCTTGGCCTTGGCGCGGCGCTCGGCCAAAATCTCATCTCTCGACTGTGCCGTCGTTATTTTCATGGGCATTTCCTTCATGCGTTTCTTGGTCGGCGTGTCCTCGTCGAGTCCTTCATAGTCGAATGACTCAGAATCCTCGTCCTTATCTGTCGGCTCCCTGTAATTCTTCTTCGGAGTGTTTCGACGAGAGACACTGCCTGGAGTCATTTTCTTGACAATGTTCGACTTGGGGGCGGCAGCGGGAGCTCTTGCCCGTTTACGCGATCCAGGAGTGGTCGGGAGATTGACCTGACCAAAGGACGCGACCGGGTCGCCACCGGTCTCGACAGCAGACTTCAGTTTGTCTGCGTTCACCTTTACGCTGCGAAAGTGAAATTGAATGCCATCCGGAGTCGACTCGCCGAAGAACTTGGCGATATCTGCAAGGTGCGATTGTTAGCAAAAGCCATGTCTGTGTGTGAGAGTCTTTGTAGGACAAAGGCACATTATACGATGAGACGAAGAAAAGAAGAAGCCAATAGAGAGCCGCGATCACGAAATATAGAAAAGAGATATATAGAAAAGAGATATACAGAAAAGAAGATGTAGTGACGTGGGATGTGACGATGAATGAATGAACGGGGAGTCTTTGTGTGTAACAGTATGATAACCCGTACCATTTTTGGGCATGTCGAGAATGTTGACCGACTCGGGGTCGATTTTCTGCTCGACCATTTGGCGAATTGCTTCCGCTTGATGGCGTACTGGCCTGAAGCGGTGCTCCATTGCCGAGACAGTCTGCGATTTGCCATAGTGTGCGGCGATGGCTGATACCAAGAATCAGCCACCTCTCACATTTTTCCCCACGGATGGACATGTAGAAAGAAATGAAATAGAAACAGAAATAACGAAAGATAGAGGGGAAAACTAGGTTTTTGTTCTCTCTCTCGTGCGACGGATACTGGAATGCTTGTCTTCGGTATCCTTGACACTTCAGAGAGTCAAATAGCATCGGGGGGTGGGGGTGACGATGCTATCTGATGAGGAGATAAGGCATGGTAGTTATCGACAGAAGGGCATGTCTGCCACCTTACCTTTGTAGTTGAGCCGTAGCTCGGGATGAGCGGCGACAATCGCAGCCACCAGTCTGGCCTGTGACTCGTAGGTCTTAAAATTGGCTGGCATGTTTCAGAGTTATCGCAGATCGAGATGGCTAGAGTCAATGCTCAGAGGTCGAAATTAGTCCTGTGCTAGGTGCCCGATTAGATGCTGTGCGCATTCATTTACAACGTGGACAGAATCGTTGAGTGATGAGAGAAGGTGGTCGTGGGAGTCAAGAAGGGGAAGGACGAGGACGGCAGGTCGATATATTTGGGGAATGATGAAAGTGCAAAGTGCGGGGGCCTTCTCTAGGCGAATCGCTCAGCTGGTCTCTGGTCGGGTGCGGTAGGAAGCGGAGTCTGTTGGGAGCTGGGCGAATGCGCTGGGGGAGTGAAAGATATCTGAGGTGGGAGATAGGCAGAGGGGTGCTTGGGAGTAGCAGGTTGCCGCGGGAACCAGACTTAGGATAACCTCCTCCTTACTCTTCTGTCCTATCCTGTCGGGGCTTCGCCACCTATTCCTTACATACCTCGCTACTCTAGTTTAAGATTCTAGAACCGTCTCAAGGGCGTTGAGTATAGAATGTCGGCGGAGGGAGTTATCTAGGAAGTGGAAGGCCTGCGTCAGCCTTGAGATCAAGGGTTCGCGCGAGACTTGATTGAGTCAAGTAGAATGAGAGAGTGAATGTAGGTGAAAGGCCGTGAAGGAAGGATATACGGTAGGCACGGTGATATGAGAGAGATCTCCTTGCAGAAGATGGAAGATGTATAGAACAAGGCGGTGGTGGTGTCTTGGGCTTAGCCACTTGGAGAAGACAAGAAGTGTGATGTAAGAGAGAAGAATTCCTCGCGGGAGGCGTAAGATTTTATAGAGCGAGGTGACCGGAGTATCTTAGGGCTTGACCACTTATCTCACCCAGCACCAAAGCCCGACTGAAAGGTAAAAGTGGATCGGAAAGTACGAGGACGAGGACGAGGGCGAGGGCGAGGGCTGTGATATCAAGCCGCCGCATGTCCCAACATGTAAAAAAAAAAAACCCCAAGACCAACATACCTGAATTGTCACGTATACCAATCGGAGTTGACAGCGGCGGCAGCCTCATATGACGTAGTCGTCAACTCTTTCTTTATCGAGGGCGGTGATGTCCAAGATAAGCAGCGTAGGTGATGAGATGAGATGAGATGAGATGGCTCTTTAGTGAGACGAGGGTAGGTAATATCACCAGAACGGATTCGGAGAATGCCCCAGGCACATACTGAACTACTAGTCCTTGAAAAAAAAAAAAGAGAAGAGGGAGAGGAGGGGAGCGGCTGGACCGCGAGGTCGAGAGCAGCCTGCCCCTCTGGCGCCTTCCACCGCAAGGTGAACCGCCGTGTGTGATTGATAGTGCGGTACTTTGACCCTCAACCGCCAATTCCGCCTCCCTCCACGCCTGGCTCTACTTCAGAGAACAAAAGACGCATCAACAAAACCACCAATCTCAATGTTCGACATCTGCATGTCTTAGGGTATAAGTGCTGGCTGTGGAGCGTGGTTTGCCGAGGGGACGCGGCGTGGCTGGGAGTCGCGCGCTATCGGCAATTAACGTCCGGCGCACCACGCTCAAGAGGGCATTCAAGCTTGCCGCTCATCCCCGTTGCCCAAGCACTCACTCACTCGTATTCTTGAGCCACCCAAACACAGTCCAGGGCAAGACAGCACTTGTCAATATGCACATATTTTTTTTCTCTTTGTTCATATAGACTCTGATTAATATGGTAGATGTAGATTCGAAAACTTTATTATCTTGATACCCATTTAGCGAGTCTCATGTGCTCTTATCCGCCAGCGACGTCCTCCGGCCAACCGGGGTATCACGCCCGGTTGCATGGGGGACGCCCATCTGCATCGTCAGCTTCTCGCTTTCTCCCATTGCCGAGGCGGCGGCCGGCCAGTCCGACATTTTGTGGTCTTTGACTACGAGCTCGGGTACGGCCGGCCCGCTACCGTTGCCGTACATGAGGTACTGCACGCCGAGGAACGAGTCGCAGCCGGCCTGGAAGATGCCGCAGATCTTGAATGCCCAGGGGATCTGCGTGGCCGAGCTGAAGAACCAATACATCTTCATGGCGTCGCCCAGCAGCCAGCTGGCCAGCACCGACACCCGGAACCCCTTGCACGACCGCGACCGCGCGTTGGAGAAGATCTGCGGCAGCGGTAGCGTCGCCTCGACCGACAGCCCCGTGTACCCTATCAGCGCCGAGTACGCCGGATATAGCCAGTGCACTGGTGCGAGTACGAGCTCGCACGCCGCTAGCCCCAGGAACATGTACAGCACAAAGTGCCAGTACCTGTGCGCCCGCCACGTCAGTTTTTAAAACTCACTACCTCGGAGTAAAAAAAAAAGATGACGTACGGTTTTGCCGACCTCCACTGCCAGAACCGGTACGGCCGCGGGGCCTCCCACAGCCCGCCGCCGCCGCCGTCGTGCGCCCTCGCAAAAGGCACGGCCGCCTCGCCGCCCTTGGACGACGGGCCGGGCCGGTGGTCGAGGGCGACCTTGAGCAGGATGAGTTGGATAAAAACCATAACGAAAGACTGCACAAGAAGCGCCTTGTCGAAGTGCGCCCCGGGGTAGTAGAATATCCTTTATTCACACAAGTCAGCTAACCCTGGTTCTGGTTCTGGTTCTGGTTCTTCTCCTTAACCCCCCTCCCATCAACACACTCAGAAAAACATACCTAAACAGCGACGCCACGAGCATGATTAGGGGAATGTCCAGCGAGAAGCCCGCGCTCGACCGCGCCTTGTACATGGAGATGGCCTGGTCCGTGTACGAGAGCAGCGGCGAGAGGACGAGGAAGACGGGCGTCAGGTAGCCCGAGAACGACGCGAGCCATCCCAACATCGTGTCTGTCTGCCTTGCTCTGTTCTTGTGTTCTTGTTCTTGTTTCTGTCGGATCCCCGCCCGCGTCCAAGCTAGGGATGTATGTATGTATGTGTGGACGTATGCGTCTGCGCGCCGGCGTTGTCGTTGTGCCCCGCGTGTGTATGTTGCGTGTTGTAGTCTTTTTTTGGCGTAAAAAGGAGCAAAAAAGACTTTAGATTATCATGTAGGTCTTATTTTTTTCGATTATCGTTTTCGACGTGGTCGCAGTCGTGGTGGTTATTGCTGGTCGATCAGTCGCGCGCCCGCAAAAGACGCCGCCGTTCGGATCGACGAAGGCGGCGGACGAAAATGGCGGCCGGACAAAAATCAAGGAAAAGCAACATTAATACAACAGAAACGAATAATTTGAACTGGAAAGGCTGGCGGACCCGTCATACACAGTCGGTGTGTAGCGGCGCCGTCAAAGATACCAGACAAGAAAAACAAATTGGAGAGGACGGCAACTGGGAAAATCATGCCAATCAAAGAATCCGCCCGCCTCGGATGAGGCTGGCAAGGCCCAATTGAACTTGGGATGACCTGGCTAATGCAGGCACTAGCGCTGGAGCTGCCGGGATTTCCGGTGAGGAACAGGCGCTAGCCACAACTACAGTGCTTGATACAGTATGAGTGAACTGTGACTGACTGGCTGCAGGAACCTGCCCGACCGAGTTACTTGGCAGCTGACAGCGGCTCTGCCAGTTGGCGCATTTCTCACTAACATTGACCCCCAAGTTACCAACACAAGCAAAGAGTTCGGAATATTTGGGCTCCGCAACACAACATGGAATATTAATTTTATTTTACTGAATCGTTTCTTTCCTGAGACCTGGTTTTTGATGAGAAGCGTCAACAAGTTTCGACCAAGATACAGACATATACCAGTTGACAACCTAGGCGCTGGCCGTCTTATTCGTTGGCTGAGCAAGACCCAGGCAGTTGGCGATCTTGTAAAAGACGTCGATGTTGCTGTAGACGCCGCCAAACGTGTCCTGGCACGGGCCCCGAGCAAATACAGGCACATCCGTGAGCGAGTGCACGCCCTGCGCCTCGTTGGTCGGCAGCGTGCCGTTCACAATGAAGCCGTTGGGCTTGTCCGTCGGGTTGACGTAGTAGTCACTCGAGGCGCCCCCCGAAATCGCCGCCGCCGGCACTCGCGAGCCATTCTTGGCCACGCCGTATGCCTCCCGATGGTCGGGATTTGCCCCGAGACCCGCCGCAATGACATAGCGCGGGTCCCAGTTGACTGGGAAGTTGGCCCCTGTCCCGTAGCTGACTCCGGGCTTCTCCACCGTGTACTGCGAGAGACCCGAGTTCTGATAGACCCCAACAGCATTCCGCTTTTGACGGTCGTCCTGCTGTGCCGCCAGGTACTTGGTGTCCGCGTTGCCAAAAACGTCTGCATTTCCACCATCCCGCCTTGTCAGTAACGCGGCCTAGCAAACACCATCTTGGCATTCTGTCGGGCGTCTTCACTCACCAAAACCGTGGCCGTGATCGGCAGATACAACAATGAGTGTCTCTTCAAGGATTCCAAGAGCCTTGAGCTTCTTAATCGTAGCTTGGACTGTGTCGTCAAGCTCGAGAAGATCGCCAAGTGCTCGGTCATAGTCCAAAACATGCATTTGCTTGTCGACCGACGCAGCCTCTGACATGAGAAAGAAGCCCTTTTTGCCACCTCGCTCGTGCAGAACGTCTATGGCCTTGAGGGTCATCTCCTTGAGACCCGGAAGGTCCGTCGCGGCGGCCTTCGCCCCGGATGGGTCATTGGTCAGCTTCTTTATGTTTTCTGGGAAGATGTTTCGGTCTAGCCAGACCGGCAGGTTGCTCTTGCAGAAGATGCCAAGCGCCTTCGTATTGTTTGGCGCGGCAAGGAGAGACGTCTTGTTCAAGCTGATGCTGTAATTCTTCTTGGCGAACTCAGCATAGTAATCTTTCCCAAGATATGAGCCAGATCCAGCCAGAAACTGCTCAGCACCTCCTCCAAAATAAGCATCGGGGCCGTTCATCTTGGTCCAGGAGTAGTTGGTCACGCCGTAAAGGGCCTGGTCAATGAGCGAGCCATACTGATAGCGAGAACGAGTGTGAGCTGTCAGGGCAATTGGAGTGGCGTCGGCAATGAAGGCGGTCGAGACAGCGCCCCATGCAGATCCCTTGGACGAGTTAGCGGGCCAGAGCATGAACAAGGCAATGCAGATTCCGGACCAGTCATACCCAGATTCGAGTAAGAAGCTCCACGATCGTCTCAACTTTGGGGTCATCGAACAAATCAGGGGACGAATCGGCATAGACGCTGAGAAAGCTTTAGCAAGCGAGTCAAGTTTGCTGGAAGCTTGGGTCTCGCCGTCTTACCCCATGGCATTGACAGTGCTCTTGTGACCAGAATAGAGCGCAGAGGCCGAATTGGCACTATCAGTAATAAAGCTGTCGATAGAGTGCGTCTGTGAGGCGGTTGCTTTGTTAGCAAGCGACTTTATACTCGACTTTGGAGCTCCGCAGACACACCATTTGATGACCCAAGACGGGGAATTTGTCAAGCGCCAGAAGGGTCTGGTACTTTCCATTGACCGTCTTGTGGGCGAGGAGGCGAGCCGCCGTGATCATGTTCGTGGTCATGCCGTCTCCTGCGATGTTTGTTAGCAGGGAGAAGAGGAATGGGAGAAAGAGAAGGTGAAACCCGTCGTACCAATGAAGAAGATGACATTCTTGGCCTTCTTCTTTGCGGCAAGGGGGCGTACTACCCACTGCGCTGTGGTTGTCCTTCCGGAGTAGTAAGTCAGGGTGACATTGTAGTTGCCTGGCTCGTAGAGGGCAACGCGGCGGTAGATCTTGGAGGCGACATTGACGACGGAGGCATTCTTTGCGTCTTGGGCAAAGAGATCCTCGAACCAGGAGAAAGTCCACTTCTCAAGGGCGGGCTCGCTCAGCTTGAAGAATTCGGCAATGCTCTTGGCTGGCTGGCCTTCTTTGGTGATGGTGGCCGTGAACTTGTCGTCGGGCACGCCGCCATTGAAGGCTTCGGAGCCATTCGTCGGGGCATGGACCTCGAAACGGATGTCGAACTGCTGGCCGGGAAGAAAGTCCTGCTGGTCTGGGGGAAGCACGCAGCCGAGGGTCGGGCATGTGCCGAGCCTCTGGAATGTCTGGCCAGAGACGGCAGCAAGCGAGGCAGCCAGACACAGGGCGACGGCGTTCAACCGAGACGGCATTTTGCCGACAGAGCAGGATGGGCGGGCTCTGCTCTGCTCTGCTCTACTCTGATAGACGAACGAGTGCTGAAGCTCTCCCTCGTGCGGCTGCATCAGAGTTCCCGAGCCAAGGCGGCCGCGACCGCGGCTTATATAGCTGGCTGCAGAGTGACATTCACCATCCTCGGTGCTGCACCCATGGGCCGCTTGGGTGGTTCTTTGGCTGTGCCTACCTTAGGTACGGGAGTGTTTGCTCCCAGGCTGGCGGATTCCAGCCCCGTCAGCGATGCAACGCGGGAATCATGAGAGACATCTCAAGCACGTGTGTTAAAGAGTGTCCGGGTTTGTGTGCGTCGTAGCTCGAGATGGAGCTTCCTAGTCCCTCGAGCTGGGGTTGGACTTGAAGTTGGAGTTGGAGCTGGAGCTGGAGCTGCCGTAGCCCATCATTGAAGCACGACACGCGCGAGCGATGCATCGGCAGCCCAAGACGCAGGCGGACTGACTGGGGTGAGTAGGCCGAGGCAACGGCCTTTTGGCCTTTTTAGCAGTGATGCAGTTGCAGACCGTGGTTTGTCCGTCCTGTGTCGTACAGATGGGGAACAGATGGGCCGCGCCAAGACTTTATGTGAAGATGCAGTTCACAACGTGTTGTAGCTGGTGTGGTTGATTGGCGACGAGCTCGGGTGCCAAGGCGCCATGGAGTGGCAAGAGCATTGAGAGCTCAGGTATATTCCATTGCCTATACTCTACCCACATGGCACACAACATCACGCAAGCAAGGTAACCATATTGCATTGCAAAGCAGGGGCAGGACCCAGCGGGAAGCATGTTGCTGCATGGCTGCACCTACCTTCTTCGATTCCTAATAAACTCGACCCGAGGGTAACGACCTTGACGACGGCCCACTTACACACCCCCTTTTCTTCCAAAACTTCACAACTTCACCAATCCGAAGCCAAAATAAGTGCAAAATATACCAAAATGATCCTCATTCAATATTTGATTGACCCGCCCTTTGATTACCCAAGCAAGTCCATCCTTTTGGGCATAGAATTCCCCAATTTCATTATGACTTCAGGGGTAATTTCCGCCCAAACCTCCTCAATGGCCTGCGCCATCTGCGTGACGTTTTTAATCCTGTGCCTTCGTGCCCCTATTTTGAGCTTCATCTAGTGCCATAGATTCTCAATAGGCGAGAGATCCGGGCTTTGTGGCGGTCAGTTAAGGACCCTGACGTCGAAAGCCTTCTTTAAAAGACCCAAGAACCCGTTGTGGTATAGGAAGCTCCATCCTCTTGTATTTAAAAGTCGTGACCGTGCTTTTCCTTTATTCGGTTGTAGAAAGGAAGGAAATGAGGAATAAAGATCTAATCGATATATTCCAGACCGTTGAATGGTTAATGTTGTACCCAGACTTTGAGGGCGTTCCGAGGGCTGAGTCGAGATAGCGTTGTATGGCGAATCAGCCTTTGATTCGCCCGGTTATCGAGCTTCTTTAAGCGCCCGCTTCTAGGTTTTGAGCCGAATGGGTTTTCGAGACCATTGGCCAGGTTTTGCGTGACAGTGGACCTGCCGACCCCCACTTGCGCCAAAATGGTGGTTACGGTCGCTCCGGAGACGTGGAGAGCTCAAATTTGTGCCCTTTTTTCTTCTGAAAGCTCTATTCTGAAGCTCTTCGAAATGCTGTCCATTTTATAGTTGAAAAGGAAGAAAAAGGTGAAAAGACGGTGAAGATTTTTCACCTTGAAGGTAGAGGGTCATTTTGCTAACCATGGATTTGGTGGCTTTTTTAGTGTGTACGTGGCGCAAGACTTTTGGTACCCGATTGTACCTTGGTCAGCGAGATCTTGGCTCTTTTTGGGGGATAATAAGCTGGATTACCGGGAAGTCGTCAAAATGGAATGCAAAAGGCTTTATTCGATTACGCCGAGCCTAGCGAATGTAATGAAGCTATTCGCATGCAATTGCGGCTTGTTTTGCGATGTATCGGCTAGTTCAAAGTAATCATGAAATTCGTGATGTGGAGGGCAGCATACACAAGAGAAATGTGTAAGATAGATTCCCTTACCCCTTCGGACTGACTGCTTCTTTATTTAGCGCCTTCTACCTTTCGACACAACCTCTCCTTGTGAAAATCACACATTCTATCTCCCAAAACCCTCTTCTCCACATCAGCGTGGAAATCGCACCTTCCGCTTTTCAAACTAGGTTCGCTTGTCCTAACTCTGCGTGGCTCTCTCTCTTCTGCCTTTCACCGTCCAACTTAGACCTGGAAATTTCCCTTTTCTCACAGATAACCCCTAAAATTACACCGGTTCGCTTTTTTTCCCCTTTAGCAGCAACGCACCGCAGCAGCGCACTTGGGAAACCTAACTCCGAGGGATCGGCATTAAGAGGACCATATCTTCAATTTGAGTATATTTCGCTTAGCAAAGTCCATCAATTGGTGGGTTTAGGCTCAATTTGGACCATTGGCCTCCCAGAGCTGGTGTCAGCCAAACAGGCCGCGTTCGGGTTATTCGCATTTCATGCCCATTGGGCACCTGAACTGCCCGGAAAAGCTGAAATGGTTTACGTCAAAGCAGAGATTGAGACGAAGGGTCTTGGCTTCCACATCGATGTCGATCTCGTTCCTGAGAGCTAGCAGACTTTTACCGAGCTCACGAGAGTCGAACTCTGCGACGGTCAAGCAGAAGAGGGAGGTGTGACTGGGAAGGTTATTATGCGTCATACAGGTGACAAGCGCGGTGTCAGGAAACTCAGTAAGAACCCTAGGTGGACTTCTCCTCTCCCAACTAGCGATGGCATTCTCTGCCGATGTCACAAGAAGCACGAGATTTCGAATCCCGACATCAATATCACTTCACTCGCCAAAGGCGTAAGGAGTACGAAATCTATTGACTTTATTAACTCGCTAGGAATATCTAGGAATCTCAAAGTTGGGTCGCCGATCTTGCTACGAGAACTGGAAGATGATACTTCTCTTACCTGGCCGGATGCTGTAGTTAAGGGCATTCAACCCATAAAGTAAAGCCTCTCGGTAAGCTATCGAGTTCAGGGCAGAAAAAAGTAACCCACAAAAACACATCTTCGGGATCCGGTCAATCAAACCAGGAATCAGCCGATATAGTCCAGAAGTAGAAAGTCCTAGCGCAGAAGGACAAAAGTATAAAAAAGTCTCTAGAGTAAGAGATTGGTTAGAAACATACGGAAATCGCGGAGCTCGAACAACTCAGTAAAGACCGGTTGAAAGAGATCGCGGAGCTCAGCGCTCAGATTAACGAACGCTGTAGAATCGACGGAATATTACATAGTAGAGAAGCCGTACCGATAGACCTAGCTATCCGGGAGCGAAGATTACGGGGCGAACTCAGAAAGATAAATATCGATCTCTGGCTCTTGAAGCAAAGTGAAGCAACGATAAAGGCACAGGCTTCTCAGTCCAAAACCCGTATCCTAGAACTTAAAGCAAAGGTTTCACAGATCCCGGAGGATAATAGTAGTTGCTTCGAGCAAGTGCCACGTGAGAGATAGCAGATCTCAATAAGGCCAGAGAAGAGTTAGAGGGAGTTAGTTTGATCCTTTTTGGGCTTAAAAAGGCCTTATTAACTAAAACTGCGCTCGATGAAATAACTAGGTAACATGGGGAGAAGGAGAAGGAGTGTGCCGGGTTAAAGGACGAAAATGACAGGCTTCGGACGCTCTTCGCCGCCTACGACGAAGACTGGAACTTGAACCCAGACTCGGAACCCCAAGACCCATTGCCGGCCGTGGTACCCCTTCATGCTATGGACCAAGTTCAACGAAAGAGGACTGCGGATGAAGCATTATTCGCAGTTAGCCCAGCAGCCCCAGGCACTAGAAGATCCCCAGGCACTAGAAGATTAAAGCTCAGCACTGAGATCAACATCGGCCCGTATATCTCATCCTCAACGGGTGGTTTCTACAGCATCGCCCATAACATGGTGCTCCGAGAAGCTGCTTGCGGGGGGCTTATCAACCCCCTACATTTTAAAGTCGGTCAGCATGGGCTGGCGGGCATCACAGAGCTGGCCCGTCAACGCTTGGAGCTGGTAAGGGTGATGAGCGGAGTGCCATACGATAAGTGGAAGGCTGAAAAAGAGGTCGAATTGACCTAAAGAATTCGCGGTTTTATATCTAAAATGGGCTTCTTCGGGTATGGACATAGATCTATAATTAGTCTTAGTCTCCGACTTAAGAATCTAAACCCCGTTCCTCTAGTTTCCTCGATAAGAACCTTGAGGCTATTATCCAGGAGATAGACCGAGACCGCTGAGATTTAAGCAGTATTCGTATCTAAGCCCGGGACGAGATCTCTCTAAGATCTCGTCATACCACCGAAAACGCTCAATGGCTTAGTATGGTGATGGAAGAGATGGCACTACTGCTGATAACTTTGTTCGCCCGGTATGGCGATGAACGGCTTTCAACTGGACTGAGGACTGCTCTCGGTCTAGGCGACTATGAGTATGCCGTTTCGGAGGCGAAGAAAATCCGCGACAAGTACGACGAGCTTATTGAAGAGTACCATCATCTCAAGGCAGAATACGAGATACCCATTTCTAGCGTACAGTCCAATCCCTGAATGGCTGTTAGCGTGGCATTTGAGGTGGATAGTACAGTAGGGGACCCCGCATTGGATCATGATGCTCCTGCCGCGACTTGTTCACCATTGGCCTCGTTCTTGCCTGTCTGGGCCCTGGGAGTCCATCACCTCATGCAACCCCAATTTTCTCGCCTCTGAGTAGCCGAGGAAGGGCTCGGTCAGCAAAGGAGGAAGTCGGTAGCACGGCGAAAAAGCATGCTCCGATGGTGGCAGACCATTGCCTTGTGTGCCCGAGATGTCTTCACCTTCGGCCGTTTTTGGTCAAATGCCTACAACAACACCTCTTCCTTTCAGAAAAGGCGTCTTCCCCTGCTTCAATCCCGTTTACAATTTTAGGTCCCCCCTCTGTCCTTTGGCCCAATTGCCTCCTCCGTGTCAAAAGCTCGCTCTGTAGTCCGCATTTTTGTGAGGACCAAAGAAAGCCATATTCGATCGCATCCTGGACGAGGCTTTCCCAGCGATCATGTGGATGAAGGTCTATTGTTTCTTTTGTGTGTAATTAAGTTAGCAATCATACTCTGTAGTCGTGATATCGAACAAACAGGGCATCAGAAAAGAGGCCCTTTGATCCCTCAGCCAGTCGTTACCCCGTCTTCCAGTTCCAAGGCGCCCCCTATTTCCTAGGCCGCACGTCGAGAGACCGCAGCTCCCGGACCAAAGCGCTCGCCTCGTCGACGTCAAACATCTCCGCCCCATCCTCTCCGGCAGTAAGGCACGAAGAATGAAACCAGACGCCGTCCTCAGCAGCGGTAGCGGCAGCAGCAGAAACACTAGAGCCGGCCGCTGCGAAGAGACCAGCACCCAGCACCCCGACATTCCCGCTCCGAACTCCGCCTCCAGCAATAATCTCAACGTCGCCCTCCGCCGCCACCGCCATGGCAATGCGAGCCAGCCGCCCAACATTAGCCAGGGCGTTCCCGAGGCCTCCCGACGTCAGGATCCCGTCGAACCCGCACGCCCGCACAGCCGCGAGTGCAACAGCCTCCTCCTCTTCTTCTTCATCCCTGCCGGATGACCCTGTTTCTCCTGCCGGAGCCGCGGCACGGCGACGCTCGCCATCATCAACACCAGCCCCCACGGCGTCATCAAACGCCCGGTGGAAGACGCACTTGAACGGCTGGGCCAGACGGACCAGCTCGGCGTTGCGCTTGACGTCGACCTCGACGCCGACGACCTCGCCCTCACAGCTGCTACAGGTGGTCCGCGGCTGGAGCACGCCAAATACGAACCCGTCGCCGCGCTCGGGCCGCAGCAGCCCGGACTCGGCGAAGCGCAGGATGCCCGCGCGCATCGTGGCGAACTCGGCAGCCGAGTACACAAAGTCTGGCTGCTGCTGGTGTGTCTGATGGTCTGGCGGCGGCGCCCCCCGGGGCCGGATCATGACGCGGACGGTAATGTCGTCGTCGTCGTCGTCGCTGCCATGGCTTTGGCGGCTGGGGATGCTGGCGACGAGGGCCGCGAGCTCGGCCAGCGTGGGCGTTGTCCCACCAACAGCTACAGGTGTGATAATAGGGGTTAGTAAATAATCTATGGAACCTTTCGTTTGGCGTGACTGAGGACAGAGGAGAGGGGGAAAGTCCGGTGGTGTCTATCCAAGCTTGTTCAATGGCAGCATAAAAACAACGATAAGGAGAGAAAGTGTTCATGGGTTCCTTGCTTAGTAGGGGCTCCGAGGCGGTAGAGCCGAGGGCGAGGGAAGGGGAATGAAGAAGGCAGCGGCCGAAACTTAAAGAGACCTGAATGGGAATTCATTCAGAAGTCATAGTTGTTTGTTTGCCGGTAGATGGAACACCATTTTCACCTCGAGGGTTTTCGATTTGACTAAGAAAACAAAAGGAAGGGGGGCTTCAATTGATGCAAAGTTATTTCGGCCACGGTCCCGGCTATCGACCGCTAAACAGAGCACACAAAACACACACACACACACATACCATAGGAGCCGGCGCGATTGAGCTCGAGACGCAGGGCACCGAGCGACGCCGCTACCTGTCCCGAATCTGCTCCAAAGATGGGTATTTCCAGGCGGGGGCGGCCTGAGGGCGGAACGGTTGCCATTTCTTTTGCTCGTAGTAAGTAGTTCCTGCATAGCGTTTAGTGAGTATCTCTTTGGCAATTGAACAAAATGGTAGAGGGTTTCATATTGTACCTGTTTTCTTTTCCTTTTCCTCTTTTTTGCCAGTTCCGAAGCGAGTACCTACCTACCCCTCGATCTGGTGGCAGAGGACCCGCTGCAGATCAATACCTTAACCTTTTGCTCGGGACCTAGTGGCCTCCTTCCGAGACGCACTCCAATTGGGCCATGAGGCGAGGTAGCACCGTGGCATTTTCATACGGCACCGAGCCTTGGACTGCAAAGACCCGGGAGCAATAATGGATAATAAACAAATCAATATCACACTCGGGTTGCATACACGGATTCAGCCATATCGTGAATGGCGATGATAATTGCTTGGCAGCAGCAGACTGAAGACTTGCTCAATTGGTCGCCACGCAAGATGAAAAATAAGAAGCCACTTCTACAAAGCAATGTGAGAGCTGTCAGACAGACCTTCCGAACCCCGGCCAGCAACCTCTATTAACCTCCATCAACGATACCCATACCCTGATTAAGTTATCCTCTTCGTGGCTGTTGTTTTTCCCAGACAGGTTTATTTCTCCACTACCCTCGAATTCTTGCCGCCAGTGTCCCCCCAGATTGTCAACATTGTTGATTTACTCGGGGGCCCCCTCAACCCACTCATAATGCTCCTTCTGGCACCCGTCCGACTTCTCGTTGATTGACTTTTCGTTTGCTAGACCCTCACGATGCCATGTGGTCTAGTTGGGTGTCGGGGCCTGCGCAACATACCCGGTGTCAATCTCTCGGCCCCAGACATGGTTGATTGCCTGCTTAACGCCGGGAAGTGCGTTGGCCTTCTGCGCAAAAGCGTTAATCTTCGTCTTGATGTTCAACATATTTGCTGCGCTTGCTGCGCTGGCCAGTTGTGCCAAGCCCTTCTCGTTGCTGTTGACGCTGTAGTTGACGGATTGCTTCAGGTCGGCCATCTCGTGAAAATTGTCGTTGAGGCGGCTGAAGGCATTCTCAACATTCGTCTTCAACTCCTTGGTAACCTTCTTGGTGATGCTTATCGAAGCCTTGGTGATCTTGGCCGCCGGCTTACGAGCCGCGCTCGACGCATCGACACGGCGAATGGTGGAAACGGCGTTCGACTTCGTGCGGTGGGAAGGGGGGAGCATACGGTCTCTGGCAGAGGGCCGGACATCAGGGGCCACGGCGAGGCCGTTGCAGATGTCCTCTTGCTCTGTTGGCGCGATTAGAAAGGCCCTCAGAATATTCTCAGAGTCGGCTGAGGTTATATATACCTTGCTCAATGTAACGCCGGGCATAGTAGTGCGCAAACGGCGAGTAGTTCTTGTTTCTCGCATTCTGAAAGAAATGTTCAACTGGGACTGTCAGCTTTCCTGTTTATACGAGCAGATTGCGAGGTCATCGGTCTAAAATATAGGGAGAGAAGGGGGTGGGTTCGGCGGTTGTTGTTGTTGATGCCGGTGCCGATGCCAAGCCAATGTTGATGTTTTGTAACAAAAGGGGAGTGGCGGCGACGATGTAGTATGCGAAAAAGAGCCGCGATTGGGAAGAAATGGACTCATTGGATAAGAGAAACATGGGCAATGCTTACAGAGACTCAGGTAAGTATAGTTGCGGCGAGGCTCTTCGCCAGAGTCGGCTTGGATTTCGTTCATGATTTCGGTCATATCGACGGCGAGGGCAGTCCATGTCTTCTCCGGGTTCGCCCTGTCGATACCGAGGCGCTTCGGCGAGAAGGGGATGATATCGCGCCAGAAGATCTTCTCCTCCTCCTTGGACCAGACTTTGCCGCCCATTGTTGCAGTTGTTGATATTCAGAGCCTATCTAGTATATTTAGAAAAGCCATGCCGAGCGATTAGAGCAGTGGTGGTTAACTAACGTGAGAAGCAAGCGAGCGAGCTGTCAAGAGCGAGGCGAGCGACGAAAATTGGCGACGGTACTTTGGGCAAGGGATCGATGCGAAGGTTGAGTGAGGAGTACAAAGACAGAACGTGCGCGGAGCCAAAGGAAGTGGATGGAGGTGAACAGAGACTGAGGGGGTTTATGTAGGGAACAAAAGCGGGGGCAGCCTGGCTGGCTTGGGGAGGGAGGACGTTGGGACGTTGATATGGGCGGGGCCAGCCAGAGTTTGCTGTCACGTACGGTGGAATTTGGGGGCAAGGGCAAGGGCTTGATTGTCCATCTGATGTTCTCGGTCGCGTGATGGGGAGGGCGAGGAGGCCAATGGCAGGGCTGGCAGCTTGCTATCTCACCTGCCAGACTTCATCCCAAGTCTGGCAGGCCTGTCTCGGCACCGAAGCCAGTGATCAGAATCTGACAATGGGAAAGCTTTTGCGCCTGACAGGGTTGTGAAGACCACTTCACCCTTGGTTCAGAATCCCATGACGCAGACGGTGGGGAGCGCTTTCACCGGAGAGGGAGGCTAATCCGAGTCGTCTAGCCTGGACAATGTGTTCCTTGGCTCCGAGACCCAGACAATCACTAGCGAGCGCAACACGATCCGATTCAGACGTGCTCGAGAAGCTTGATTGTTCCCTTAATTGATAGCAAACATGACCCACCGCCGTCATTCAAAGGGGCTGACAGGCTCAGGAGCAGACAGGCCACGCGACAGTAGATATGGTGCGATTCTCCTCTCCAATCTCGAAAACTTGACGTATGTCAGTCAGTAGGCTTTGGGCTGATCGGTGCTAGCTGAGGTGCGCTGCTGGAGCGAGACTCACAATGCTTTTCTCGTCGAGGGGCACGACGCCGTCCTTGACCCAGATGCCCCAGCTGCCCATCATGTTCGCAAGCATCATGTCGGTGGCCAGCCGATCTCCCACCACGGCAATGTGGTGAGGCCCAGTGACTCCCGTTTCAGGATGGCCGCGGAAATACGACATGATCTCGTCCCCACAGCCTGGCTTCTTCACGCGGTGGGTGAGAACAGCCACGCCAGTGCTTCTTTCCACTTCTGATGCCAAATTTCCATCGACATCATAGCTCTTTGCGCCAGCAGTGTTTGAAACAATCAGCAGCCGGCGTCCGGGATAGGCAGCGCGCAAGGCTTCAAACCGATCCTTCTCGACCTTTAGCCTTGGTTTACACAAGTGACGAGAGGGCAAGAAAGAGCCACATGTAGACAGTTTATGAATGCAAAGAAAACCACAACGATTTGGTATGAACCGAGAGAAAAAAAACACGGAAAGAGAATGGTATCCACCTTACCTTGTAGGGTCCGTAGATCTCGCTGCGTTCAGGCCAGGTAAAGCAGTCGTCCTTGTCCAGAACAACGGCCTTTATGTGCACCTGGCGGTCCTTTCCATCCTGGGCGAATGCCCGTTCTAGAGGGATGGGGAGGTCATCGAAGGTCGCGATAGTTGAATGCGGGAGACATAGGGACGGCTTCGCCAGCAGTTTGAAGATATTTAATGACGCAGATAAGTTGAGATTCATCGTCAACTCCTGTGATTAGCTCGATATTCTAAATCAAGGCTGTTTGGCAGTTGGAGTTCGTCAAAAGTGGTTTCTTTGCTCTTGGTCGTCGTCGAACCCCTGTCAAGTGAGCAAGGATTGTAAGTTGCGCCGCGCCAAGAGCCTGATATGTATCTGGTACCTGAATTACTTGGTGCTCACAGCACAATATCAAGTACCGCTACTCCAGACACCAAGGTGTAGCGTGAAATAATCCGGGGAAGTCGCGTCCCACCCCATTGGCACTCCACGAGGCGTGCCTGTGTCACTATCTGGAACCTTTGAGGACCCTCCCTGTACCCCTCCAATCGCCCCACGCATCCCACTTCACGGATCCCACACTCCGCCATGAAATCAATTGCATCGAGGCCGCCGCCAGCGGTATCTCCATCAGCTGCATCTACGTCGGTATCGACTTTATCAGCGTCTACTATGCCTACTTCGGTAGAATCGAAGCTAGAGAACGATCCCAAGACCGTACGACTCACCAATATACAAGATCTCTTCAACGTCATTACTTCCTGTGGAACTGCGTGCCTGACAGGCCTATAAGAGGGCACCTGTATAGAGTGCTACAGTGGGCTCGGTACTGTAGCTGGCGGGAGCCCAGTGCAAGGTAGGTCGGTAAGTGCAGGGTAGGGTAGGTCAACTAAGTGCAGTGTAGGTCAACCGGTTCTGTAAGGTAGACTGTAGGGAACTGTGCCCTATAGTCCAATACAATAGTGCTCTATGTAGGGCACTGAGGGAAGCAAGCTAACTACCATAAGTCTGTAGGACTCTACTACAAGCTTGCCACTTAAACTGCAAGGATTCTGCTCATGTAAGTGAAGGCAAGTACGCCTGATCAAGGTGGTCACAGTGAAGGTACTGGATAGAACGAGCAATGACTGGTATTGGTAAGAGACTTCAACCTGGCCCTCGCAAAGGAATGGGCGAGGGCCACAGCTTATACATGACAGAGTGCAGGGCTAGCGGGCGAGAGGTCATGACAAAGGAGTGAGGTCTTGGCCCGCTCGGTACGCGTGGGTGGGTGTGGGTTGGGGCTCTTTCCTTACAGCTCAGCAGTCTACCTCGTAAGCTGCAGGGGACCCTGCCCTGTAGTCAGGGTCTTCGGGAGGCAACAGAAGGTGCTAAAGAAGACTGAGAGGAGTTGTATTATAGGGGAATATAGTACAAAGAGTGGTGAGTGCGTTGTTACGAATCCCTATTCGTACTGGCTCAGCGGCAGGCCAGGGGCGGCAGGGCGGCCCCGGCCAATCCCATTGAAGGAGGGGCATGGCCCCACAGTTGCTCTGTAAGGTGGAGCACAGAGCAATGTGCTCTGTTGCTCTACGATGAGAGCAACAGAGCAGTTCTCTCATTGGTTACACAGTTAAATATATACGATGACCGTATCCACGGTCTTAGATAGTTCTTGCTTGGTTCTTCAAGCAAGCAATACACATTCACTGCACTCATACACTTTGAGTGGCATTCTAATTTGACTGTATTACCCGTGCGATAGGAGCTTGCCCTTTCTTCTATCTTCATAATTACCAACCCCAGCATCCTGTGGAGCCCGTGCTCCCTTACAGACAGACGACCCTAACAGTCGAGTGGGTTGTAATATGCGTTGCTTGTTTCTTTAGAAGGAAATTTATCTAAGGGAAAGGACAGGCCATAATGTAGACCTAAGGCAGGCTCTCTAGAAGGTTCTAGAAGTCTACAGGCTGCGTAAGTGGCCCTATATTCGACAGTCTTCTAGTGGGCTTGTCTTACGTGTGTGTGCCCAGGCTCGTAGGGGGTTTGAGAAGGTGCTGTTGACCATACTCGCTCCGTCATTATTTTAGAAATATAGGAGGAAGAAGCACAAACTCGTCTAGGAGCTACTACAATACGACGTTTTGCTACCATTTAAAACCGCTACTCTTCAGCCTATACTCCGGCAAAGTATCACCATCGCTCAAAATGCCATTACCAACCCAGTTTCGTACAATATCACTAGAGGTACATTAATCCTATCGTTCAGGTTTCTCCTCCTTCGGGATCCGGGCTGGGGAGGCAGACTTTGTATTTAGCGTTCAGTGCCTGGAGCGTTACGCCGCAAGGATTTGGAGACAAGTATAAGATTAGCAACCAATCAGAATCGGCATAGCCGACCCCAATACACGAATTTCACGGGCCAAATTCGGCCAGTTAAAAACGGCAGCCCCAGCGCGTCGCATTCTGGAGGAAGAGCGACCAAACCCCAACGTCCGATTGGAATCCTCACACTAATAAGGTTGCTACTTCCCTCGTGACGATCAAGTTACAAAACTTGAAGCATGGCACATTTCAGCTAGGAGTTCAGAACCCGCAGACAATGAAAAATGGTCCGCAGAAAATCTACCGAACAGGAGTCAGCGTCACGCCCTGCACGCAAACGAGAATTGCCCCTCGACCACTACGAAGTGCCCGATGAGACGACATCCCCGAAACGTCGCCGCGGCCCAAACAAGAACAACATCGCAGATACAGATATAGGTGCAGCCACAGCGAAAGCCTCCTCATTGAAAGCTTTGAAAGAGGTCGGTCTCGTAGAAACTATCACGGATGGCGCAAATGGCCCGCAATCTTCGCCTCAGCCCACACCGGTCAAGAAGCGACGCGGCCGGCCCCCTAAGGTGAAGACAGGGGAAGCTGCAAACGTCGCCGCCGCATCTACACCATTAGCTAAACGTCGCAAAAATGTTGCTGCGACCCCGGTCAAGCTCAACGGTATCAATGGCGTCGACACTCCAAGCCGGCGAAACAACGCGGACAGATCTGCAAGGCGAAAGAGCGCCCGGGCACTGATCGACCGTGTCTTTGGGGGTGCCCTTAGCGACGACGAGGATGAGGACGGGGGCATCGCGAGGGAGATATACGAGTCCAGCGAAGACGAAGAGGGCGACCAAGAGGGGCAAGAGGCTCGGGACGATGACCAGGAAGGACCTGATCCTACCACCCCCTCCAAGAAGCGAGGACGGCCACGCAAGGCGGTATCGGCGCGAAAGCGGTCGCCGACTCCGCCCCGAGACTTGCCTCCCCACGAGCAGTACTTCTACCAAAATAAACCGGGCCTCACCAAGACGTCGAGCAACAACCTTTCGTCGCTGGATCTCCTCACCCATGAAGAATACTTCTCCGTGCTGCGCCAGCTCAAAGACCCACACGCCTCAGACGTCGAATTCCTCCAGTCTCTCCACGCCGAGTCTTTTCCTCAGTGGTCGTTTGAGATTTCGCAGGGGTTTAGTACCTGTCTGTATGGTTATGGGTCCAAAAGGCGACTTCTTCACCAGTTCGCGACTTACCTCTCAGAGAGGAGCCTCAGTCCCCAACAACCCAAGGTCGTAATTGTGAATGGCTATGTGCGGACAACTACGATTCGCGAGATTTTATCAACTATCAGCAATGCCATCGACCCTTCTTACAAGCTTGTCTCGGGAAACCCGGTCGTCATGGTCCAGAATCTCTTGTCTCTGCTCTCGACCACCGGACTAACCGTAGTTCTTATCATCAACTCTATCGATGCCCCCCCTCTTAGGAAAGCCATGACACAATCTATTTTGGCTCAGCTAGCCGCACACACTCAGATCAGGTTGGTCTGCTCTGCTGACACCCCAAACTTCCATTTGTTATGGGACAGTGGGCTGCGGTCATCCTTCAACTTTGCCTTTCACGACTGCACAACATTCGGATCTTTTGGGACCGAAATAGACGCTGTTGACGAGGTCCACGAGCTGCTGGGCCGCAAGGCCAGGCATGTGGGCGGGAAAGAAGGCGTGACATACGTGCTGCGCAGCTTGCCAGAAAACGCAAAGAGTCTGTTCCGCCTCCTCGTCAGTGAAGTGCTGGCCATGATGGACGAGGGCGGAGGTATCACTGCAGAAGGCCCAGGTATCGAGTATAGAATTTTGTACAATAAGGCTGTGGAGGAGTTCATCTGCAGCTCAGAAATGGCATTTAGGACGTTGCTGAAGGAGTAGGTTTTTGCCACCCCCCCTCCCCCCAAACCAGGTCAGCGACGACTGTTTAGGCTAACAATCTCTCTCAGATTCCACGATCATCAGATCATCACCAGCCACAAGGACTCGATCGGAACCGAGCTTTTGAGCCTCCCTTTCAGGAAAGACGAACTAGAGGCGATTCTGGAAGATCTCATGTCATGATTTACGAAAGCATTAGATATTTGCATTGCTATCTGCACCAGGAAAGGGATGATTGCCGTAATCAAGCGAACCATGTATATCATCCTCAATATAGAATGTGGAGCCCAGAAGAAAACATGATATGACTACTGTAGCGGCGGGAAACTCAACATCGAAGACCCAAACTATCCCACTATCTTGTTGTTCTACCTCTCGTTCCCGCTCCGAGGCCCTAAAAACTGTTGTCTCAAACAAACAAAGATGGAAGTGTGCTACACAACGCAGAGGGCTCGGCATCCCCATAAACCGTATTGACGAGACGAAGTGGCTGTCTCACAGCAAGCTATCGGACACATACACTCGACACCCAAGAGAGCATATAAACCAAAAGCCAAGACAAACAATTAATATCAAGGTTTCACTAAGCAACGTGATAAACATGTTGTCATTTCTGCAGTGGAGCAGGGCAACAACAATGTGGGCTAATAAGCCGTTGATATTGTTCGCAGTGAAAGTAGGCTGTCTCAAGCATGCTTTGGCAGTGAAGAAGAAAGGATAGAGCGTTGCAGTCAGTTACAGCAAGGGACTATCTAGATATCCATCCCCAGCCAGCCTTGCCAATTGCCTCCCTGCCCATCAAGACCGAGGTCAAGGACAACAACCAAGACGAGTTCTAGCAACGTACCTAGCAACGTGGCGGCATATGCACGCATCTGGGCACCTGGCTACCGAGACAAAGCTCTCGTTGTTGGGTGGTTGACCACATGGACCATCTACAACGGGCAAACAACAATACACATGCAAACCTTTAGACACGTGATGGTAGCTACCATGCGTAGCCGACGACATCGGTCATGGCTAGTCGCTTGACGTGGGTCTCTGAGCTTGCCTGTTTGCCTGTTTGCCCGCTCATCTCATTTGCTCTTCGTCTATTCCACGTCCACATTACCGCCTCCCGTTCTTCCTTTCTAGTTTCTTCGTGTAATTAGCTGCTAGTTGTCTGCTCGTCCCTCTCTCTGGTCTGATGACCTGATACAACGGAGCTGTCCTTCCTTCCACCGACACTTGCTCCGAAACTCAATTGCCAACAATAGGGTCACATGAACTCATCAAAGAGGGATTAGGAAAATCAAAGTGGTTTTTTTATTCGGACCCCTCAGTACAGACAGACTGTTTGTCTCGTGCCACCGGGTTGGGAACAGCTAGCCACCGTCCACTATTGCCCAGTCTCAAACCAAGTTCTCAGCAGGAGTCTAAAAGGTTGCCTTCTTAGAACCTTTGCCCGTTCAACTTTCGAGCCCGCTTATCTTCCTCCAATTCATTGCGGGGGCCCTGTTGGTTTCTCCTGTGCTATAATATGAGAGCCAGGAAGCATTCCCCCTTTCTCTGCCGGAATCTCTTTTCAAAAGGGTATCATGCTCCATCAACCTGCTCCCGTCCTCAACTGCCGAAAAATTACCAGTCTATCTTCGAGTTCTCTATTGAGTGTCCCAGCTGTATTGAGACTATCCGGGCGATGTCGTTGGCCGACCTCGACCAGAGAACCGGAGAAATCCACTTTTGTCTATGAGATATGTAACGTGAAGTGCAAAAAGCAAACAAGGTGAAAGATGAATCAGCGGCGCGCCATGACCCCTTGTCTATCTGAAAGCAAAAGCCCTTGTTGAATGTAAGGGTAAGAGCAGAAACATGACGATTCGTTAGGGTTGATTAAGATCCAGTCTCTCTAGATCAAATCAGCCGTGGCTGTAAGCCATGCGCGGTCGCATGAGCTGACAACTCCAGTGTCGACATCCCAAGCTTTAGTCGTCTAAGGGTATCAAATCGTCGGGCGTTCCTTTCTGTATGGGGGTGGGCAAGCAAATCCGATCTATCGTTGAGGCCCGAGTGCGGGCCATAGAACCTCATCCAGCCGAAGAGAGTCTCGGAGGGTCGGTGTAGGTCATGCTCGCCGCAATTACTGATCCGGAAAGTGAAAAAAGGGAAAAAGAGAACCAAGTGAACTAATGCAAGCCGCATGAAGCATCAAAAAGGCAGTCGGGCCCAAAGTATATGGTCATGTGCGACTCCGGGGTCTTTGTTGAGGTGGTAAGCGGATTACCACCAGGACTGGCCGCCGCCGCCGCCGGGGTTGCCGTAAGAACCACCGTAGCCGCCGCCACCACCGCCACCACCACCGTAGCCACCACCGCCATAGCCAGTGTTGGGGGTGTAGCCACCACCACCTCCATAGCCAGGGGCGCCGCCGAAGCCACCGCCGCCACCGCCTCCCTTACGGAAATCGGTTTGAGCACTGCGACCACGACCACGACCTCCGCCACGGCCACCACGACCGCCGCCGCCACCACCGAACGATGATTCCTGAGCAATGTTGGTGAGCCAGCTGGGGATGGCCTGGTTGGCCTCCTTGAGGAGGTCAAGAAGGCCTTGGACAATGCCGCGGTTGCCACGGTTGAAGAAGGCAGTAGCCAGACCGGTGTTTCCGGCACGACCAGTACGACCAATCCGGTGCACATAGTCGTCAATATCGGTAGGGAGATCGTAGTTGATGACGTGGGTGACGTTGGGGATATCCAGACCTCTAGCGGCAACAGCAGTAGCCACAAGAATGGGGCATGCACGAGAGCGAAAGTCTCTCAGGGCGGCCTCACGTTCACGCTGGGTGCGGTCTCCGTGAATTGCAGCAGCGATGAAGTTCTGGTTAAGCAAGAAGTCTGACAGGGCATCGGCCATACGCTTGGTCTCAACAAAGATAAGAGTGAGGTTCGGGTCGCCACCATCGGCCTCCTTCTCGCGCTGATCATGAAGAATGTCAAGCAGAACAGAGCGCTTATCGCCATCCTCGACATTGAGGATCATCTGCGTGATGTTCTCGGAAGTAGAACCAACGCGACCAACAGAAAGGAAAATATAATCCTTGAGGAAATCGTGAGCAAGTACCTGAATATCGCGGGGGAAAGTGGCCGAGAACATGAGCGTCTGGCGATCCTGGACGCCAGGCATATCCTCGCCCTCAACAATGCGGCGAATTTGGGGCTCGAAACCCATGTCCAACATGCGATCAGCCTCGTCAAGAACGAGATAACGGATGCTGCTGAGAGAGATGCGACCACGCTCTATGAGATCGACAAGTCTGCCAGGAGTGGCAACAAGGAGATCGCATCCGCGCTCAATCTGGCGCAGCTGAGATCCAATGTCAGCGCCGCCATACACGACGCAAGGGCGAACCCAAGATCGGTAAGCGAACTTGCGGGACTCCTCGTGGATCTGCGAAACAAGCTCGCGGGTGGGAGCGAGGATCAAAGAAGTGGGATAAGCCTTGCGCTGGCGGCCGAATCCAGCCTGGGCAGCCACAGGAGACGGTCCGTTGGTGAAAGCCTGCGACAGGATGGGAAACAAGAAACCACCCGTCTTGCCGGAACCGGTCTGGGCACAAGCCATGAGATCACGGCCACCAATGACGATGGGGATTGAGTACTTCTGCACCGGGGTGGGGACGGTGTAGCGGGCAAGAAAGACGTTGGTAAGCAGATGGGGGTCAAGAGGCGGGTTGTCGAACTGAATGACCGGCTCGGGGACATCACGACCGGAAGCCTCGACCGGGATATCCTCGTATTTGTCGAAGTTGATTCCCGTGTGCTGCTTCGACGGATCATCAGCGGTTCCGAAGAGCTCACGCTCGAGGCGGGGGTTGGCGTTGCCAATGATGTGTTTTCCATCGCGCCACTGGCCTTCGCCAGAGCCGCCGCCGCGGGAATAACCACCACCGCCACCGCCGGCACCAGGAGCAGCGCCTCCCATGTTGCCGCGATAGGCATTCGGGTTGAAGGGACCGGCCTGGGGACGACCGCCCCAACCTCCGCCGGGCTGCGGGTTCTGCTGCTGAGCAGGGGCAACAAATCCGGGAGTAGGCCAGTTGTTGTTGCTCTCACGAGCGGGAAAGTTGTTGTTTCTATCATGGAAATAATGTTAGCACCGATTCAGGGAAAAGTCCGACCTAGCAGATCAAATTTTGGGCGAACAAGGAGAATTATTACTTACCCAGCCCAAGCGCTGCTGTTGAGGCCATTCACGGCAGCACCAGGTTGAGGACTGGCGGGTGAACCGACGGGGGGGCTGTTCTGGGGAGGCACAGGCCCGCCCATCTTTCCTCTCATATGAGGCGGGATGTAAGAGCGCGCAGTCTGCTGGCTCGCGAGCTGAGCCGCCGCCGAGGGCGACTCGAGGCCAAGGTTGCCCATTCCGGCGCTTAGTTGGTCCGCCATGATTGAAGTCGGGTTCGATTCGTCGCTTCGGAATGAAGTTTTTTCGTCGTCGATGTTTACCACAAGAGATTCTTGGGATGCCGTCGAGAGTTTTCCGGTACCCTCAAAAAGAACGCGATTGCTCAAATGAGAGTTGTGGGGAAAGAACGAGAAAAGAGCGGAAGGCTGAGTTGATGAAATTAGGCCAAGAGGCTCGGCTTTGCACGAAAATTAAGGCGGGAGAATGTCTCCTGCAATCCTTCTGAAGACCGGAAACCAGGTCTCCAAAAGAAAAAAAAGGAAAGACAAATGTACCGAAATGCTGGTGCTGATTTTGGGAGATGGATTAAGAAATCCAGGAGGTTTGAAGAAGGAAGTTTTTTTTTGAGAAAAGACGGGAGAGACCCGAGAAAGAAAAAAGGTTTTGGGACTGTGTCAGACCCACTTTACTTAGGTAAAGCCGACTGGGTCCAGCCATACCACCTCCACTGAAGGTGGCCGCGACACCCTGGCGAAAAAAAGTTTTTGGGCCTGAAGTGGCTTTGGCCACCAAAGATGGGGGGCAATGGGGGGCTGCGGGGGGCAGTGGAAGACCCTTCCTTTCTCCACACGAGTTAGATCGCAACTTTGTCTGTTGTGGCAATGACTGCCAGCCCCCCTAGTAAAGATCTATCTCTTGGCGAAGTCGCATTTCAGCTACCAAGTTTTCCGTCGACTCTTTAACGCAGTGCCACTCCCAGCGTCTATCATCAGACCCGAAGGAAGCAGAGGCAGCAACGACGATCTGCAGCAATGACGATCTGCAGCAACGGGAGGCAAATTCTTCTGCACCTTCTGCACCACGTGATTCTTCCGATAAAGAACTACCTAGACTTCCTTCCCCCCAAATTTCGTGCTTTGCTGACTGGATTTGAATTCATCATGACTGGACACTGGAAAGTTTCAGAAGCCTTGCCCCGCCAGCTTCTGACGTCCTTGTTCACATCTTCTGCTGAGATTTGGGGCCGTACCTCCCCATTTTGTCTGAGCCCGAGTCATTGACACTTTTGCTCGCCTCGCCCCGACCGGACCAGGCAGGAACGCTCGAGAGCTTTCTAGGTCGGAAAGTTGTACCTTAGGCAGGAACCAACATGAGACGCTAGGGAGTAGCCCAGCACTGGACAGAGATGGGCCCAAAGCTAAAACTGAGGCCTCACCGCCTCCCGGCTCTTGATAGGCCCAAGTGACGGGATGAGATGGCTGCTGGGCTACTGCAGAGGGCCGATGTGTTTAGTCGTCTTCTGCCCACCTTCGACAATTCAGCATGCTCCAATTCGCTCTTTTCAACTGCTCACCGCCCTGATGCGGATGATACGCCCCTATCTCTGCATTCTAGATCTGGGCAATCCTCGCATCTTCCGTTTCCCGCTTAGCCGTTTGTAGACCAACTGCGGCTGCCCGCGTTAAATGCAAGGCAGCAAGCAAAAAAAGAATAATATGCGGCCACTTGCATTCAGGTGTAATGAGGGGACAGAAAACTGCTGCAGCTTGAGGAGACGAAACATGTCACTCTATTAGCTGTCCAACGACCGCTTTAGCGTGGGACGTGCATGGGTCGGAGCAAGAAGCAGTGGCTTATTACCCGAGGGCCAAAGAGAGAAGTCTTTCAGTCCTTCGGGAACTTGTATATAACACAGCCAAGGAAAAAGAGGTGTGAAGTGCCGGGCAAAGGTCTACTCGTGGTGAAACCAAGCCTCTTGCATGGTCAGCCCCAAAACCCTTGTCTCTGATGACGTCCCGATTCCTAGATAGACGGAGGTACGGACGTATGGAAATATCTTTTCCCCCAGCAGCAGGGGGAAGGATTGGCAAGCCTCACTTGGAGTAGACTGTCCACGAATGCCCCCTTGAACTCCCGAAATGTATGAACGCATCGCCACGTACTAAATACTTATACATGTATCTATTGCAGATACTGGGTCTACCCCCTTAGGCACTCTTCACCACCTTGTCGTCATCAAACTCGATATCCACGATTCCGTCCTTTGTGACCGCCTTCACAACCATGCCCTTGAAATCCACGGGTAACCTTCTCTTGAGCTCATCTATGCACAGTGTGAGAAGCTTGATACCCTGCTCAAGGGATATGTCTGGATGGTGGTGTTTGTCCAGAATAGAAAGACAGTAGTATCTACCAACCGAGCGTTAGCCATGTTATCAATCCACTTCTCTGCACCCGTTCCTAGAAAATAGGGAGGGTTATATGCCGGGGATGGACGTACTGTGCGTATCCGTGGGCTGCGTAAGGCAACGGGGCCAACGCAGCGAGATAGTCCAGCCAGTAAAGGCTCGGCTTGTGGGTGATGGGGTCAACGCCTCCTAGCAAGAGGTTGACGTTGTACGGCTTCCGCGACCGCAGGCTGGACGCGAGCTCGCCGCGGACGAAGTGAGCGAGGGCCGAGGGCGACAGGTCCGTCTCGTTCCGCATCGAGTAGAGCTGGGCGTTGGCTTGAATGTACTCGGCGAATTGCACTGTTCCCCGGAGCACTATTAGCTTCTGGGTAGAACGAAAGGGACAAGTCGCCTGTCGTTTGAGCGCGGCCATCGTATCGTCACAGCGTCGCACACACCCGTATCTCCTGCCTCGCCCATGAATGCCATCAAGGTGTGCTTGTTGAGCTGCCTTGTCTTGTCGTCGGATGCCTTCAAGATGGTAGCTCCTCGCATCGCAGCCTTCGACGCCGCAATCAAGGTAAAGTCCCTGCCCGTGATACCTAGCAAGACCTCCCTGATGACAGTCAGTATATCATCCACGCATCTATGCGCATCGAGCAAAATGCACGCAGCTTACATCGTGAGAGCTTATTGTGAATCAACTAGAAGATTGTGGATTTTGTTGGTGATGGTGAGAGTTGGTAAGCCTTTGCCGTTTGCTTGCGTTCTGGTTAGACAGTGAGCTTCTCTGTAGGTTGCGGAAACGCGCACTTGAGCTTCAGCCTGCCCGATGTGCACAGGCCAACCAGAGCTCAGCGAGCCAAGGTTGGGTGCGCCGCGCTTCCCCAACCGCCCTAGCCTAGCGTGGTAGATTTCGATGGGGCTGAGGCGAGGCTGAAAAGTCGCGGCACGGGAATTCCCTTCTCCGACTTTTCCATTCAGTGTGGCTCTCTAGCAGCGGCCCAAGTCCCCACTATCGATAATCGGTCAGACAGGGCAGTTTGACGAATCGGGGGGTAGCTCCACTGAAGCGATTGAGCTTTTTTTTTTTTTTTTTTTTTTTTTTTCAATGACAGTCGATGGGAGATGTTTTGAGCACAAGCTTGCCTGGATGTGTGCAACCGAGACTCAAAGAAACGACATGACAGCATAGCAGCCTGGCTACAAGCTGTTTTTATTAAACAAAAAATGTCGTCCTTTTTCACAGCCCCCAGCGGCGATAAAAAACGGAAAAGAATTCCTGGGACGGAGGGGCCAAAAAAACGACTTGCTGGAGCCACGCCCAAGCCTTCGATAAACGGTCACAAATCCTCTGCCAGATTAGCCACCCCTGGAGCGAAAAAGAAGGCAGCTGCACGCGATGAAGAAATCTCCGGCAGCGAGTTGGACAGCGACCTGAGCGGAGACGATAATAGAGCTTCGGGCAGCGAGTCGGAGAACGAAGGCGAGACGGCAGCCGAGAAGCGACTCAGGCTAGCACAACGATATCTAGAGAAGACACGACAAGAGGTCGAGCTCGAGGATGAATACGCTTTCGATGCCGAACAGATTGACCGGGACCTGCTCGCGGAGCGGCTAGAAGAAGACGCCGCCGAGTCCAAGGGCAAGGTATATCGGCGGCTGGCGCCGGAGCTGGACTTCGGCCATGCGGCGCACACACAGTTCCGCTGGAACTCGAAGACTGTAACTTCGGTGGCAGTTTGTGCCCCGTACGCGTACACGACAACCAAGGAGGGCTGTCTAACCAAGTGGCGGCTCCAAGACCTGCCCAAGGACCAGTGGCCGCAGACGACGAGGAAAAAGCCCAAGAAGCCACCCGCGCCCCCCAAGCGGAAACCCGAGCGCGTGTGCTACACCACAGCAGACCCCCAGAAGATAAAGGACAAGACGTTCAAGGGCCATACGGGCGGCATCCTGACGGTCAGGGCCTCGCAGGACGGCAAGTACGTGGTCACTGGAGGCAGCGACAAGCGCATGGTTGTCCACAACGCCGAAGACCTCAAACCCATCCGCGCCTTCACACAGCACCGCGATGCCGTCACGGGCCTCGCGTTCCGCCGGGGAACGAACCAGCTCTTCTCCTGCTCCAAGGACCGGACAGTAAAAGTGTGGTCTCTGGACGAGCTAGCCTACGTTGAGACGCTCTTCGGCCACCAGGACGAAATTGTCGACGTCGACGCCCTCGGGCAGGAGCGGTGCGTCAGCGTGGGCGCCCGCGACCGGACGGCGCGGTACTGGAAGGTGCCCGAGGAGTCGCAGCTCGTGTTTCGCGGCGGCGCCAGCGAAAAGAAGTCGTCCAAGTCCTCGGCCGCCCTACAGGGGATCGCCCCCGGATCCCTGGCCCAGGAGGGCAGCATGGACCGCGTGTCGATGCTGGACGACGACCTGTTCGTCACGGGCAGCGACAACGGCGACCTGGCGCTGTGGAGCGTCAACCGCAAGAAGGCCCTCTTCGTCGTGCCGCGCGCCCACGGCATCGACCCGGCCCTGAAGCCCTCCGAGGCATCCGCCGAGGCGGACCCCGGCCCCGACGTAGTCCCCGCCCCGCAGCCTCGCTCTATCACGGCCCTCCGCACCATCCCGTACTCGGACGTGATCCTGACGGGAAGCTGGGACGGCTGCGTACGCGTGTGGCGACTTAACGAGGACAAGAAGAAGATCGAGGCCGCCGGCGTCCTCGGATCGTCGTCCGCAGACGAAGAGAACGAAGGAAAAGGAAAAGCGGTCGGGTCTGAGCAAGAAGGCCAGCAGCCGCAGCAGGAGGCGGGAGAAAAGGACCTCGTTAGGGGCATCGTCAACGACATCGCCATGTTCGAGCGGGGCGACAGGGGAAGAGACGGCATCTGCGTCGTCATCGCCACCGGCAAGGAGATGCGCCTGGGACGGTGGAAGTATATCAAGGACGGCAGATGCGGTGCCATGGTCTTTGAGGTGCCCAAGATTGCAAAGCAAGCGGGCGTCACAGAACAGTCGACAGACGATGAAGAAGAGTGAGGCGGGTTATCGCCGTATAATCTGCGACATAAAAACCCTAGGCGAGGGGGACTACACATGTGTGTGTAAAAGTGTATATAAAAAGCTCTTTGAGCCGTAGCTCATCGATCATTTTGCCGTCGGCGTATTCGTAGAAAATGCCCTTTACTTTACTGGCAATCTGCACACCGTACAGGGGGAATACAAAATACTACGCCGTCAAAATGTACAATTTAATTTCTTTTTTAATTGGTTCTTAGAAGAGATACCTTTCTACAGAATAAAAGTACGATTAAGTCCACGCGCGTCCGTCATCTAGGAAACTTGTGCATACGTTTTGACATTAAGGGTTTATCGCGCTATGCTTGTGACAAGAGTTCCAGAACGCCGACAAGGCGGCCACCATGAAAACAGAATCAAGAGCGGGAGAGAGCGCGAGCACCAAAACGCCCCCTTAGGGAAAAAACATGAGTCATGACACAGCTAATAGCTTTGTGTAAACAGAGGCCGCCAAATCAGACAATGCCTGCTTCTATTTCGTCCTTGGTCAGATCGATTGCAGCAGGTCGTCTAAGCAGCTCTGCGCGCTCCACGACCGGAACGCCGGAACGGGAGAAGTAGGGGCTGGTGGTCTGGGATACGTGCGGGCTCGGCATCCTAGCTGCGCGTTTTGATGTCACCGGCGAGGACCGGGATGGCTTCGTTCGGGCCATCTCTCGCTCTGGCGAGGTCAAATCAATGGGGTGGTCCTTGTAGAAACTTTTCGGTTGGACTTCCTCAACCTCCCGCTGAGGCGGTGGCGAGCTTGGGAGTTTTTCAACGAACCGCTTTTCAATATACTCACCCTCTGACCCAATTCGGTAAGTTTTGGTACAGGCTGGCTTCTCAATTGACAGTACCTCTGTGTCGGGTTTCAGGGGAAGGAGATCCACCTCATCAACAGAACCTTCGTGTTGAGAAAGTGGCCGTTGTGAAGGAGTTACACCTTTTCGCACTGCATGCTGAACAGACTCATCTCGGGGCATCTCTGGAGTTTGTGGCGCATGGCTATCCGCCGTGTCCTTGGCAGGAGCCTCTAGAGGCAAGTTTGGCGAAGCTGTTCGAGACTTGGCAACCGACCTGCCGCTATCGACTTCCGATGGTCCGTCTGTCGTTCCATTGTCCTTCGGGACTTTTTCGTTGGGCTTGCTTGAAGTTTGTGCCTGCGGCTCTGCGTTCGCATGCTTGGCGGCTGGCTTCTTCTTCTTCCTGTCGTTTGCCTGCTCCTCCTGATATCTCTTTTGTTCACTGAAAATGGTCTTTCGCCACGTATCCCGTAGCTCGTGAGGGTTAACTTTCCACTCGGGTACCTCCTTTTGGAGCAAAGTCCGTATGAATCGGTCCGGATCCTGAACAAACTCTTGGATATAGCCAAGGAGGTAGACACCGCAATCGCACAAATTGTTCTGTTCCGGAATGTTGATCGCCTTCATTCCCAGAGGTGACGGAACATCCGTGATGGTTATGCCTCGCTTGTCAGCAAATTCTGCGACCAAGTAATGTTTCAGCGAAGCGGTCGCTTGGAAGTGACTGGAGCCCAGCGAGTCTAGGGTGATAATTCTGGGGTCGCCGAAGTCATATTTTCTTGGTTGGCGGCCTGAAGACTTTCTGCCGTGTTTTGCTTTGCCTCGGGCGGGAACAAGATCACTCTCAACTCGCGCCTCGCCAGCAGGTACCTCCACGATGTCGGAGTTATCGTCAGCCGTTTTAGTCACAGGTGCGGCGGTGTCGGAACCCAGCGGGCTTTCGATGGATAACTGGTTTATCCCAGCCACTGCTGAATCTCGTGGAGAGTTACTGAACTGTCCTTTGGGCGCCTCTATCGTCTCCAGTTCAGAAGTCGCTTCCTCCCCAGCACCTCTGATGTCCCCCTTTCCTTCATCTAGGTTGTGGCCGTTTCTCACATTTGCGCCTGGTATGTGGTCTTTTAAAGAGCTCGGGTCGAGATTGCCTGGGTTGCAGATTATAGCAACCCACCAGTGGTAATGCTCATTGACAGGGACTATGATATAGTCATACGATAGCAGATCCACTTTTGCCGTCCAACTTTTGACACCGTCGTAGTTGATCTTGCTCTTTGTAGATCTGAGTTTTTCGTAGAAGAAAGAGTTGTGAAGGTAGACCCGTTTGTTAAGATCTTCATTCCTCGAGGCGAGCTTGTCAAACAAGTACCGAAGGCCAAACCCAATGAGATTGTCGTTCAGACATTCACCCTCGTCCAGCCGTGGTATGTCATCTTTGTCGACTGTGGCTCGGTGGAAGACCAGGGGTATTTTCCATTCGTCGGCCCAGGTCTTGTTGAATTCAGACCATTGAGTAATGGTTGACAAATGTCGATTTTCAGCTGAAGCTGCCCTGTCGTTATTTTGCCTCGACCTCAGCGGTCGTTGCTTCAAGGGGGCAACATCTTTCGACGGCTCATCTTGGCGGGGCGCAGATTGTTCCGAGAGTTGAATTCTGTCCCTGGGGAAAAGTTTCCGAGGGCCACCTGGCGCGCCGCCTGATAGGTTCGCGGGCCTCTCGATGCCATGAGCCTCTTGGATTTCTGGATTCCGTAATCCTCCGAGTGGGCGTGATTGTGGTTGGTGTGGCTTCCCTGAGTTCATATTGCCAATATCTCCTGATATTTTATCATAAGTGAGGTTGAGTTTATGACTAGAATAAGTTAGCAGGGCGTCAAAATTATCGAATCATTCATGGTTCGTGATGAAGATCGTACCTCTCCTTCTCTTCGTTCCGTTTGACGCCTTTCTGATTCTCCGCAACCCATTCAAGAATGCGCTGTACATCTGCCTTCTTAACCAAGTTTAGACACAGTAACCTTCCAATTCCCTGGCGCTCGTCCACAGCTTGATCGAATTTGATGTAGTTGCTGTTTGGGCTGTATAGCATGGCGCTGGTTTTGTGAGAAATTTTGAGCCAAAAGAACTCGTCGGCCAAATTACCATCATTGTCAAAGGCACGGAGTTCGTTGCCTTTTTGGTTCAAGAATAGTCGGCGGTCAGATGTTGACACATATCGAAACTCTTTGTAGCATATAGCCCCCTTGATGGGGATTCCAACGCCGTCACGAGTATTCTTTTTGGATGACAAGCCTAGAGGCTGCATGGCCGCCTTGTGCTTGGGTCCTGTGGATGGCTGTGCAGACAGCTCGTCAGAGTCTCCATCTACAGCATGGTTTGGTCGCTTTTTGCTCCTATTTAGGCTCTGCGGGCTGTGGGGCGCTGGCATAGCTCTTTGTCGAAGAAACTGGGGGTCAGCACCATCGCCGAGAATTAGTGCAGAGCAGGCGGTAGATCCAATGGGTTTTGGCTTGGCCCCAAGCTCATCATCTGAAATATTGTCCCGGCCCACATCAATACTGGGAAGGTACCGCTTGATCGGCCGTTGCGTGGCGGGGGACTCGCTTCCGGCAGATCGACGACGGCGCCTGCTCCCACGCCCCGGGTCCCGAGAAAATCCTTCCACAAGCTGGTATTCGGAAATCCCAGCAGCGGATCCCGGACGAACGTTGCTTCCCTGGCTCCCGGTCTTGATATCACCAAAATCTACGATGTCGTCGTCTGGTACTGTATAACGGCTGCTGGTAAAGCTAGATGTTTTCACTCGTTTTGCTAGTGGGGGTTCCTTTGGAGAATGCGACGACGCCGGTGAAGCAGAATTCGCCGAGCTGAACGTGTTGCGTATGAAGTTATTGATCGTGTCCACGGGCTTTAAGCCAAAACTCTTCTAGTACCAAGTCAGCATCAGCTACAACATAATCCTGATATACCTATATACGTACGACACTTGCGCTCCCCGGTAGTGGCATTTCGTAGGCTCCCTCTATCGAGTCTCTCGAGCTTTTTGGGGCAGCCGCGGTCAGCTTGTCGTCACCGAGTTTTCGGAAGGCGGTTGGATGTACCCATAATCCGGGAAAGAGTGCGGGACGGTGTGGAATCGGTCAAGAGCCCTCCTGCGTTGCGCCTGTTAGGGTCGAAGAAGGCGGGCCTGTTAGAGATGGGGAAGACGCAACGCACTCCTCCGCAGTTTTCGCATTCTGAAATTTTGGCGCGTGGGGACTTGTCGCGTGGGGACTTGTCGCCTTTGTGTTTGCACCCACTTTGGAGTTTGCTGGAAGCGGGTTCAACAAAGATCGATCGGTAGATTTTGAAGTGTTGGTGCTGAGTAGGTAAGGCAGGCAGGTGGACCAGTTAGCGGTGGGGCTCCATGGAAGTGTTGGACTGTAGCGTAGGTATTTATTCCATCCAGTGTCGAAACAGAGGAATGGAACCCGAGCTTACCTTGACTGCTCCAGCTTGAGAGCGCCGGATGACAGTGCTGTGGTCTTTTGTGTGTCTATTTTTTTTTTTGCGAGCTGTAGACAACTTGTTCTGCAATGCAAGTGCCGCCCAGGGTGGGCGGTTTATTAGGTTGTCCGCAGGAAGATGAAGATTGGATGCGGTTCCAGGTGTCACGAGGCGACACCGGGTCACAGGCTGCAAGAGACGCGGTTGCCGGCATCTGCATAGGGCCTCCCCTGCAAAGCGGGCTCGAGGCGGGCTAAGGCTCTTTCTTGGCAGTCACGGGTACTCGCTCACACGTGACTTAGCCACGATAGTACAGGCCGGCCCGACGAAATACCGACGGTTTTGATGAATCACGTGCTTTGACTCTTCGTGAGTTACATCTCTCTCATCCTGGTCTTGCAAGCTCGAGCCCTGTCCCTCTGTGTACATGGGAGCGAAAACTACCTAATAGCTACCTAGATGGGTTGGCAGGATCCCTTCCACTTGCTGATGAAGACCGCGATCTCGATTCACGAGTCCTCAGCAGAAGGAGAAACTCCTTACCCTCCGGCAGGCTGCCAAATGGCCACTTCCAATCTTGTTGAACCAAAGTCAAAGCCTGCAATGGTTCCTCATGGTCCACGAAAAAAAAGGTATTAACGCTAGAAATTAGACCGCTCGTATCATCAGGATCAAAGAGGTCGCCGCACAACTTCGCATCTTTGATATAGGACACCGGGGAGGCCCCCATGATTCCAGCTGCGTTCGTTTGGATGAAGTCTAGAGGGATTTTCTCGATATGTGCTGCTTAATATTAGAAATAGAAGCTGTGCCAGCAGGGCTGTACTCACTTCCAAAGGACTTAGCAGCTGCCAAACATGCGTGTCGATGTGAACTCATAAGGCCGTAGATGTCATCTGTATCGAGCCTGAGTGAACGCAGAAGACTGGCAGCGAGGCCATGACTACGATGTTCCTTGTGTACGACCAACTCAGTGACCCAACAGATGCTGCTGCTTTGATACTTCCAACGGCACACAAAGGCATTTCCATGCCGTCGACAGTAACTCGGGTGTAAGAGCTTGCGGGATCGGCCAGATATTGCTCTCGCAGTCTCTTTGTGCTAAGTCTGACAGGTTTTCCTGGTTTCTCCGAATATGGACCCCAAGTACCGTAGTTCTCGTTGAAGAGTTTCGCAGCTTCATCGATCATATGCTCTGTGACTTCGTCAGGAGTAAATGTTTCGAAAATGATCTGCGTGGCCATCCACGTAGAGCGCCTATTGCTCGTCCAGGAACTCTCAATGAAGTTAAGACGGTGCTCTGGAGCGAACCTGACTCTCCGACGAACTAACAGGATTTCGAGAGGTCTACTGCTAGAGGGTGAGAGGCTAGAAGTTCTTGTACGGAGATGTGCTGCTTCATGGCGGTGTGGTGATTGGGAAAGCGGGTAGTTGAAATGCTTTCTTTCGCGGCTGCACCTGTAGCACCCTTGCCACTTCGCTTAAAAGGAGCTAATGCATATTTAGAGGCTGTACAAGTGGGGCATTGTACAAAACCCTTTCCCCTTTCGGAAGTGACCTCAGCTTAGGATAAGACCAACTTCACTTCTTTCGCATTGGGACGGACAACGTGATTGCCAGATACGAAGACCCACGGCGCAGGCTACGGATTGGCCTAATGATGGGCTGACGACAGGAGGTACTTGCTGAACACGGCGACTGCCTCGGTGGACTTCGATGTGCCCTGTAAGGTGTCCAGTTGCGTGACCCCAATATTAATAGGACTGCCCGCCCCGTCGCCGGACGTCATCCTGTTCACACCTCCATACTCTCCGTCCCACTGCTTTAACTCGCCGTGATGGACCCTTGTCCTTCTCATATGAATGTTGACAAACTCGAAGATGATAATTGGGTAGTTATAGATGGAGTGAAAAACACAGAAGGCCAAGGTGGTAGCACGACTAGAAATACGCGGCTCAAGGTAGATGATGGCGATACAAGGGAAGCCCTGGAACGGGCAAACCCAGTGGCTTGGGGGGTTGGTAGGATTCCGGCCTATCAACTTGACACCAGCAACTATTTTCCCCACAGGGTTGGCGACATACTGTTGCGGGAGGCGCTCAAGTTCGCATTAGTAATGATTACCTCTATTCAATTGGGCCTAGGCTCAACCCACTGGGAGCTCAGCCGCAACGCCCTTGACAAGGGAGGCCCAACATCCCCAACAGCAAGCCAGGCCAGAGCTCCCCTTGGACTTTTCCTCGGCACCAGTCGACCTTTTCTCCGCGCCAACCTATTTTGGCCAAATACTCTAGTAATTCATAGTGGCGATCGCCCTGGGCGTTGTGGGTTAGGAAAATGCCCTTATTTTGGTATAAAAGTGGGTATTTACAAGGTAGTTTTACCGGTGCCGAAGCAAAGTCCAAGGGGATGGAACCTACCTGAGGAAGGCGCAATCCCCCGACACACAACGCCATCTCTTACATGGAAAATTCGGTGGATAGGTAATATATGTTGTCAAAAAAAAATACAATATTTCCAAGTGGTCTGAAGCAATAGATGGCCTCTTCCATTGTCTGTAGGGTTCGTCTACCTTTCCTCACTCACACTCGAGGTACAGAAGGATAGATGGTTGCTCTTCACTCCTTCGAGGTGCTCGCGCACGGTCTGTTACCGGTCTTCTTACGTATAGACTTTGGATATTCTTTCCCGGAGAGTAGCCAGATGGAGCAACCACCATTACACGCACAGAGAGACTAGCCCAAGTCTCGAGCCGTAAGTGTCGTTAACAGCCCCCTTGTATTGAAAACCTAGAAGGTTGTTCGACAAAATAGAATGTGGCGCAATTTATGAGATACCGCGTAGGGAGGAGGGCTGGGAAAGGCGAGGAGGGGCGAGGAGGGGCGAGAGGGGACATACGTACCGCCTTTCGCGATCTTTTTAAGGTGGGGTTTGATGCCAACGTATGTACGCAGCTCTGCTCCAACTCTGCTCCAACACTCTACCGGAATCCTTGAACATCTCTCCCAACCAGACGGTAGTACCCCTAAAAATCAGTTAAAAGGAAGATCAAGCTATCAGAAGGTCATCGATGGTAAGCACTTGCACGCACGCCGCACCCCTTCAGGCCAAGGCCTTTAAAGACCAACAAGAAAGCTTGCGAGGTTTGCTGTTTCACCAACCGGCTTGCAGCTTGCAGCTTCACCAACCGGCTTGCAGCTTGCAGCTTCACCAACCGGCTTGCAGCTTGCAGCTTCACCAACCGGCTTGCAGCCTGCAGTTTCACCAACCGGCTTGCAGCTTGCAGCCAACCAAGAGCAACAAGCGTCGTCACCATCCGTAATACCTACCTTAGGTACCTGATCAAGCCCAAAATGTCCAAAGAGGGCCACTTGGAGAGAACCGCAAATGAACCCCGTGATCTAGTGTGTCTTGCCTCTTCTATTGGTTCTCTCCATGTCCATGGCCTAGCCCACTGTTGTCCTTCCTCGAACCCCTGAAATACCCCTTTCCCCACTCACTGCTCTATCCCTGTCTTTGCCTCTAGTTTTGGTTCTCTCCATGACAGCGAATTCATGTCAGTCATGTCACTCACATTACATACACATTACACTACCTTTCACATATGCCCAGGAAAAACAAAATCTAAATGAAAAATTGACACAAGTAGTCTCTCAACCGGGTGATAATCCAAAGGATCGACCAAGTCGGCAGCTCGATCCGCGTTTTCCGCCTTCAAATTCCCAACGGAGAAACAATAGCAGTAAGTGAATTTGTTCTAGCTATATAGTTGCCAACTCCCTCTTCATAACAAACACACACACAGACACGGACAGACAACATAGCAACCCCCACCATAAACAAGACTAAACAGCAATAACCACAGTTTCTCCCAGGACAATGGCTCGACGTGTACGTGCCAACAGTAGCCAAGCCCGGCGGGTTCACCATCACGTCGGCACCGTCCTCAGCAGCAGCAGCAAGACGACCAGGCTACCTTGAGCTAGCGATCCAGCAGTCGCCCGACAACGCGCCGGCGGCGTGGCTGTGGCAGCAGCCCGCAGACAAAATCCTCGGCTCTGAGCTCCGCGTGCGCGTGGGCGGGAGTTTCGTGTGGCCGCCGGCACCACCGTTCGAGCCTAGACGTGCAGTGTTCGTGGCGGGCGGCGTAGGGATCAACCCGCTCATGAGCATTCTCAGCGCGCTGGCCGAGAGCAGCCGACGGCGCGCGGACGTGGAGGTCTGCGTGCTGTACTCGGTGAAGATGCCGTCGCCGACGTTGACGGGAGCGATATCGGCCGATGGGATCCTGTTCCTGGACAGGATTGCCGCGCTCTTAGGTTCCACTGCACAACAGCCGCCGCCGCTCAGGGGCGCGCTGGAGTTGTATCTCACTGGGGGTGGGGGAGCGGAGCAGACAGCAGCGCCCGGCAACGGCAGGCAGGAAGTACTGGCATGTAACGGCATTGATGTGCCATTCTCTAGGAGGAGGATTACTGTGCAGGACATAGAGTCCGCGTTAGGCCATGATAAGGAGTCGGCTGTCGTCTACATCTGCGGCGTCCCAGTCATGACGGATGAGTTCGTCAGGGGGCTTTATTCGCTGGGTGGTCTCGGACTAAAGACACATCAAGTTCTTTTTGAGAAGTGGTGGTGAACTACAGAAAATCTTCGCCTACGTCTGATGGCTAGTTGGGGAATTTATTCGCAAGCAAGCTTTCCGTGCCACCTGATGACTCGACTACAAAAACAGAACAGCGAGGCAAAAAGAGAAATACAGGGGTAAAGTTTTATACAGGTGTTGTCGGGTATCTCTGCTCCAAGCTGTGGCAAATAACAACACCTGTTTGACATGGAGACAAATGGCTCTATTCCTACGCGCACCTGACGCCGATGTGTAACCATGTACAGTTCATGCTGTACGCCTCCCAGAACATTGTAAATACCAAAACAAATGACAGCTCATAGCTAAAAGTCGTAATGTCATGGCAAATTCATGGGCGTCTCATAGCATTATAGTGTTTCCGGCTCGGTCAGAAACACCAACAATACTTAGGTGGCACCAGTAAAATGAATGAAAACTTTTCGAATCCGACACTCGTCAGATCCAGTTTCCAATGCTCTCTTGAGTCGGGTTAGTCGCAGGCGGCGACTTGGTTGTTTCCTCGTTCGACGTGGTCTTGAACGTTAGCTTATTTGCTGACTCCCTGGGATTTCATCATCGAAAGCACTAAAAGATCCTGCTTACAATAGTTCTTTCGGGACGAGGGCTCCACATGCGACGTAGAGCCTCGGGTTTCTCCCTCCGAATTGGTGGTGGCGCACGACTTAGCCACTCTAACTCCGACACCTGGGCTGCTGCTCCCCGAGGCCTTTCGTTCTCGGGCTGGTGAGATAACAGGAGGGGCCGCTCGATGCCCACCTGATCCCGCAAGCTCGACTCTTTAGACGGCGTGAATAAATTCAAACCGTGCTCAAAAGCGCTTCCGGTTGTTGGTGCGTAGTGGCCCGGAGAGGGTATCTTTTCGCCGTACGAGTCACCTGAGGAAGGAGGGGAGATTTCATAGTCTGAGACAGAACAATCTTCCATCAGGCCAGACTTTTGCTTTTTCGTTAACACAATATTTGGGGCAGGAACCTGGTGAGCTATCCGAACAATCTGCGCCACTCTGACCTCAACCTCTCCCTCATCAAACGAGTCGTTATTAACGTATTGCTTGAGGGAAGGCGTCAAGGACGGGGCTCGAGAAACAGCGGATGAAGCGGAAGACCGTCTCGAGATGTCTCTCAGCTGGCCTTTCGGCAGTTCAGGCAAAGGCCGCTGAAGATACGAGTCCCGGAATCCGTCGCGGTATCCATCCCGGAGCGCCTTGCTTGGCTGAGGGACGGCCGCGTTAGCTGACGAAGCAGCGAATAGCTCGGGAGGGCTTTTAAGGAAATACTTTGCTGGCCCCTCAACAGACATGACCTTGTAAACATTTCCATCATCGAAAATGGCCTCGTCTGAAGTCTCCAAGCAAGAAGATGGCCCTTCGTTTGAGCGGCTGCAGCCACCGCCCAAACAGTGCTCGCCTCCCATGGCACGTCGGAGTTCAGCGGGTGATCTCACTCGCAGAAGTTCGAGCTCAGTGTCGGGAATCAGGTTTAGTTGTTTGAGGTTGTTCCAGGAGCGGTAGTGAAGCCGATAGGTTGCAAAGGGGGAGTCCCTGGGATCTATCAGGTGATAGTCGTAATAACACGCATCCTGTGGCTGATCCAGGAGGCCAATGCTGGGAGCGCTGATAGTTCCGAGTTAGCATGGCGGCATATTACAGAAGTGGATAGATGGTGAGTGTATAGATACATACGCAATGCCGTAATTGTTCTGGAGTCGAAACTCTTCGGGGTTTGGCGCTCGGGCTCGCCTCTGCTTTGCCCGGAAGACTTGAACCTCAATGAGACCGCCATCTTCGGCCACCGATTTATTCTCTTGGCCGGGCAAGAACACAAAGTTTCTCCCCTCGATCCCAGCCTGGCCATCGTGTCTGGCGCCGGGGGCCCAAAGTGATTTGACAACCCTGCCCTTATTGCGAACAGCAGGGTCTATTCCCCACGCAGCAACAGGGCGGCCATTGATGTACAGCCGAAAGAAGATATACCTGCACGGCGACTCGGGCACACTGTTGACGGTATACTTGATTGCAAATGGCGAGCCTAAAAACAACTGTTAGGTCTGTGAGGGACAAAAGAGATAAACACAGAGGTAATGCTCGCCTGGGATCGACGGCACATAGACTGAGACTATCGGATTTGCTTTGCGGGATGGACCTGGGCTGTGAACTTTGGCGATTCTCGGGCTCGGTGACTGGTCAGACGCAGAGGCGGTGGCGCTGGCCAGGTTCTGGAAGCCGAGAAGGCGCGCCGACGAACCATCTGGGTGCGGGTATTCGGGGATAACCTCGTTTCCAGGTTCTGTCGTCAGCGACACGTCGATGCCGCGAAGACACGGCATCCTAACTACAAGGGACTAACTACAAGTGCACAAAAGTCGCGTGGGTGAGGGAATGGAATCGCGACCGGCGCTGCGGCGTGGAAGGTGAACAGGAAGCGCGACGGGACCTAAAAATTTTCAAATTATTATGGAATTAAAGGTGAAGAAAGGGTCACAAGCCTGGCCTACCCAGGTGGGTGCTTGGGATTAGAGTGAATGCGGGCTGAGAGGGCGGGCTCAGATGATTCAGATGAATTTGAGGAAGGTACGACTTTCATCCTGGTGGATAATGTGTGCCTTCCGACTTCAAGAATCGCCAGCTCATCAAGTTATCTTACTGCTGAGAGATTGAAAACAGAAGCTCCTTCTAATACATGGCTTTCTCGAGTCTGTGGAAAACAGTTCTTGGGCCAATGGGTAGAACTGAAAAGGGGGTGTGGAGGGTAGGTAGATGTATTTCAAGGAGGATCACGGGATCTGCGAGCTCCCTAGCAACGCCGAGAGATTCTGGCACCCCGCCAAACCCATCACGAGTCCAGAGCTCAATCCAGCCCAAGATGATGACGGCCAAGAGAGCAAAGAAATATACACAGAGGAAGGGGGTTCGTGCTATTTTGCCTATCCATCTAGCTTCCACCCAGTACCTTCTTCGTGTCCTGCTCCTGGTTCAGCAGTCCAAGGTTTCGTATTTGACCCGCCGTCGGAGGAGCTTCTCTGACCCCTTCCGCCTCGGCCTTTCTATATGCGGTTTGTACCGCCGCGACTCTGGCCGCCTAGGTAGCGATCGAGTTAGCAAGGATCGCCAGCTATCGCACTCTCCTCGCGGGAGCTTGGGGCGGTCGCCAACCTCTTTCTTGTGATGCAGGCACTCATAATAATCCTCCAGTGCGGGCGCGCACTTCTTCCTTCCCGCGGTATCCTCCGAGGACGAGTTGACGACGTAGCATGCAAGCATCTCCTGCCAGAAGGGGAAGCACCGAGACGGTCCTGTCAGACAATTGTGAGCTTCTCGTGCCAGTTTCCCGCCGAGGCGGATGCCATTGAGTGGTGTAGCTAGACTCACCGCCGTTCAGGCCGTATCCTGACGACATGGTGGGCCACGCAGAAGCTGATTCGTGGTGTGGGCGGAACAGTTGTCGTTGGAACGTCACGATCGTCGTCGGGGAGTGAGGCTCAATTCAACGCAAACATCTTGGATTGGAGCTTCACCCGTCGTCACTGGGGGCAGAGCGCCACAGCGGGTTCTCGGCAAGCCACACAACCCAGCCCCACCTCAGCAGCGGAGCTAATCAGTTGGCGTGTTAGTCCCCTGTCGCTGGGAAAGGCATGACCACAGCATGAGGAAAGCTACTAGTGAACACATGCCCCCACGCATCGACATTGCCCTGGATTGTGCCGAACACCACGAAGTACTAAATGCGCCACAACTTTAGCTCTCGAAGCTTACAACCGCACAACCGACCTGGAAGTGCGCTCAAGGCCATGAAGCTGGTCACCACGACAACCCAATAACTGTGTGGACATTTTGCTACGATTAATCGAAAAGACAATGGCTCTGGTGCTTTCGCCGCCCAAGCTTGTTCTGCTCGCCGTGCACTTCGCGGTCAAGGCTGACATCGACAGCTTGACGGCCCTCGCTGCCCGCCATGGCACCCTCCTCCGCAAAGACCTGCTGCTGCGCATCGCCCTCACCTATCTCCCCGAGACCCTGCTATCGCAAGCTTACGTCGGCTTTATCGAGCAGCTCGAGACGGGCGCGTTTCCAGACACAATTGCCCAAGACATCGACTGTTCGGCTGTCGACGCTCTGACCGACCCGCAGGCCACCAAGAAGCTCCGGAAGCTTCGCCTACTCCCCTTGGCCTTCCAGGACGCCCCTGAAGAAGCTGCCGACGATTATACTACACTTTTTCTCCTGCGAAGGTCGTACAGGGTAGATGAGGAGGCGGGCCTGTTGGACGAGCTCCCCACCCTGCTGATGCCCTTCCTCGACCACTCGCCCTACATTCGAACTTTGATGGTGTCTATCATTTTGCCGTTACTGAGGCGAAATTGCGAGTACCACCCGCAAGATCCCATCGCATATACCCTCTTAGGCTTTGAACAGCTACCGGACCGCGTTGCTGTGAATCTCCTCCTGTCGCAAACAGGTGTCCGCGAGGCAGATCTTGCCCTAGTGGGCCGTGATCTAAAAGGTCTCATTGGCCCTTGGCTTTTTAACGAAAGAAGGTGGAAAGACAGGAAAGAGAAACTGGGCGACCCCAGCGGGCCCGAGCTACTAGAGGAGGACGAGACAGACGTGGGACTCTTTCCAGGGTGGGAACAAGTCCTGCAGTGGCTCACAGCGCAGGCGTCGAAGACGTGGAAGGTCGCCGTAAGCGCCGTTGAGCAGTGGGATGGCCCGGGCGACGTCGACCTTGGCGGTTGGGGCGTGATATGGCTGGGAGACGAGGAGCAGGACCATCTAGAGAGAGGTTACGCGCGGGCCGCGCTGGCGTCTGCCTACCTCATCCCCGAGGCTTCAGCGGAAGCGCTCGAAGGAGCGTACCGTATTGTCGCCAAGATTGCGGGCCTGCTCGACCAGGACCCCTTGCCCCCAATGACAACGGCATTGGCAATACTGCCACCTCTGGCAGATCAGATTACCAGCACCATCCAGTCGGCCAAGAATGCGACATATATGCGCAACGATCTCCTAGGTGCATCAAACATACTGACCTCGCCAAATAAATACTCTGTAGCTTTCTTACAAGCAATCATCCTGAGCGCCGCCCTTCTCGCAAAACTTGGCTCCCCATGCACGGTGAGGAGGGCTGGCGAGCTCGCCTTGCTCCAGGACGAGCGGGAGCAAAAGGCCGAGGCTACCAAGCTCATTCACGCGCTTGGGAACAACGGCCCCAAGACAGACGACAAGTTCTGGATCAAGACTAGGAATGAAATATTATGGCTTCGGGATTGGGGGGCCGATGACGTCTCGTCTTCCCAAGAACCTCTTTCAAGCGGGGTCTTCAGCCAGCTCAAGAAGGAGTTCCTAGAGGTCGAGATTCTAAAAGTCCTGCTCTCTAATACGCGTATGTCTAGGCCATATTCCGTACAAGACAAGTCTCGCTGACGAACTCAGGTTACACACTGGCGCGGTCTATATATGAAGACCCCCTAGACAAACCCCTGGCACAAGGGCTCCTCCAAGACACCATTTTCGCCACCGCAATGATTGCATATGATAATGCTTCCAATCCCAATCGTGCTCGTGGTGGGCTGAAGAAGTGTGATGACATGTGAGTGTGGCCAGCCTTGTATTCTGTGACTTGACTAACGTCATGTAAGAATCAAAGCATTTCCAAAGACTGTAGACAAGTCCATGGTTGCAGCGCAAAGATTGGAGGCTCTGCTTCAAGCAACCCACGCGTTAAGCGAGTACCGTCTTGTGCTCAAGCAAGGCGAGCCATTCACCCCCATCGTGCTACGGGTCCACACGGATCCCATCTCTATCGTCGGCAAGATCCTAGAGCAGAACCCAAAGAGCTACACGAGGATCCAGGATCTTGTCAATCTTGGACACCGCATCGCCCAAGCCGGTCTGACAGCTCACGGCAAAGCCGGTCACAGTACCGGTACGCCGGAGACAGAGGCGGCTGATTGTTTGACTGCCGAAAGTCGCATCACCGCCATGTGCATAGATGCCGCACTGACAGAGGACGATTTTGAGACCGCATACTCATACGTCATCAACCGTCTAGACTCGGCAGCAACAAACGCAGCGGCGAGGCAGCCAGTGAGTAAAGTACCACAGCTGGTCATCGCAGACGATTTCTCTTGGAAAGCAGCTCTGCAGGCCGGCAAGTACCGCCGGACGGCCCGTACGCTCCGACCTACACACCTTGGCACAACGAGCGCAAACCGGGAAATCCGCCACCTGGAGCAGCGCATTGAGTGCCTGGCCACCGCTCTGCGCATCGCCCCCGCGCCTACCCTGCAGGAGATCCTCAACGCCTTCCGCCGCGCCGAGGAGGAACTCGACGCGGCCGTCAAGGCCGAGGCCGAGCAGGAGGACGCCTGGGATACGGCGGGCGACAGCATCAACACCCTTGGGCTGCCGGGCGGGTTCAGCTCGTCGCCGTCTTCGTCCAAGCCTAGCCATGCGTCGACGACGACGAAGCATGCCCCGTCGTCTCGCCGTAACCAGGTCGAGGAGGCGCCCATGTCGCTGTTCGATCTGTCGCGGGCGAGCGTCATGTCGGCGCAGAAGAACCTCTCGGCCCTGTCGAGTCTGCAGCGCTCTGCTGGGCCCGGTGCGAGGGGTGTTAGCGGTGGTGAGTTGAACGCCAGCGCAAGTAGCGACGGCGAAGACGGGCCGCAGAAGGGGGAGCAGAAGAGAGCCCGCAAGCGAGACCAGCTCAGGGAGGCGGCCATGGGGACTTTGGTGTCCGGCGTGGGCTGGCTGATCAATGCGCCGAGCAATGAGCGGGAGTGAGGTGTTCTTTTTGATAGGCCATTGATTGGTTGATGATCGAAGTCGATATTTGTAGCAAGGCTGTATTTACTTATATATCCCCCAATACCTTGCTCGTCCCTGAATAGGTAGAGCGTTGTTCGGTCGTATTGGAACGATGATGAACGGCAGCTAGACACGAGTAATGGCCATTATAATACATGCCAGCCTGCCTGTCATAATCACCACAATTCCCCCCCCCATCCCCTTCGAATGTTTCTTTCGTATTTTGATCTGATCTCACATATATTTTCTTTCGTCCACTCTAGGAGCGACTTCCACAGTTAGATCTATTACCAAGGAAAATGGCTTATATCCATCACTATGCACACCTTAAAATGAACACAAATTAAGCATTTGCCCGCGTTACAGCAAACCCCCAAATAATTGAACGGCACCGACAGAGCCATACCAGCGTATTTTCTTGTACATGTATTCTCTTGCGCCGGTAAGGACTCAACAGGTCTAGTGATTGAGCTTAGGGGTTAATCTGCATAACCCTAACCCTGGACAGCTCTTAAGGTACGGATTGGTACCACCATTTGTCTCGCCCCGCGGTGTGTCATCCAGTTCTCCCCCGCGATAAGTTCTGAACCGCCATCCTCGATCGACCGAGCCCTTCTTTTTTACCACAGCCACCCAAACACGAGAAATACGCAGCCAGCAACATGTCTGAACGAAAGGTGCTGAGCAAATACTACCCGCCGGACTTCGATCCGACGCGGGTCGGTCGGACGCGCGGGCTGAAGCAGGTTGGCCCAAAGGTGCAAACCGTGCGCCTCATGGCGCCCTTTTCAATGCAGTGCACATCCTGCGGCGAGGTTCGTTTCTTCTCTCTGCATGTGGCGGATGCTAGACCAGCCTGGCTAACTGAATCTGTCAATAATAGTACATGGTAAATACCTTCCCCTGCCTTTGCCGGTCTCAGGCGCGGCGCGCGCGGTGAGTGAGGAGCGCAGGAGCTTTCTTTTACTGACCCTCTCTCCCCCGGTAGTATCGCGGGCGCAAGTTCAACGCGCGGAAGGAGACGCCGCCCGACGAGCGCTACCTCAACATCCAGCTGTACCGGTTCTACATCCGCTGCACGCGGTGCTCGGCCGAGGTGGTGTTCCGGACGGACCCGCGGCGGCAGGACTACGTAGTCGAGAAGGGGGCCAAGCGCAACACGGAGCCGTGGCGTCGGGGCTTGGAGGAGGAGATTGAGGAGAGCGACGAGGCGCGGCTCGACCGCATCGAGCGCGAGATGGCCGAGGCCGAGGGCCAGGAGGAGCGCAACGCCATGGCCGAGCTCGAGTCCAAGACGGCCGACGCCAAGCGCGAGATGGCCGTCGCCGACGCCCTCGACGAGATCCGCAGCCGCAACGCCCGCCTCGAGCGCGCCAGCCGCGACGGCGTCGAGGTCGAGGTCGTCGTGCCCGAGGACGAGGAGCGCCGCCGCCAGGACGAGGAGGACGCCGCCGCCGCCCGCCGCGCCTTTGCCTTTGCCCGGACCCAGGAGAAGCTGGAGGAGCTCATATTGGACGACGTCGAGGAGGAGGACGAGTGGGGTGGTTACAGGGTCAATATCAAGATGGAAGACGGCGCCGGAGGCAGCAGCAGCAGCAGCAGTGGTGGGCCGTTTGCAGGTGGTCCCTCAAGTCTCGTCAGCCCAGGCGCAAATTCGAGTACCAACGGGGCCAGTGGCAGCACCCCGGTAACAAGCACAAAACCAGCCGCCTCAACAGTCTCGACAGATATGCCCCCGCCAAGCTTCAAGCGGCAGATCAAGAAGAAAAAGGACCACTCTGCTTTATTAGGCATCAAGAAGAAGGGTGGGTAGGGGACAAGGGACTGCGTAACTTCTTTTTGAGGTGAAATCAGAACACTACTCTGAGGTATATACGAATGCAATTGCAGCGCGCGAGCTTTTTTTATATACCGAAAAGCCAACACACAAGACACCCCACAGTACGTTCGTTATTTTACCCCTACCACGCGTTAGTGCATGGCGACGTTATCATATATCACGTCCAGGGACTGAAAGTAATTTGATGGTGCAGATATAAATGGTGTTATTTTCACCCTCGGCGGTAGAGAATTGAATAGTCATTCAGTCATGATCCCGGGTTTGGCAATATGTCATTCCTCAGCGCCATCCAGACTGCCCAACCGGAGAGAAATAGAAGAAAAAAAACATCCCATACACATGTATACCCCCTCCGGTGTAATAACCCATTTCCCAACACACCGATGAACCACCCCCTCCCCCTCCCCCCCCCAAAAAAAAAGTCATTACGCCATGCTGTTATGTTTTCATCGCAATAAACTCCCCTCAAAAAAACGCAACCCACCTAATAGTGGTAATGATGCAAGTGTTTCCACGGAAGAAGAATAGAAAGAGAAAGGGAAAAAAGAAGAAAAAAAGAGGAAATGCCGAATAAAGAGAGGGAAGAGAGAATTCCCTCCTCCTCCCAACGTTGACGCTACTAATTGCCGGTTTTGTTTGTTTCGCCCGAACAACGCTAATGGTTTGGTGTCTCGGTTATACGTCATAACTTTGACAGCCCAGCCCGCCTCGCCCCCTCCATCGCTTCGGGTCATGACGACGAGACACTCAGGCGTCATTGTGGCGGGCGTTTCAATCACCGATACTTTTCGGTAGCGCTGACGGAACCCCACAAACACATATCGTCGGCAATAGGAGGTTTCAGGGAGTTTTTGTCGACCAAATATTGGGGGAAAGGGGGATCGCAAAGCAAAAGGCTGAATGCTTGGAAAAACAGCTCCCCCCTCTCTGTCCGAGCAACCAGACATCAACCCCCAGGGGATGTCAGGATCTTCTTTTCTTCGAGGAAAAGTCTAGGACTGATAACTGCCCATGCGGTTCCGACTGCTGGACACGTCGTTGGGCAGCGGCGACGGCCCTGATGCTGTTGTCGACGAGTCGGTGCTCTGGCCTCGCCGGAGCGATGACTGTGACGCCGCTTCCATTTGCCGCTTGGTGTGTTGGTGCATGGTGCGCGAGTATGAGCCGAGGTCGGCCGGCGGCGGCGGAGAGACCGATCCGAAGGGATTCGGCGAATATGTGTCTTGGCTAGCAGGCATGTTTACGGGTGTGAAGGTTGTGAAGAAGTCGGTTGATGTCTGTAATGAGAAGAGTCCGAGAGCCTGCTTGAAAGTGGTGCTTGTGCTTATGCTTGTGTGTGTGGGTGTGTGGGTGTATTTGGTCTAGCTAGATGCAAAGAGGAAATGGAATAGAGAGAAAACGCTCGTTTGGATATGTAGTGGAAAGCTAGTAGAGATACGGGGGCACTTAAAAAGATCGGTGGACAGCTGATGGGACAGGATCTGTACTTATAAGCGGAAATCGGAAGGGGGCAAGCCTGCCTGGGCCTAAAGGGAAGTCTATATCCCATAAGGCGGGCGCTTGTTCGAGCTAGGGGTGTGTAAGGGCGTGTGCATTGGGGTGCGTGTGCGCTGCGGGTGCTGCTGGCTTCAGTTTGATGGAGCAGTCGACGGAGAGCAAGAAGGATATTCCCCCGTCTCCCCGTGGTCCCGCATTGGGCACTAGCCCTTGCCTCACATCTGGCTCTCCGGTCTGTCAGACCCCGAACCAGAACCAGTATCCCAATCTGAAAGCGGCATCTCATCCCGCTAGCATCCAGAGTCCAGACCGACCTACGAGGCGATTGTGAGGCCATTTTTGGCACTGCTACCCTCCGAGCAGCACGCTTGCCTCGTTCAAAGACAAGATCGACAATGATGGACACCGTTGGAGCATGGGGCAGACGGCTACACGATATGACGGGCGGGCCCAAGTGGTAGTTCCTATGGAAAGGGGACGCGGGAAAAATAAGGGTCCTTCTACTTCCGTTCCCGTGTGTTTGCTTCTGAGGTCTTTTTTCTTCTACCTCTCGTCGTCCAACCACACAGTGGCCGAATCACAGAAAGCGTGGAGAAGAGAAAGGATCCATGCAGAAGAGAGATGGCATCAGAGGTGTGAGTGGAGTGCCAGTGGCGGCGCAGAGAGAGGAAGCGGGAAAGTGGGCAGAAGAGGGGACGACGGAATAAAGACCATGCCGGGAATGGCAAGACCCTGCTGATCACGAAGGAAACGGGGTGAGAAAGGGAAAAAATGGCATGGGCAATCGTGGTGTGGTCAACCAGGACCCCATCGTCTCCCATTGCTCTTCCCTTTTCTCTCCAGGGGCCGCCCTTTCCCATTGAGGTTGCCTTGCGCCAACCTTTTGGCGGCGAGACCGCCTGAAACACAAAACACTTTTACGGCCTGCTCAAGTCTCCACAGTGGCCGTCATACCGTGGCGAGTGGTGACGGTCGATGCGGACAGGGTTGGTAAAGCTCAATCAGGAGACATTCGATGCGCCCATCGTCAGAGACTTTGCCGACGGGTCCATCGATGACAGCAGGAAGCGGCGGAGGAAAAAAGTGTATGTTGTTTCTATGGTGCCTCTCTTCTCTTTTTTCTCTCTGAAGGACCGAGTGCCGAGTACTATGTACAGTGAAGTGCTGGGATGCCGAGGATGACAACGGGGACGATATTAGCAGTTGTGCATACCCTATCTCCATGTAAGGAAGTGATGAGCCAATTGCCTCCAATGATGTCAATGGTTGGACAGTGCCCTCGAAAGCGGGCTGGACCCTGGACTGGACCCCTTACTTGGAACCTCCCGCCTCTGCGGCCAAAACCGATGAGACACTTGGGTGTGTGTGTGCTTACCTTAAATATTTACTCTACCTTACGTAGTAGTTCTACGCATGTCGAATAAAAATACTACCCAGGCAGGTCCGGGGTGGTTGGATCGATAGCCGACATGACTTAATCATTATTTCGGCACGAGGCTCGATAATGGGAGTGTAGTCCTGGAGAGGTTACACGTCGCTGTGGTACAGTACGGTTCACGTACATTAGTGTGGCCCCTTCGTTGCTGACTGCAAGCAGGCTGCCTGGTTTGCCAACGCGGCGTGGTTGGCTGGATGCGAGAAATACTTGCTGCCCTGCAAAAAGTTGGCAGACAGACTGGTCTGGGCCCTTGCGGTTGCATGGTCTTTGGGGAGGGGTGTGGTCGCGGGCGGCTGCGAAACATGGCATTTTCATGTTTACCCATTGCCCATGTGAAGCTATTTTGGACCCGGCCGTCGTCGGCAATCAAGTAATTCCCATCTGAACCCTGCTAGCATCCACGGCAATCTTGAACCCCTTCGTTCCGGCACTAACAGACTAAATCAGCAATACACACTGTGTTGTACTTTATTGTAATTGAATTAGCTTGTAGTCGAGAACCAAAAAAAAAATAGAACGGGGCGCTGGCCTGAATGACGGAGTTGGTATCCTAGTCTAGACAACAGAAGCAAATAATGAACCCAAAAGGATGAGAGGCGCAAACGAAGAGGCTCTGAAGATTGACGTTGTTTTTCTGCGCCAAAGAACCGGGGTACGGGACGATTGCGACACAATGACATCAGAACGATCCCTTCCCAAGAGCCCCTCACCCAACAAGAGCACCCACCCACCCCAACCTCCGTCAACCCACTATAGCGAATGCCTAGAACATTGGATTCACCATCGATGCGCGCAAAACAAAGAGAGATAAGCTCATCTTGCAGAAGACTACTGGCTCCGAGACTCTGGCTAGGAAAAGAAGAGTCCCCTAGGGGCAGAAAGGTTCTGGAACTTGTTGATGACGAATGATGATGAAGAGGAAATCCGAATAAGTCGAACTCGTTACTTCAACCTACGTACATATTCTCATCTAACTCAGGGGTCAGAGTCGGTGACAATATCCGTGACGCAGAGTCCTGGCTACCTACACGTGTGGCTCCGCCTCCCCGTAAGCTACGCCGCGGGCTAGCAAATATACACACTACAGCGTTCTCGTATGACTCCACACGTCAGGGCGGGCCAGGAACGTCGTCATTGAGGACTTGGGTCTGCAGCAGCGGCAGAGCGGCGGGCATGTCGTGTCGTGGCATGGTTTCTATTCCCTCTGCGGCTCTAGGAGCGGTCTGCCTGCCAAAACTCAATCATAAGAACTCACCCAGTTGCAGATATCCAGACGGAACGAGGACCAACAAAAGCCCGCCTTGGCGAATAAGGAACGGATACGTATTACGTATTGCATCTGCGCCAACGCCCTATGATGTATGCACTAATATAGGGGCCGCTCGCCCCCGATCTACAGGATCTGCACAGTCGTACGTGAGGATCTCGACAGCCACCGGCTGGGCTCACCTCGGCACCGAAAAGAGTGAACCTTAACAACGGGCAGGGCTTTAACTAGCTTGGTGTCACCAAAGCCGAGACGACGTCAACACGATTGGCTCCCTTAGTAGGTATCTGCCGCACCCTTATACTAATCTCGGAGTCACGACGATGGAGTTGCAATGCTGCTGTGATGCTGGTGCGGCTAAGCCCCTGAAGGACGGGGCCTCGACGGCGGCGAAATGCTCTATTTCGTCATTAATCCTCCCCTACCCCATCAGAATAATACTCAAACTCGCGAGGCACAGTCGTAGCGGGAATGCCGTCAGCGTTGCCCCTATCGTCGGCATCCGCCTCGCGCTGTAGAGTAGCCTTGTCACTTGCCGTGTGACGTTTCGTATCGTCATAGGCACCAGCAGCGGGCCCATTACCACCCGCGCTCTCCGACGTAACACGCTGGCCTCTCAACAGCGCCGTCATGGCCTGGGCCCATTCCCAGGGCTTCGCCCGCCCGCCGGGCAGGCTGTTGAAGTATTCCCAGCCCATGACGCCGCCGAAGCGGGGATGTCGTCCCGCAAGCAAAGGTATGACGGTCGAGAGGGCGCTCCAGGGGACGTAGCCGGAGCCGTTTTCCGGGTTGGTCACGAGGCCCACCACGATCTTGTCGGGTCGCCAGCCCCGGAGAAGCAGCGTCTCATACATGGCCGGGTTGCTGCAGTCGCCCCACCCGCAGTAGAACTGGGCATTATAGAAGGCGATCTCATGGCCCCGCATCACTTCGAGCGCCTCGTAGTCGAAGCCGCTGAGGTTGTGCTGGGCATTGAGCAAGGCCGCTGCGACGGGAGCCAGCGTGATGACGAAGCCGGGGCCGAAGTCGGCGCGCAGCCGGTCAATCAGGCGGATGATGCCCGCCAGCGACATGGGCTCCTCCACGTCTAGGTCGAGGCCGTCGAGTGCCCGCTCGCGCACGACGTCAGCTAGAGGGCTGTAGTAGCGCTCAAAGGTGGCGGCATCGCCGTCGAGCCGCTCGTACGAGCCCTTGGCGGCGCCGCCCAGCATGCCCAGCACCTTGATGCCGGCGGCCTGCAGGACTCTCAGCTCGGCCCACAGCGTCGTGAAGCGCGGGTGCGACGGGTGGTGGTCGTTGAGCGTCAGGGCGGCCGGGTCTTCGTTGAGGTGGATGGCGGCCAGCATCAGGTGCGTCAGCTTCACGCCCGCCTGTTGCAGCAGCGGCAGCACGCTGATGTGCTTTCCCTCACCGTCATGGTGCGTCTGGTAGTACGTGATGATGCGGGGAACATGCTGGTGGGGCAGGGGAGGCATCTCTTTGGTGACCTTGTCCGCTCGCCCTTTAGACACCAAGAACAATAGTAAATAAGGCAGGTGCTGTAAGGCAGGTAAGGTAAGGTAAACGAAAGACGGGATTTGGAAACCTTAGTAACTGGGCACCCAAGGTAAATAGAAGGTTCTCTGGATCAAGGAAAGTATCACAGCGTGGGACCTCGACAGGCAGCGACAACGGGCCTCGAAGGACTGCAAGCCCAGCGTAGTGTTCACTGAGACCCTCACGATGAAGTGGCATTGCAGTGTAAGACAGGCACCAGTATCCAAGTGTGGTTTCATGCAAGGCCCAGCGTGGTGTGTTCGAAAGACTACCACCAGCTGCAGCCAGCTGCAGCCAGCTGTCGATTGTATGCGCAGTTACACGGTACGCACTTGGCGCCTCTCCCCACACCATTCACGCACGCCCAGTGTCCCCCCCTCACCTGAGCTCGCGTTTCCCCGCCTCAAACGCAGCGCGTCCCGCATTACACCATCAACTCGGCAGCCGCGTTGGGAAAAAAAGCAGTTACATACCTTATTCAATTGAGCAGCCTTGGACGTGTCTGCCCCAGGGCATGAATCCTCGCCGCTATCGCAATTGTAAATTTTGCGTCTAGCTAGGCTAGCTCGACTATCCATGGATCTGGTTGCAACGATTTCACTGGCGCACTGCTCGGCGAACAGGTTCTCGACGGCTCGACGGAATACTCCGTACCTACCTTAGATAACAAGCACTGGAATCTAAGCTACCTTAACTCAGGTGGACAGGTACCTTAGTTTGTCGCACAACTCGCTTCTCATCCCATCAATTGCTGCAGCAGATTTGCACTTGTTGCCAGGAAAGTCTAGAGACAGGTCCAATCCAGATCCAGATACACACCAGATACGAATACACGGATGAAGACGCGCAAGAACCCACGATGGCCTCGTCACAACCCAACATGGAGAAGTTCCTCCGCGACTGGCGCCAAGACGCCCTCAACAAGGCCCAGTATGATTCCGCCATCTTCATTGGCGACAAGCTGCTGGCCATGACAAGTATGTATGCGACGCCCCGACCACCTTCGCACTTACTGAGATTGCGTTTTCTAACCTTTCCTCCCCTTGCGTAGAAGACGATAAGGATGCTTTCTGGCTGGCCCAGGTCCATTTTGCTGCCGGCAACTTCACACGCGCCCACGCACTGCTCGCTAAGCAAGACCTGATCGGCTCTAATCCCGCTTGCCGCTATCTCGCCGCTCACTGTTTGATCCGTCAGAACCACTTCACCGACGCGCTGTCGCTGCTCGGCGAGCACTCCCCAACCCATCTCTTCACCGCCAACGCCAAGCGGAAGACGGCACGGAGCAATGGCCGGCACGGGCTCTCGAGGCTGGGCTCCAAGGCCTCCGACCCCCTGGATCATGGCGGCGATGCCTCGGCCGAGGAGGTGTCCAACCGCCGGTACGAGGCCGCCATGTGCCACTTGCGCGGCCTCTGCTACTCCAAGCAGAACGCATTCGACCGCGCCAAGGAGGCCTACAAGGACGCGCTGCGTATCGACGTGCAGTGCTTCGAGGCCTTCAGCCAGCTGGTCAAGAACTCGCTCATGTCCCCCGACGAGGAGGACGAGTTTATGCAGTCGCTCGAGTTCAGCTCCATCAAGGCCGCCGGCGACGACCCGGACATGGAAGACGAGCCGGCCGACTACGTGCGCATGATCTACCAGACGCAGCTCTCAAAGTACCGCAACCCGCGTGCCTTCAACACGGCCATCGAGTCTCTGTCCACACACTACGGCCTCGCCCAGAACGCCGACATACTCCTGGCCCGCGCTGACCTGCTCTACACGCAGTGCCGGTTCAAGAACGCGCTTGCCATCACCGACACCATCCTCGAAGACGACAAGTACAACTTCGCCGTCTACCCGGTACACCTGGCCTGCCTATACGAACTGCGCAAGACCAATTTACTCTTTCTCATTGCCCACGAGCTGGCCGACACGCACCCGGACGAGCCGTGCACGTGGCTCGCCGTCGGCATCTACTACTTTGTGACGGGCAAGATTGCTGACGCCCGGCGCTTCTTTAGCAAAGCCAGCATGATGGACGCCAACTTTGGCCCCGCGTGGATCGGCTTTGCCCACACCTTTGCGGCCGAGGGCGAGCACGACCAGGCTGTCACGGCCTACTCCACGGCCGCGCGGCTGTTCACCGGGACTCACCTGCCCCAGGTCTTCCTAGGAATGCAAAACCACGCAATGAACAACATGACGGCGGCCGAGGAATTCCTCCGGACAGCCTACCAGCTCTGTAAGACGGACCCGCTGCTGCTCAACGAGATGGGCATCGTCTTCTACCACCAGGAGCGCCTCAAGGAGGCGACCCAGATGTTCAGGCAGGCGCTCCTCATTGCCGACGAGATGGACAGCGACCCGCTCGCCTGGCTCGGCGCCCGCATCAACCTCGGCCACGCATACCGCCGCATGCGCATGCACGACGAGGCCCTCGACGAGTTCGACCAGGTGCTCCGCGACGGCGGCAAAGACGCCGCCGTCTTCTGCGCAAAGGGCCTTATCTTCCTCGACAAGGGCCTCGCCGACGAGGCCGTCCGCGTCCTCCACGAGGCCCTGGCCATCCACTCCCAGGACCCCATCGCCACCGAGCTCCTCAACAAGGCCCTCGACGAATCGGCCGGCGCCGACCTCGCCCTGCTGCCCGTCAACGGCGGCGACGACTTCGCCGACATCGACCGCTTCGAGCAGGAGCTCGAAGAGCGCAAGTTCGCCGCAAAATCGCGCCTCGAGTCGAAGACCCGCGCCGCCGCCGCCGCCGCCGGCAGGAGCGGCAAGGGCAAGGCCGTCGCCAGGTCGTCGGCGAGGCACGGCGGCTTGAACTTTGGCAGGCCGACTCGCGACGAAGACAAGGGCGGTGGCGGCGGCGGCGGCAGTCTTATGGAAATGAGCGACGACGAATAGGAACGGGGGCGTTTTTTTTTTAACGTGACGAAGTATTTCTTTCCTCCCTCGTAATGTCTTTCCCAATTAGAAGTTTTTTAGGAGGGGTTTTTTTATCATTCATTTTTCGTTTTTGTCTTTTTTGCATTCCATGGAAAGACAAACAGGGGTTTAAGGGTTTTCGATATATATAGTATATATACCCATGTGCGCGCGCGTGTGTGCGTTCTCCTTCTCACGTTTTGGGTGTCGAAAACATAGCGGGCTTTCTTTACAAGTTTCAAATGAGAAAAGGGGGTTAATAAGGGGGCGAGTGAAAAAGACGGGGGGGTAGGATTAGGCTAGATAGATTATATCATTAGATAGAGGGTTTCTTATCGAGGGTTATTTTCCCGGCCTGTTCATGGAAGCGCGCGCGCGCATATTCATATATGTCTATTATTTGGTGCGCTTCATGTGCCCTGAGCGAGAACTTTGATCCTGTAGTGAGTCGGCCGGTACGACTCTGTCGTGATGAGTATACGCCATTTATTTCACCTTGGCAATTGACCAGACTGTGGAGGTGGTCACTGCTAGTAGACAAAAGAAAACATCTCGAAAGAAAATTACGTTATAACTTTTTGTGACATTTATCTCAAATCAATACGGAGTATGCTATCCGGCAATCGCAGCGATTGGCTGAATGTAAAAAAAATAAAAAATAAAAAAACTGCTCCTCCTGAAAGTCGCTATCTATCTTGGGGGTATCTATCTATTTCATCAATCGCCTCGAATGCCCACCTCGAGCATCTCCGCCAGCAGGTCCCATTTCCCAGCCGCCTCGTCACGGCTCGCCCTGCCCACGCCGCGGAGCCCTCCCGCGACGAAGCGGAGATGCCGCTCGAAGTCGGCGTGCATCTCGCCCAGCGCCAGCGTGTACGGCTTGCCCGAGACGCCGGCAGCGGCTCCTTTCCCTACGACGGACCCCCAGTCGGGCTCCCGCTCGTTTCTGTCCTCTTCGTCGTCGTCGTCGTCCTCCTCCTCGACCCGGCGCACGGCCTTTTTTCCTTTGGCCGGGGTCTTGACGGGCGAGGACATGACGGACAGCCTGGAGATTTCCTGGTCCTCCTCGTCGTTCCTGGCCGTCTCTGCGCGGCGCATGTCCTCGACCCTGAGCGCTAGGTCGAACACGTCTAGCATGCAGTCGTGGATCGGCTGCAGCTTGGGGCCCTGCAAGGACTCGTTGACGACGCGGGCAACGAATTCGGAGTGCACGGTGATCATGTCGTCGACATCCGCGGCGTCGCGAAGTCCCTGCCGCAGCCTGTCGGTGTTTGGCGCCAGCACCAGCGTGGTCAGGTAGGCCATGACGGTGTTGCAGAACCACAGCAGCTTGGACCGCAGCGAGTAGTAAGAGCGGGCCAGGTGGTCGTTGGCCGCGCCTCCGCCGCCGCTGCTTATGTGGGATGAGGAGCTGAGGATGGGATGCTTGAGGACGAAGAAGGCCCTGCGGGCTTGGAGCAGAAAAGTGAAAATGGCCTGGTAGCCCTGCACGCTCTCTTCTGAGATGACGATCTGGACCGGCCAGTCTAGGCGATAGATGAGGCGTATGGCGGGGAGGCTGAAGCGGACCGATGACCGCGAAGCAACTGCGCTATGGGGCAGGCCGCGCGGGCTGATCTCGGCCGAGAGACGGTACGTGTCCACCGAAGACGAGAACGCCTCTTGAGCAATCTCAGTCAACGTGAAGCGGTCTCTCCAGCTTGCGCTAAAGCTGTCTAGGTGTCTGAACACGGCCTCGGCAAAAGCATCAGACCTTGCGCCGTCCGACACCAGGTAAATGGACTGCAGAGCGTCGAGCCCTCTGGAGAGGCCGAAGCCGTTGAAAAGCAGCTCCCGGAGGGTCGCAGAGGCCGTGTGGTGTTTGCTCTGTATCCAGGCGTGGAACCCAGCCCCGAAATGTTCCGAGAAAGGCACGAACTCGAGATGGCCTGGACAGACTGTAGCAAAATCCATCTTCGGCTCTGCCTTGTCCCGCCGATTCCTCGCAGATTCATGGTGTTTCAGATGTTTCAGAACGACGATACTCTTGCCCGCCGTAAAGATTCGGTGAATCGCAGGCCGGAGAAATCGCGGGGCGTGAAGGTTGCCTTCGGGGGTTCGGCGGAGGTTGAACTGGCTCTGCCAGACCTGGGGTAACGGGGGCCTCGTGGAAGCCTCGGAGACGAAAAAGGTTCGGTCCCCAGGCAACAGCCGGCCCTCTTCCATCCACAGCCGGATTGGCTTCAAATAGATTTGAAGGCAATCGAAGAAGATGCCGCCGAGGAGCTTGTAGGTACCGTCGCTTCCTTCCATTTGGGCCGTGCCGACCGCATCAAATAGCATTTCTAGGTAGCGGAATGCGTGTGCATTCCGCTCTTCTTGAAGCTGGCATACAATACTCGACAAGACATACAGGGGGATCAAAGACGGCCTCAGCTCCGGCAGAAGACCTATCAGGCTCACGGGCACGTCTTGCTCGACGGCAACCAAACGGCTCTGGATCGCAGCGAGTTGCCCGTCAAAAGAGCGCAAGGCCCTCTGCAGCGAGTCTTGAAAGACCTGAAGAAGTGGAACGTCCTCTTTCGTCCTGATAAACTTGCGCAAAGGCGCGAGCTTGCGGCCGCATTCGGCGAAGGAGCTTGCGAGGGCCTTGTACGTATCCCAAGACACGCCGGAGAGCTGGTACAAGGGAATAAAATTGCACGTCGAGTTAAACAGAGTCGTTTCCAGCCCGCCAAGCATGAACAGGGCCTCACGCAGCAGCTGAGAAGTCGTGATGGGCGTCTTATTTGAGCGGCCGTCTGCGCCGGTTGCAGGGGCGGCATCTCGCCATGCCTGGCTCTCGCGGACCTGGTCGAGCAACAGCTTGCCTCCAGGCGGGTTGATCACCAAGTCCTGGGCGGTGCTGCGGTAGCCGTCAGGGACGGAGGAGGCACTGGTGAGCGACTCGAAGGAGACGGCCGACCGGGCGTCGTCCTGGTCATCTTCGTCCGAGCTGGGAGAGTAGTCGATATCGCGCCAGAGGGCGCGGTCCTCGTGCCAGCCTTCTTCCCTGGAAATGTCCTTCCAGGTTAGCTTATACAAGGAATCAGCTTGGGGGGCGGCGAGGCGCTCCAGGTCGCTGAGCTTTGAGTTGTGGGTGGGCCGGTCCGAGAGCTCAAGGATGAAGTGCAGAATGTCAGGCGTGTGCTTGTCCTCGAAGGGTTCCAGCGCACGCAGGCGCTTGCTCAGGGCCTTGGCGAGAGCATCGCGGCCGACGACATGGAAGCGCTCCTCGAGTCCGTTGAGCCGGTCTCGGACCTCAAACTGGTTCGTCCTAAGAAAGTTATGGTGCCGGAGAGTGCGCAGGGCTGACTCGCGGGCAGCACCCAGTCTCTCAGGCGCCGACCCGGGAAGGGTCGCGACAGCAGCGATGAGCTCGTCAGTCAAGGCGCCCAGCTGTTCGAGGTATGCCATGGTGCTGCAGCTGCCTCGCAGGGCCGGGCTTTCATTCTGCTTGTACAGACACTCCTTCCGTAAAAGGCCCCCAATTGAATGTAGACGGCGACTTGTGGATGTGGATGTGAATGTGACTGTGAATCTCCTGCATGCACTGTACAGTACGGCTGTTGTTGTGTATACGGATAAGGGGTATCAAAACCCAGGGATCTGTGTGTCGTTCGCTGATAACGACGCAAAGACGCCCGCTCGCTGTAAGAACGCGTCCGGGATACTTTACGCGTCGTTGGAAGGCATGCGACTCAGGATGTGTTCTAGGCGTATGCTGCTGAACGCCCGGATCAATGCAACGGAAGTGACCGCAGACTTTCCGTGCTGAATAGAAGCAACATGTTCTTGTCCGCTGTTTGAAATAAACCGACTTAGGTGGGTATTTTGGAAGTGAACATGTCAAGTTGGAGGTTTGGCTCCATCCGGACATTGAGGTCGAACGCGTATTTACCAGGACACCGGCTGTATGGCCAAAGGCCCCCCCCACTATATCGCCTTATCAGATGACATCAAGCGCGATTGGGCAGGCCCCTTAATTTTTACCCAGGGGCCTGGACCTCCAAGGCCACTGGCCTGGCCCCCGCCCCCCCCACCCCCTGCCCAATTTAGTTCGTCAACGCTTAACAGAGGATCCATCACGGCGGCGGCAGCTAGCATTGTGCGACCAACGCGCCTCAGATTCGGTCGGATTCGCCCCAACGACACCAACTGCATACGTAACGAACAACGGACCACTCGGCAAGGTATTAAACGAAGCAGTCCCGCCCAGACTGACAGCGGCTCGCACCGGGACTGCCGAACACCCGACGTTCACCGCCGCCGCTGCTGCTGACGAAGCTAGGGCTGCACCTCGTCGACGCCGACCATGGCCATCGCTCGCCCCGTGAGGGCGCTGGGGCTGGCGGCCATCCTGATGTGGTTTTTCTTCATCTACCAGATCTTCCACTCGTCGAGCCGTAAGACATACGGCGACCTGCCTCCCCACGAGCGGGATCCCAACATAGACCGTACGCGCGCCTCTCCTCTCCTCTCCTCTCCTCTCCCCGAACGCGACCCCTGGCTTGTCTTGACCACGCACACCCGCTGACATCAGTCCTTGTAACCAGCGACGGGAGAACCCGAGGGCCTCTTAGTGCGCACATCCGACGCGTATGCGCCCAACGCCCAGAAGTCGGCGCGCATCAATGCCACACTGCTGGCCCTGGTGCGCAACGAGGATCTCAAGACCATGGTCGAGTCCATGATCGATCTCGAGCGCACTTGGAACCACAAGTTCAACTACCCGTGGACCTTCTTCAACGAGGTCCCCTTTACAGAAGAATTCAAGCGGAGGACAAGTGCGGCCACAAGCGCCGAGTGCAGATATGGTAAGCACCCCCTTCCCCCTTCCCCCTTTCATCTCGACTCGGAAAGACTGGGAAAAGAAGGATGGAATCAAACACAGGCACACGCTGATACAAGCGCACCTCTTCTCTAGAACTGATCCCCGCCGAGCACTGGGACGTGCCCGAGTGGATTGACATGAACCTGTACAAGGAGTCGGCCCAGATCCTCAAGGACCAGGAGGTGAAGTACGCCGGCATGCTCTCATACAACAAGATGTGCCGGTGGAACAGCGGCCTCTTCTACAAGCACCCGGCCATGAAAGACATGCAGTACTACTGGCGCGTCGAGCCCGAGGTGCACTTCTTCTGCGACGTCGACTACGACGTGTTCCGCTACATGCAGGACAACAACAAGACGTACGGCTTCACCATCAACCTGTACGACTCGCCCCAGTCCATCCCCTCGCTCTGGCCCGAGACCCTCAAGTTCTTGGCCGACCACCCCGACTACGAGCACGCCAACAACGCCAAAGCCTGGCTGACGGACAACCTCCGCCGCCCCGACCACAACAAGAAGGCCAAAGGTTACTCCACCTGCCATTTCTGGAGCAACTTTGAGATTGCCGACCTGAGCTTCTGGCGGAGCAAGACATACGAGGACTACTTCAACCACCTCGACCGCTCTGGCGGCTTCTTCTACGAGCGTTGGGGCGATGCTCCAGTGCACAGCGTTGCCCTGGGGCTCTTTGAAGACGTCAGCCGCATTCACTGGTTTGTTCCCCTCCCAATAATCCTCGGTTTGAATAATCCTCGGTTTGCTTGTTGTCTGCCGCAAGAAACAAACTCTAACAATTTTCCTCTTCAGGTTCCGCGACGTTGGCTATCAGCATATCCCCTTCTTCAACTGCCCTAACTCGCCCAAATGCAAGGGCTGCGTCACGGGCAGGCTGACCGACGGCGAGCCGTTCCTGTACAAGGAGGACTGCCGTCCTAACTGGTTCAAGTACGTCGGCATGGGATAAAAGTGACCAGGATCAGTAATCATGATTACCTATTCATGGCCATGAAGAAAAAAGAAACCTACCCTTTCCAGATCTGCAGCACCCCTTATCGCCCTCCCGTCCTGTCTCTGCACGCTGAGACAGGGAATGCCGCCGAAGAAGAGAAACCGACAAGGGAGTTTTTACAGGACTGCGGCGTCAGCCACCCCTTTTGTTCTTGTTCTTCTTGTATATTCCCCCCGGTACTTGTACTTGTCCTTTGTCTTGTCCTGGTCAGTCATTCCGCGACGGCGTAAATCTTTTCTGCCTGGTTTGCTTGTTTTCTCCATCCTGGGGACAGGGGCTATTTTTGGCTTATTACTCTGGCGACCTAAAGAGTCGGGTCTGCTGGACTGGCTACCCACCTACCTACCTAATTACCGCTTACAACACGATACAACACACACACGGGGCACATGCAACAAACAAATAGATATACGTTGGTTGGTAAAGAGAGAGAGACGGATGTCGGGGACAAGGAATGTAAAAAAAATGGATGGGGACTGCAGGAAATGCGGGTGTCTGGCGCAAGGTTGTCTGCCTGTCTGTCTGTCTGTCTTGTTGGCTTCTCTGACCTTTTCGGCTCTTCTTTTTTTGGGATACCTCCTAGCTATATAACGGAGAAATAGAAGTAAATTCAAAGTAATGGCATGGTTTGAATGTACGCGTTGCAGAGCTCGTTGCTACTGGATGTTTGTCTGTCCGAGACGAAGGTTCCTCGTTAACAAGTCTTAGTTGGGGGAAGTAACAACTGAGCTTGATCAGTGTCTCGAGCTAGCGGGTATGTGGTACCATTGCTCTCTTTCTCCGGCCATTCTCCCTCATCAAGTATGCCGCGGCTATCTCTGCCTCTCGCCCTCTGTCTGCCTGTCCGTCTCAGCTGGGATTCATCTCGTCTCAGCCCTCCCCAAACACGGTGACCACGCCCGACGTCCCGCCGGCGCAGAACTGGCTGCCGAACCCGCCCTCCTTCCACGCCAGGCACGTCACCACGTTCCTGCGCTCCTTCTCCTTGCCGTCGCGCCCCACAACCACGCGCCGCCGGCCCTCGTTGCCATCGCCGCCACCCCCCCACGGCACCGCTAGCTGCGCCACTACCTTGCCCGTCAGCAGGTCCCACGCCCAGATGCGGCCCTCGTTCCTTGCTGCCGGCGGCGCTGCTGTTTCGGTGACCGTCGTCGTGTCGAATGCGGATTCGGATACGGATACGGATACGGCTGCTTCAGCTGTAGGGGCAGTAGTATCGGCGGTTGTCGCCGTCATCTCGTCACCGGCGACGACGAAGCGCTCCTTGCCACCCAGCACGGCCTGGACGCGCAGCTCGTCGTTGCGGCGCGCCGGGTGCGCGTACGTGCGCAGGCAGGCGCCCGTGGCGCGGTCGAGCAGGCGCAGCTTGCTATCCAGCGCGCCGACGAGCACCGTCTTGGCGTCGCGCGCGAGGCACAGACTCGCAACACTCGCGGGCAGCACGTCGACCACCAGCCGGCCCATGCGCACGTCGTACGACCGCACGCACCCGTCGACGCTGCCGGCGACGATCTCGGCCCCGCTCACCGCGACGGCCGCCACGGCGTCCTTGGCGTCCGTGAGGATCTGCACCGGTTTACCACCGAAACTGCCGCCGCCGGACCGCGTGTCCCACACGCGCACCGTCGTGTCGAGCCCCCCGCTGACGACCAGGCTGTCACCCGCGCCACCGAACGCCACGGCGTTGACGCGGCCGCCGTGGCCGCTCGCGCCGCCGAAGCGCCGCGTCGTCTGCGCTGTCGCCACGTCCCACAGGAACACGGCCCGGTCGCCGCCCGCCGACGCGAACCGCGCGTTGTCGCCCGCCACCGCCAGCGCAAGCACCTCGTACCCGTGCGCCGCGTACGTCTGGATCAACCGGCCCTCGGGCAGCGGTGGTGGTGCCGTTGTTGTGCTGCTGCCATCGCCGCCGATGTATGATGACGACGAGGATGATGTGCTGCTGTTGTTGCTGTTGTTGCTGCTGGGGGACGGGTTGTACAGCCGGATGGAGCGGTCGGCCGATCCGGTGAGGATGTAGGTCCCCGGGGAGGCCGAGTAGCTAACAGCGTGGACGGGGCCTGTTGTTTGGGGGTGAGCAGAAAGGGCGCGTGGGGGTCAGCGGGGTAAAGGGGTATATCAAGGGGGCAGATGTATCTAACGAAAGAATGAATGCTCTCTTCTCCAGTCCGGTGAGACAAACCGGAGGTGTAGTACACGTAGATTGAAAATAAAAATAAAGCTCAAGCTCACCGCTCGACCCCAGCAGCTGAGACAGCGGCCTGCTTGGGAAATCCATTGCCCGTCTCTGTCTGGCGAGAGCCGCTCTGGCCTTGTCTGGACAATAAGGCTGTCTGTTTTGTTTCTTCTCTCTCGGTCTGTCTTCAGAAACTCATTCAGCTGCGGGAGCTCATCACAATAACAACCCACCACCACCAACACCACACTCACAACCTTGGCTGTTGCAGCCCGCGTTTGCACCAAGGATGACGTAGGTATCCTTTCACCGGCCTAGCGTAGCCGAGTGTATGTGTTTGTGTGTTGAGTTGCGAAGTGTGAAGTGTGACGATATGTTGTTGTGTTGTATCTGTTACGCGTATTGTATTTTACAATACCCCACGCAATAGCGACACAATGCAATTGGCTCCAATCACCGTTTTTGGCGGGGCTCGGGGCTCTTGGCTGCAAAGTGATCAGTGCCCGAATTAATAGCCTAGAACTATATGTAATCCGCATGAGTTTGGAATTGAACGATTCCTACAGTGCGTGTGCACGCATGTGCGCACATATGTAGGTAGTCACATACCCAGGTGCGTCTGTGAGAGAGAGTGCGTGTGTATGTGTGTGTGTGTTGGAAAAAGGCACGGTACAGTTGTTTCTCGCTTCTGGTCCAAGGTACTGAATAAGGTAAGAAGGTAATTCACACCCCCCAACCCCCCAAACCAACCAGCGGGATACATACTTTATCCAGCCAGCCCATGCACGGTGTAGATGGACGCGCCCCCACACCACACCTCGCTCAAACTGTACGGCGTCGGCGTCGGACTGCGCGGCTTTACTTGCACTTCTTGTATACACTGTGTATTATTCCACCTATGTCCTGGATGTATCAGGTAGTACTCATCAGTGTAGTACTCATCAGTATATCTCGTTCTCCTTTCCCGCTCCGTTCTCCATTGCAACGTCACGTCACAACGAAGGAAGGCAGACAGGCAGGCAGGCGGACGGCCGGGGCTGGGGGGTGGATAGGTTGGGGCAAACGCAAGAAGCAATACTGTAACAATTGTCTACGGGGGTTTAAAAAAAAAAAAGCTATACGATCCCAACCGACTGACAGCCAGACAGTGTGACAGACAGCCGGCGCGCGCGTTGGAATGCGAAATCGGATTCCCGATACGACTGTGTGTGTGTGTGTGTGTGATTGGCTGTGTGATAATCTAACGTGTGGCGCGGGGTTTCCTTCTAGAACCAGGCTAGAAGAAAACAGCGAACGAAACCCTGGGCTGGCCTTGCCAGGCCAGCTTCCTCTTTCTTTTTTTTCTCTCTTTTTTTTTTTTTTTTTGCTCTGGGCACCTTTGGTTACCTGAGGCACCTGGCAGGGAAAGCGCGGGTGCAGCAAGCAGCAAGCAGCACCTACATCGTTCCATCACTTCACTTCAGTGTGCGTACCTTTTGTGGGGCGAGGATAAGACAGAGAGCTAATCGCAGCCGAATCAACTATTCCTGATCGCGCAATGGCGAAATGCGGCGCTGTGCATATTTGATTTGGAATTTTGGGGGGTGCCCTGGAGGAGATGGGGGGGGGGGGGGGGGGGGGGGGGGAAAGGACAAGTGAAAAAAAAGTCAAGGTTCCATTCGAGTCTGAATATTTTACTCAACATTCGGAAAGTGCATAGTAGGTATGTAAGGAAAGGTCGGGTAGGTAAGTTATTCCTGTTTCCAAGGCTACGCGGCAGCGAGGCAGCAGACAAGGACCCCGCAGGCAATATAAGTCGGAGATATTGCGGCCCGTTTTAGATTCATCTTCAGCTTCAACACGGCTTCCCTGACATGATCAATATCTGAAAGGCTACATCAATAAGGTAAACGAAGCGGTGAGGAAATCCAACGACAGGTGGGTGTGAGTGACAATCAATCAATCAATATCCATCCAGTGCTGTCACTGTCTGTCACTTGTCAAATCCCCCCGGCACGCACACCACACACACACACACACACACAATTGAGTTGCCTTAGGTTACATGTACAGTACAGTCAGTACAGGCCTGTAGTAATAAATCCCGAGTTTAGCTCCCCACCCCCTTTCGAGGTGAGACGAGGTGAGTGGTGCCAGTGCCAGGCAATTCGGCCAGATGCAGAGGGATTATATTTCAGTCATTGCTATATGCTAATGATGCTTGCTCCTCTCCTCTCTTTCCGCTCCCCATCTCTTTTGAGGCCCCCAAAAGGCAAGAATAACTAACGCCCCTCGCAAATATGCTTGTTTGAACCCAACCTGCCAGCCGCCTAAAATGTACAAAGACACACATGTAGATGCATGTGTAAGGGATGTATATAAAACAGTTCTCGAAGCGAAGGGAGATGCATCAAAATGAATAAATGAAAAATTAGCCCCGTATTATCCCCTTCCGCACTCGGACAGGGCCTTCTTTTGTTTTTTGTGTTGGTCATGGTATCGTTATACGTATATCGAAACTGTCGTGAGGCTCGTGTAGACGCAATCCATCTCTCGCGGGAACCGACCTTCCAACGCATCCGCCATCTGCCAGCATGGTCCTGCTGGCAATCTTTTTTCCGTCCCTGCCCTCAAATCCTCAGTGTTGTTGAATAGGCGAATCCCTTTTATCGAAGAGCCCACAGCGCCGCGTCCGGCCGAGGTGTCGCGGAGGTTTGCGAGTTTGTCGAGCCGGTGGTCCAGAGCTACTTGGTGCATCTTTGCATCCTCCCACACGGTGCCCAGAACCTCCAAAACACTGCGCGCAATGGCCAGACCATCAACCAGACCCGGGAGGTCTCCAACCGCGCCTTCGGCTGACAACACGTCCATCGCTTCGAGAATGGCGAGGCTAGAAAACGGGGGAGGCATGCTTGAGCGGCCTATGTTGCTGTCCTTGGCCACTGCACCCATAACGTCGAGAATCCTGCGAGAATGGTCGTGCGCCATCTGCGCATATTGATCCCGTAACGACGTGGTGAGGAAGCGCGGGTGCACGTGCCGGTGCAGCTTGACCATCGTCAGGTGGAAAACGAGATGCATCAGTATCCAAGCCCCCTGGTCCTCCCTCTCAACCGAGTCGATGTGGGCCGACGAGAACACGAGTGGCTGCGGGAGCGACGCATTCCAGTCCTCAAGCCGCGACATGACTTGTCGGTAGAAATCGGCAAACTTGAAGTCGTGGTACGTGTTCCGGTGTTTAACCCTATAAATGGAGGTCATGACGTCTCCCCAGATGGCCACGACCTGTATTAGATAGCCCATAATTCCCACCCCGAGTCGATACTGTTCTCGGGGGCACATGTTGGGCTCGAATGCAGGTGCCGCCACCCCCAACTGCTCCTCAAAGCTTCTCGTCTCGGCCGGGAGGCGGATAAAAATGTCCTCGGCGTTGATGATGGCGACGCGTGTGGGAAACAGCCCATTCAGCCGCTCAAGCAGAAAGCAAGACCAAAACGTTCTTCTCCTACACTCTGCGTAGCCCGCCCTCGTTAAACCGTAAGGAAAGGTCGCCATGGCCCCATCTTGAGACTTATCCAGCTCCAGGTTCAATTGTAGACATGTTGCAGCCGAGATGGCCGCGCTCGACATGTCGTTACCGTCGCCCGTCCGCGAGACGGCAAAGTAGTAGAGGGAGAGCACGATTCTCGCGTGCACAAGCTGCATAGCGAGGGGCGCATGCTCCGTCGCGTAGCGCGCCACCTGCGAGTACTGGTGGGCAATTTCCCTGGGCCCACCTGACAGAGCTACGCCGGCGGCGAGGATGCTATACACGAGCATCAGGTCTTCTGGGGACTTTCTGTGAGCGCTGTTCTGAACCCAGGACTTGAACACCTTCTCGGGGAGGAAGCGGAGTGCCGTTGCATCGGTGTGGACGAAGAAGGATGATATGGTGCTGGTCACGGACTGAGGGTCGGAGACATACGGGTCTGTTTGCCAAGCTCTGCACAGGACATCCTCGTGAATACGAGGCAGCTCCTGTGGCTGGTGCCACGATAACGTGGACGGCGCCGTGTCGGGCGTCGGGCCCATGGGCGAATGCGGCCTTACCGTCGGCGTGAAGTGTTCATAGCCAACCCGTAGCCGCTTGTGCGGGACAGCCGACGCGTTGTCGGGGCTCGCGGGGCGATGACCTATCTGGGGCGAGACTGACTCGCTCGAGTGGCTGCCGGCGCCCGTGCTTGGCCTGCCGTGGTCCGGCGGAGGCTTAATGAAGTTACCAAGCCGGCGGGAGTCGTCGAGTTCGGCCGGTGGGGTCGAAGGGGACGCGTTATGTCCGCCTCGTGGGCTATAGAGCATGGGTCTTGGTATTAGACGGATATTATGCATAGAACGTGACACGCGCCCCTACGAGGGAGGCTTGCAACTTACGCGTTCTTAAACTTGCAGACCCGGCCAAATTTTTCGCACTGCACGCATCGCGGATAGTCCGGGTCGCACTTGATCTTTTTTTCACGGCAAGTGACACACGCAATAGCAAGCCTCTTGCGAGGCTTGCCGGCTTTCGTGACACCCCAGAGCATGTTGACGGCCTCGCCATCAATCACCGTCTTGCAGTGAGTCCCATCGTCGTAAAAATAGCACATGCCCTCTCCAGGAACTTCGGCGGATCGAACAAAACGTGGGAGAAAATGCGTGCCGGTCCAAATCTTTGGGCCTAGCGCCGGAAGACCCTCCGAAGTGACCGTGCTTGCTGGAGTGGCAGGAAGGACGTGCCCTGAAGTCTGGGGCGTCATCTGCTCCCGCAAATTCGCTCTCTGCTCTTCCTCACGGCCTGCCCCAGGCAGATGGGCAGGGAATCGCTCCGGAACCGACTTGTACGCCGGGGACTCGCGGCTGCCAAACGAGTAGTCCCGGTCATGGGTTGCCGACCACGGACTACTTGTACTCGACTCTGAACGCATCTCTAGTCTCTGTCGCTCTGCGTCTCTAGAGTGAGGCGAAAGAGGCCCTGGGAAAGCCCGCGAGAGCGACGGAAAAGGGGGCCGCTCCTGGAACCTCGTGTCCCGCGCACTACGGGGTTGGGAGATGGAGGGTACCGATGTTGATGGCGGAAAGTAAGATGACGAGGAATACGGCCTATGTTCAGAAGCTGGTGACCCATGTGGACGGTCGAGTGGCGAGTTGGATGCGTAGGAGCCTGGCCGGTCTGAAAGAGGCGAGTGGAAGGACCGGGCCGAGGAGGGCGGGCCAAAGAGGCTGCTCAGAGATGGAAGCTGCTGCCGAGAAGCGCTTTGGTCGCCGCCCAGGTCCCTCCGGGCCTGTGTCTCATCGGGACCCTTCCCGGACGACGCTTCGCTTGCCTTGGCGGCCGGGTCATAGTTGGACATAGGCGGTGATGGAGGAGCAGGTGGGTTCCAGGACCTCTCCTCAAACTGCGTGGACGACGAATATGTGGACGAGTCGGGAGTGAGCAGCTCGGGGGGAGTATCAGGAATGGCCAAACGGTATCGTGGGTCGAGGTAGGATGAAATCCCCATTGAGAAGAGCTTTGAAGTGACGCAAGTCGGTCTGTGTCCGTGTCATGTCCCTCGCAAGAGGCAACAGTCCGTTTTGTGGGGGGGAGAGTAGGGAATTAGGAGTTGGCTGACGGGCAACACAGCATAGGTGGTTCTCGAGAGGACAAAGAGTCGAAGGGCGAGTGGCAGCTAGGTAGATACTCGCCGGATAAAGGTACACAGGCGGCGCAGTCGACTCACGGGCGCCTTTCAGACGAGCATGCCGCCAAGGCCCAGCAGGAGAAGAGCACCGAGCCCGGATAATTGAGCAACACGGGCAGATGCACGGTCGATCTGTTGGCCGTCTCAAGGTGCTGCCGAGAGAGAGGAGCAGAGCCGTACTGCACCGGCCGCTTACAATATTATTAAGTACAGTACACTGGTGCTGATTCCGATTGCCTGCGTCAAGGGCAATGTCGTCGAGCCGGCGAAGAGAACGAGGTAGGGAGTGTACTGCGGGGGAGAGGCGGACAAGATTGTATGTATATTATTGCCGTATACTGTTTGAACGTAGCGTCAAGTAGAGGCCGGACGTTTTGTCGGCCACACTCTGGAGCTTGGTGCCACGAGATCCACTGATGGAGCTGCAGATGGGGAGAGAGAGAAAGAAAGGGAGAAGACAGCAGCAGCAGCAGCAGCCAGGGTAGACTACCTACGGGAAGTTGGAGTGGAAGCAGGTAGGTAGGTACGGGGTAGGTAAGGAAGGTAGGTAGTCACGCAGTGTACCCTGGAACGGGGGCCAAGCCAAGAAAACGGGGAAAGGGTCGGGCTTGTGAGTATTAGCTATGTATCTCGAGGACCTGAGATGTGAGGCAAGTAGGCGTGTGGGTGTGGGTGTGGGTGTGCGCGCGCGTGTGTATACGGAGTACATATGTACATATGTATTTTACAAACATTCACCCAGTATGGAGTAGTCTGCGGCTGGCGTGTCCTTCTATGCCATGCCGGGCCGGATGGACGATGTGGTCTCTCCTTCAGTTCCTGGGGCGCCTACAGGTGCCGTTTTCGTAGGCTTTCTTGGTACCCCCTGTCCACTAGCGGGCTTCTTCTCGAGGAGGATGGCTAGCTCGCCGCCGATGGCTTTCGGCAGTGCGGCATGGCGTTGCCTTGTTCAGACGACCCTTGCCCGCACGCATTGTACTGTACGAGTACGAGAGTAGAGCCATGTGCTTGGTAGGCACCTACTACTCAAGGCGGGGGGGCAAATGGACACTTGGGTACCGAGTATAGATACATACGAGTTGCGGTGGGAAGGTGGATGGATGTGTTGCAGCTAGAGCGAGAGGGTCCCGGAGGGACCTGGTAATGAGAGGTTCTAAACGGGTAATAAAGCTCAGGAATTCAATCCCCGTTTGAATGCTAGCTGCATGAGTGGACCACCCTGGTGGCTTTTGGGCTTTTGGGGGAGGGGACTGGGGAGGGGGGGATCAGAGTGGTGGGGGGTGGTGAAGAGGAAGCACGCATGGGGTGTCAGTCGAACTGAGCAACTAGGGAGGCACGTTGAGGGAGGCGAAGCGATCATGGACAGCTACCACGAGGTAAAAAGGGTTCGGGAAGATAAGGAGGCGTGTGGTCGAAGTGGACGAACGGGGGACTGGGACCGGGACTGCCAAAGAGGACAGGGACAGGGGTGGGAGCCAGGCCCGTCAAGGGAGGTGGCTGCCAAGAGCCACGGAATGGCCTCACTGGACCGGGAACAAGAACCGTTTACGGCGGCGTGTTGATAGTAGTGTGGAAAGCGGGTATGCTGTTAGGAGAGTGAGCGGGCGGCTTAACTGCCAGCTCGGGAGCCGCGGACTGGGGCCGTCTGCACTAGACGAGACTGGACTGGGTTTAGTGCATGCCGTATTAATGCCAGTTGCTATGGTCTGGGCCGGGCCAGGAGAGTGTAGAGTAGCTGTACATGCAACTGGATGAAAGTAAAGTGCTGATGAGTATTTACTCAGTACTTATTTCCGGCACTAACGGACGACGAGATCGAGGTCGAGGTCGAGGTCGAGACCAAGAGCTGAGCCGACCAGGGTGTTCCACTCTCTCGCAGACCGCAGTGCTCCAGAGCCCGAGAAGTGCGGCTGTTGTTTAAAGACGGCGCGCCAGCCATGGATGGCCATGGCATCCATCACAGGCAGCTGGCTAGCCACCCCAAACCCTAAGCACACTGAAGCAGGCAGGGCCCCTCGCCGTCGGCCAGCCGTCCCGTGTGCATCTGGGTGCATCTCGAGCTTATTCTGCCACGGGCCCGAGGGTACGCCACACGACGCAGCGCGTGTCTCGAGGCGTCTGCAGCACCCGAAGAGACTTGAGGACGACAAGGAAGTGCTCCGTGGGTGGGTTTTCAAGACCCAGCCCCGCAAATTGAGGCAGGAAGCGCATCCGACGGTGGGTCACAACGACAGACAGACATACGCCTGCCTGCCTGCCCGCTTCGCTGGCGACTCGCTGCTTTGGCGGTGCGCAATTGAGGGGTCCAGTTCAGGTCCATCGAGACGCATAAGAAGGAGTGAAAGACATACCGTACAGCAAAACCTGTGTCGACTGTGATGGATTGACGCCTGGCTGCAACGGCTTCTCAAGTCCCTAATCAGTCAGTCAGTCAGTACCGCACTGGGGCCGAGGCTGCATGTGTCGTCCGGGCAGGCGCATCACGTCCCGTCCTGTTTCTATTGCGTAGGGTTGGTTCCTTTTCGATGCGGGCGCCGTTGACACGGGCGGGGCTGCGTGTGAGGCTGACTCGCTGACTCGCTAGCATTGGACATGGACACTGAATCACGGTGCCGTCCGTGCCTGCTGGGGTATACGACCTCGCCAAGAGCATGGATGAGGTGATGTCTCGCGGAGAAAGGGACTGGAACTGGGACTGCAACTGCAAGGTGTGATCTGCTGGGAAATTTAGGCGGGGCTCGATATGCAGGCCAGCATTGACAACACGGGACACAGCAAACTGGCAATTACCTCCAGATTTACGGCATGAGGCCGCTTCGTTCACGCCTGCCTTTGTTCGGGTTTTTCCTTTTTTTTCCTTCAACCGTAGGCTAGGCAGGTACTGTAGGTTAGGAAGTAGTAAGAGTGTGGAATACGTCCGTGGCCATTCCTTCCCAAACCTAAAGATTGCTTGGGCAACGGAGGCAGCTACGGGGTACTATGTGGGACGTAGAAGGTGTGTGTGGTGTGCAACGTGCAATGGCAGTTTGCAGTTTCCGTATTCTGTAATCACCTTAGTATGTACGAAGCCTCCGTACCTTCCATTTCCATGGGCAGGTTATAAGGCAATTGCTGTTGCAGACGCACAATAACAATTTCCTGCCGGGCAGAATGGAACGTCCCCTCTAGATTGTCGTCCTGCTATGTACGTATGCAGTCCAATCCAATCCAATCCGAACAGAACAGAACAGAACAGACGACGGGCAATAGACACACAGACACCTTGGCTTCGACGTCAAGGTATGCCTTACTGCGTAGGTCTGTCTGTCCACCAGCTGCCGACCCGCCCTGCTGTCCGCTCTTGGGGTTCTGCGTCACGGCCGCTACGACGTATACTGACACCGGGCCTGTCATATAGCAGAACTGGAGGCACAGCACGGCCGCCGAATTGCGAACTAGCAGTCAATACGCTACGGGGTTGGAGACTACCGCGCCCCGAGGTAACTGGAGCCGGCTTACATGACATGCTGCCTGTCTGCTGTCAATTGCCTACCTTACCTACCTACCAACACGACTTCAACGGCCAATGGCACCGCTGCGCTCTTTGACACCGACGATGGATGGCACAGCAGGACCCAGGACCCGCGTGGACCGCAACAATAGCCGTGCCCCCCGGCCAAACCTGGAACAGGCACATGAATTGTATGTATGGAGGGCATCCGTACCTTTCGTTGCTCAAATCCGTTCCGCAGTGGCCCCCAACGGCTCCTGACATCTAGATAGGCCAGTCAGGTGTTCTCTATAAGGTGTCAGGCATTCCTTATACATACGCATGTGCCTTTAAGTGGCTTCTGTTTGACGGAGTGTAAGGCAAGGTACATACGTTTCGGATTACACAGTACATCCACATAGTATTCCTCCAACAGCCGGTTTGGAGTGAGGACTAAGCTCCTTGTAGTCCGGCTTCCCGATAATATGCGCCTCCCTCCCTCCTCCCTGCCATTGCCCTAGCCGCTTTTATCGATGGCGTGGGCGGGTGGACGGGCCACACGAACAGACGGACGCGAGAAGCTAACCTCGCCGGTGCTGCTGGTGCTGCTGCCAACCTTGCAGCGGGACCATGTAATATCAAAAGGCTAATAAGCAGGAGGGCTCGGCATGTCGTCGTTAGCTCGATCCCAGTCCCCTGGGATCTGTGATGTGGAACTTTGGGCGCGCAGCCAGCCGTCCTCTCTTTCCTCCTCGCAGGCGGGCCCCGGACTCAGGCGCGCCCCCTCCCATCCCCCCCAAGAGTGGGTCAGGGTCTAGCGCCGGCTTGCCCAAGTGTGCACTCACCCCAGCGACCACACACACACACAGGAGCCAGCAGCGAACAACCGCCCTGTCTGCACCGTCTGCCACTCCACCCTCGCTCCCAATCTCCAATCTCGTCACGGCGCATGAAGGATCGCCTGGGCAGCGGAGTTATGGTTAGGTATGGGCGGGTCCTTCTCTCTTGCCCAGTTCCCGCCAAGGCGCCCGTGTGCCCGTGCTTGCTCCCTGTAGACGAGGACGGACGCTCTGGTCGAGCCATTATCGTCTCTCGAGCCTCGATATTCCGTAATAACAAACGCTGCGCTTCGGGATTCCGTCCAGGCAACTGCACGGCAGCAGGGAAAGGGCCCTGGCCGCCCGTCGCCCGTGGCACGCCCGTGTTTGACCTGGCAGCTGGGGGTGACGCAGACGGGGGGTCCTGGCGTCATCACTTACTGGCCACCTGCCTCTCCCGAAAAGCCACCACCAAGGCAGTTCGATGGCCGGCCGGCTACGGGTGCCGCCGCCAGTCCTTTACCGGCTTGGCC